GTGCGAGAGCCGGGGGTATATTTCAGCGGCCGACAAAGGGACGCGCGCACCCGTTCGGCCGCTAATTGAAAGCGGCACTCCATTATCGCAAATACCCCTCGCTCAGAACCAAACCCACCCTCTTCAGCGCAATTAGAAACTGGAGCAATAAATTTGTCGCCCACTTTATTCATTGTGCGCAGCTGAAATGAGCAGCAGATTGCTCGCGACTCTTTCAATCAAACCTTTTATTTTATTTCGAGTGCTCAATGAATGGGGTGCAGAGGGGGGTTGGCAGTTTAGTCACAACAATCGAGGTGCTCTTCAGGGGTTTGACTCTTGATTCAATTTTGTAACGTTTCAAATTAAATGATCAAAATAGAACAACGCCCAGGATATGCTACAATATTTTCAAATTAATTAACACAATTCCGATAATTTATTATGAAAAATTTTAATTTTTCCACTCCAATATAATTCTGATGTTTCCTAGATAATTCTTCGTTCAATAAAAAAATATTTTTTTATCTTGAGAAGTGAAAAAAAATTTTGAAAAATTAAAAGCATCGACTTTCATTGAAGGTAATGCATACATATTACGTTGATCCTCACCTCTCACAATTGAAAAGACGCACGAAAAGAAAAAAACACCTTAATTTATTCACCTGAAGAACCTATTTCTCAAATAATGTTTATTATATCACCAAGCATTCTCTACCCTATTACATTATACGTAATATCAATTTCATAAATTTGATTTTTGTTTACCCTGGCCAATTTTAGTTTTCTGATTTATTCCACCTATTTTTAAATATTTATACAATGAAGGACGATATTATTACAAATCAACTTTAGTTAGAAAATTTCCCAATATTAATGCGTGTCCGTAGATAAAAAACAAAAAGCGAATCTCTTGGCTTTGTAATAATATAAAAGGAGCAAATTAGTCAGCATTTAGCAGGTCCTATTTGCCGAAACTATTAGCGCAATTCAGTGCCGCACAGATGGGTATTCTCGGGGTGCGGAAAAGCGTGACGCATCTGTCGCTTTTCGCGCTGCAGTGTTCTCACTATCAGAACCACACACTATTCATCACGCGCGAGGGCCCTTTTAGCTGCTTCTGCTTCATATAAACATTGGGTAAATATTTGCACTCGCCCCCCTTTTTGCTGATTGCAGGCATTGCAACCAGCAAATTGATCTTGTTAACTCACGACGTCCTCAGCCCCAAACTCGATTAGGCGCCCCCAAAACTTACTTAGTCTCATAATTTACCATTTTACACTAACAAATTTCAAAAAAATCATATAATATCGCAGTTTGCGTTAAATTTAGTTGATTTCTTCTATTTTTTCAAAAGGCATTTACAGAATTAAATTAAAGCACGTTTTACAGAAAAGAAAAACTTAATTCTTAAATACTCATTTAAAATTTCTTTTTATTATATTTTGCTTCATTTATTTAATTACTTTTTTTCCAACGAAATTGGATTTTTTCCTGTGTTTAAAATTTCATTTATTCCTTAAAAATATAAAAAGGGTATATAAAGTTTATTTACAATAGAATTGAAACAAATTTACAATTACACAAAGTCTTTTCCACTATACAAATCAATTGAAAAGTCTTCTTTTTTTTCTTTAACTCAAGATCCCAGCTTTGATGAAATTCAATAGATATCGATTTGTAATTTGAATAATGAAAAATGTTAATTTGCCTGCCATTCCGTCGTTCGAATCGAAAAATAATTTGTTTGCAATTTATATTGATGGTTAATTGTTATTAAATTATTGTTTTGAAACGCCTCCTGGGGATCAGGCCGAGCAAATAATTTGACCAATGCCGCATTTACATTTATATTTGCCGGTACGAGCGCGCGAGGTAATTATTCAATGATGTATTGTTAATTAGCGCGTGTTTGTCGAGTCAATAACACACTTGTTTAAATATACACACGTACGCAGTGGTGCTCTGGCGCCGCTTTGCAGAGGAATTATTACAATTGTTCGAAATGCACGGGAGAGAGCGAGCGAGAGAATAAACAGCTCTCTCAAATTAACCGGCATTCAACTCGAGAACATTTGAATTTGCGCCACTCGCGTGCTGTGTTGTGTTTGCCCAGTTTGAACATCCGCAATTGATTAATTAGCGTGCAAACTCTCTTGTTGAATACACGGCGGCTCTTAATGATCCGAAATTGCTCTTGCTCAAATTTAAAGAACACCATGAAACTCAACAACATAATAATATGTAAAAAAATCGCTTCATTCAGGGTTATTTAAATACTTAAATTTGGCATTTGAAAGAATTTTAAATATTGATGTATTATGATTTGGTTCAACGACATTTGAAGTCTTACAAGAACATCGAAGAAATATCTCAAAGTTTGAATTATTTCTTGGATTACGTATAATATTAACATTGTTTCATACAAATTTTAAGATGAATCTATTATTCAAATTATTGAAAAAGGCATATTTGTAGTCAAAAGGGTGACAATCCCTATGAACTGATCTAACCTCACTCCAATTTCTTCTTTCGAAGCAAGAACTTAATTTTATTTGTCATCGGATTTTTACAAACTGGACATCAAGTGATTTTAAATTTGAAGATCAAGAAAGTCACCCTTCTGTTATTACTATTATTTTACAATATTAATGCTGTTTTTTGTATTATTATTGAAAGACTCGATTACCTTATTTAGTATTATTTATAATCTTGGAAATCAAATGGTGTTTTGGAAAAGTAAAATTGACAAATGATACTTCAAAAATATTTACGAAATTAACGTGAAAAACAAAAATTCGCGCCCATCTATAGCTCTGCATGGAGAGCAATATCCCCTGCATCAATTTGTTTGCCATCATGAGAGTTGATGCGAAAACTGCTCGCACCTTTTTCTCTCAAGCAGTCAGCGCAGATGATTGAGCATAAATTTGCGTTCAAATTTCTTCCCTTTTCTTTATTCTTCTGCCGAATCACCTCGCAACTCTGCCATTGGTGTTTTATTGATGGGAGAATAAACTCGGCAGGAGACGACGCTGTTGATTTAAAACCATAGGGCTTGGTGTGCACAAGTTTGTGTTGACAAAGCAAGTTAGCATCTATCTGCTCCAAATTTGCCTCCTTGCTCACTCCACGCCCCACCTGTCAATCACTCTGTTTATTTGACTTTTCTACTTTTATTGCACGATATTTGCTCTCAAGAGACTCGCGACGAGAAACTTTCTTGATTCGATCTTGATGATCAAAATAGAAAATCGCTCCTATTTATCTTTAACTATCAGTAAAATTATCATTCAACGTTAGAAAAGGAATATAAATTAATATGTTTGTGTAAAAATTTAAAATTAATAATTTTTAATACCAAAGAGTAGATAATCCCAACCAGTACCATCTTAAACACACAAATTTTCATGATTATTATTAATAAAATTCCTCCTTGATTAATTTCAAAAGTGTAACAAGCAATGGGTGATGTTTTCAGTGATTTGAGGGAATTCTCGTTACCGTTTTCTATTTAAATATTTGAGCAAAAAATAATTGTACGTAATGGACCTTTCTGGCCTTGGAAAAAGAAGATAAAACTTCATTTGATAATCTGATTACTATCAATGCCAATAATTAGCTCTCCATCTTCAAAATCTGTAATTTTAGTCTTTTATATTGAAACTAACCCGTTTAACTAATTTTACCAAGAAATTTACTGAACAGAAAAAAGATGATATAAAATGGTGAAAAAATTATAAATGCCAGATACAATTTTTGTATTTTCAAGAAAATTATGTTTTGACTGTAGATACAAAAAAAAAAGCATCAATTTAATAACTCCTGGTAATAATGGAATAATTATGATTAAGCAAAAAATAAGTTTTATATGATCTAGAAATTATCAAAATATGCTTGTAGATAATTGAAGAACCACTCACTGCTCTATCAAATAATAGGTGAGAACATCTATTTATCTTGATGTGATTGACAAGAGAGTAATGAAAAAGTCTAATAATAAAACAATGTGATTTTAAGTCGAAAACTTAGCGCGCATCTAATTTGTGTCGCGACGATAATTTTTTGATAATCGGCCACTCGAGTTGAGACGCGAAGACACTGGTGCAATCACTTGTCAAGATAAAGTTTGATGTGTAAAGAAACACCGCGCTACTGGACATTTCGAGGATGTGTGAATGACGACGCTTAATTGCCGTAATCGAAATTAGCGCTGTATTATTTTCACTTAATAACGTTTTTATCTGCACCTATCAAAAAAACATTTATACCACTGATTTGGGAACTTAAACACGCCGGATTTGCTCACATCTCGCCGAGAGATAACGATTTTGAGAGAGACTGCTGCTTTTCCCCGTCGCTAGCTCTTCATCTGTGACACTTATAATGCCATCAAATATCCTCCAACTTCTCACCGCGCGTGATATCAACTCTTAAAAACGGCAGCCGCGACCTTAATCAGAAGCCATCAACGTCAACGATTAGTGTTCAAATTAAGAAAATAACTTATCCGTGAGCTCATAAAAAAAAATTAGCATTTTATGGGGCGCAAAAGACTAATATGAGAAAGAGTACCAAAAATCTGCTAAAAATTAGGTGTGAAGAATTAATTTTTGGAAAAAAGTCAAGTTAACTTTTTTACATTTTTGAATTATCAATTATATTTAACTGGCAATTAGAAGATAATGAACTATTAAAGTGGACTTATATCTCACTGTTAATTAAATAGAGAGTGATTTTATCAATAATAAAATGGAAGTCCTTATTTTAAATGAAATAACAGAAAAGGGCCAAGTTAAAATAAAGATAAAAGAAAAATGCCAGAATATTCCTTTGAAATTGCTGTAATTTGCCACTTTTTTAAATAATATTTATTTTGAACACCAATTTTATTAATTTATGACCTGATAAACATAAATACAGGAATAAGATCAAATTGCGAGTCTTCAAATTTGACGGACACACGCGTCACAGGGCCCAACAAAACAGTAGAGGGAAGAAAAATGAAAGATTTGTACCTAGGTACTCACAGGCGAGGTCTGGCAGTCTCGGGTACAGCATTCCCGAGGTTCGGGCGAGCCACTCGAGTTGAAGGTGTTGCAGTTGGTGCTGCTGGTGGTGAGCAGCGGCCGCTGCTGCGGCGGCCACGGCTGCGGCCACCGCACTGGCGGCCGATCCGGGAGGCCCGTTCTGATGGCCGCCGGTGCCGGAATTATTTGGTGAAGATGCCGAACTTCCGCCGCCGCCAGTGGTTGGGGATGTGGCAAGCGAGCCTAAAACACGCAGAGGAAAGAAAATTTTCATATTATGCTTTTTGACGATTAAATGGTGAAAAAGGAAATTTCCAGTTATAGGATAAATTTTGGAATTGAAAAGAAATTTTATCGCTCCTTTCTTCTATCAAACTTGTAAAAATTAATGTATACATATTTATTTGAATTAATTTGCACCAATCATTTTATTTATTATAGCAATATTACAGAATTTTGCAAAAATCAAGCAAATTTATAGTTTTTTTTTCTTTTTTTTTAGAAATTTGTATAAATATAATTTATAATATCATCCTTTTGATTGCATTCATTGATATTGAGTAATAAAATTGGCGATAATTGCATTTCATATTCTTGATATTCTCATAATTCGTGGTAATTACATATTAAGAGAGTGCAGTGGACAAATTTTGAAATGGAAATAATTGTTATGTTGTATGTGCACATAACCAAACTAATAACTTTAAAAAAAGATAAAAAAAAATATAGTTTATAGCTGAATAATGATTAATGTGGAATTTAAATACATCAACATCATAATCAAACGTACAATAAGTCACACAAAACATAACAGTTTGTTCTGTGAAATTATGTGCAGCTAATTTATTAAAAATTGAAAAGTAATTGGCAATAAAAAATTATTTTATAGCCTTAATAAATATATAAATATCAAATCAGCAATAAAAATTGAATATTAAAAATTATATTTAAAACTTTTATTTATAATTTTATATATTAGTTGTGTTTATTGCTTTTTCTGCACGTTTGATTTAATAAAATAATTTAGTTTGCTCAATACTACAAGATTTACTTAATCGTTGCCGCGCAAACAGAATGTGGAATTTAATTTTATATTATTTAAGTAAAATTTTATGTGATAGCAACTATTCATTAAAACAAAAAACGTCTAAAAATATGTATAAGTTTTTCTTCAATTATAACGTCTCAAACATGTTTCTGCAGTAAAAGTTTAAAGAAATGTATGCTTCAAATCTGAGTTTAAAAAATTTAAATGTATAATACAGAATTTTGTCTAGTAACATTTTACCCCTGACATAAAGATATTTATGTTTAAGGGGGAGTTTAAAAAAAAGAGAATAGCTTTTTGAAGATGTTAAAAATTGTACGTAGGCTCCAAAAACAAGAATTTGATTTGGACGGTAATTTTAAGTGCAGTTTTCTTCACTTAAAAAAAAAAAAAATTAAAAGCTATCTTTGCCAAAGTTTGCGATGTAAATATTTCACATTTGTTGGACAAAATTAGAGTAAAAAAACATAACAAGAAAATTAAAAGTAGAAAGTAAACTTACCATCCTTGTTGTTTCTCATCTCGTTCATGAGAGGATGAAAGGCCGATCCCTGTCCCGAGCCCGGGTAGTAAAGTCCGGTGGGTCCGGGGGCCTGGGGGCCGGCTGGCGGGTAGAAACGCGAGAGAACGACGGCGGGTTGGGGGCCAGCGTGGGGCGGCGGGGGCGGCGAGTCGCCCTCGCAGCCGGGCGAGATGGCTGGGCTGACGGAGGCGTCGGTGCAGCACTCGCTGCGGGGCGAGTCGAGGGGCCGCCGGGGGCCCAGCAGGGCCTCGATGCAGAAGTTGCCGACGACGCGGGGCTGCGACGGCGGCGGAGCGATTTTCTCCTGTTGCTCCATGCCTGGCTGAGGACCGCACGTGCACTGTGCGTCGGCCGCCGCGGCCGCCCCCATTGGCGTGCGCCGCGGCGCCGCCTCCGGGCGGCCCCCGCGCCCGCTGGCCCCGCCCCCTCCACATTATCCCCGCAGAGAGCAAGATCGTTGCGCTTCGATTATCAACCTATCTGCCGGCGCTTCTTTAATCTAATTCCGCCGCCCCGATGTTTTGCCGCGTTCGCTTAATTAGTTGATTAATTAATTGCACGCCCGGGTTAATTGTTAATTGCGTCGGCTTTGCGTGTATTAATTACTGCGGGGTGGTTGTTGCTGCAGCTTGTACTACATTTTCAGCGCATCAACGCGCACCAACTAGTTCTGGTTTGGCCAAATTTGCTCTTTCCAGGATTTATGTCAATAAGTTACAGAGATAGAGAGAGCATAGTTCTCTATTTTCAACCCATTTTGAATTGGACATTGGGAATGATCAAGTTTTTCGCCTCTTTTTTTCCTCGCATTTTTGGTAAAATTGATTTTATATTTTTCATTTTGCTGTTTCAGTGATGAAGGGGTCAATCTAACTGTGCGCTAACGCAGTGGCTATAAAAGTTCAGAATAATCCGTTTGTGATTTTTATTCGGTCACCCCGAACCACGACTTTTATGCTTAACATTGAATTCTGCATTTTTAGAGAAATAGTTTGTTGTTTAGTTGCATTTTATAATTTGGCCCAAGATTAATGGCAATATAATATAATCTTCCAATAACTGTTATTCTAACCCATTTCAATATTTTGTGTCAAAACTGCCGACAAACTTACTCGTCTTGGCTTGATTTATTTTCATGGAACGATGGAACGTTATAATTTATAATTATTATATATCGGTCATTCGCTCTAAATTTGACAAGATTGCGCAGTGTAGAGATTCAAAATTAATAGTTATTGTACTTGTCTGCAATATTAAGTTGAAAGAGGACAAGCTTGTGCCAGAACTCATCACACTAAAGTGATTTATTTCTTTACATAATGTTCTCTGCAGTGCGAGGGAATCGCCCTAAACGAGAGTAGTTATGCAACGTGCGCAACACGTATGCCGTTCTTGGTGCCTATCGACGTATTTTCAAGTGCTCCTGCTCTAGTTTTTGACAATTTTAAATACAAAATTCAACAGGTTAGTTTTATTATACAAAACATTCGAAGCAAAGTATTTAAAAATTTAGTATATAATTATTTAGAAAAAGGTTTAATAGAGTAAATAATTATAGTACTTATTTACTGTTAGCAAAATGAAGTGAAAAAGAGGATGATAACTCTCAATCTACAAAAAATCTGAATTTTAATTGAAATTTGAAGGAGGAAATTGTAATTCAAAAAGACGAAAGAAAAAAATTATAGCACTGAGATAATGGTGGTTGCTCGCAAAATACTTTTCATTTTACAATCACCAGCTAGATTGGTTTTAACTAATCTTGTTTGTTATCTGAGGAGAGGAAATTAAGGCCATCAAAGAAATTAATTTTAATTTTTAATGTATTAAAACAATATAATTAGGATAAAAAAAAAATAAATAAAATATAGAAAAATTAGCAGCTCCTTTTCCATTACGTTCGTCATTTTTAGTTTTTTTCAATTTTATTGTGTTTATTCTGTCAGGGATATTGTGTTACTCGGATATCACTCATCGATTAGAAGTTAAATTTTACATAGCAACTGAAAATTTTATCTTGGCAGCGCAATATTTTTGTAACTTTAAACGAAATACCACAGGTGTTGCAAGAATTAAAAAATTCATATTGAAGCTTCAGCTTCATTTTTTTTTTTTTTTGAAAATATTAAATTTTGTTCAATTGCTATTTTACTAAAAGGGATTAAAACGCTTAAATGATATATAATAGATAAGAAAAAGAAGAAAGTTAAATTGCAATTATCAAAGTTGTTATAACAATAAATAGTATTTTTATAAAAATGACTAAAATAAAAAATAAATAATACGCGGGAGCTTTATTATTCCAAATTAAAAAAGAAACTTTTGCGTGCCAATATTCTATAAGAAGAAAAATTGATCTCTAGCTTTGAGCCGGTTGTTTCTAATCAAGGGAAAGTGTCGATCGGTAATGTGTCTGAAAGCACACATAAAATTCATCGCAGCAGCCGCGCGTTCGCTGCACAAATGAAAACACTGGAGAAAAAGCAGCGCAGGGCTGATCGCGGCAAAAAGAGGGGCGGCGCAAACTTATTTCTTATGATCGGAAAGGGCTTTTATATATATCCCGGCGGGTAACTTGATTAGCAATCCAGTGGCGAGATCCAATTAAGCTCCATCTTCTCGGGCAAGTAAAAAAAAGAGAGCTTCCCTCCTATTATCAGGCCGGCTTTTTGGTTTGTCTTTTTAGCAAGAGGGGATATAACAGTATTAGCAAATGATGTGGTGCCCGAAGGGGTGCTGCTGCTGAAAGGGGAGCTTTTTGTGACGCTCTCTCTTTCTCTCGCTGATCGCAACGAGCGAACACCCGCCGAAAGGCACGACACACAACACCGGCCCATTAGCAGAGAAATACACAAAATTTGCAGTGGCGAAAAAACACGCCGAACAAAGCTCTCGCACGTCCGTATGAATTATTACTGTCGCAAATGGTTATTTTGTGTGGTCGTGTGCGCGGTGTCACAACTTTAATTAACTCGGCGACATTTTCATTTCATCCCGGGTGGACCGCAATTAAATTTTGGCACTTTTTAGACACCCCCGCATCAGCGATAATTATTATTGCAAACGTGTTTCTGTTCTGGCAATTTTTGCTTGGTATTAAAATTGATGGCTTTTACTTCCAAATCTTTGTAAAATATATATCAATAAAATATAAAAATCCTGGGTGGATTTAAATAAATAATATTTTTGCTTCAAAATCGTATTATTTCTAAACTTAACTTAAAATTACAATTCTCATCTTTTCTCTCATTTATATTAAATTTTTGTATAATTTTGAAATATATATGTATAAATGATGCATCCGTTATGGGCAGCAATTATTGCCTTTGTGGTAGATCAATGAACACAATTTGCAACTAAAATAAGTTTAGAAAGTGGCAATCAATAAATTTTATATGTATAATTTAGAATTATACATATACTGTTAAATTAAAAAAATAAAAAAAATGCAAAGTATAATATTTTTTCTGAAAAATCCGATTAATGAAATAACTGTGCTTAATGTTTTAGTTCATGCACATTAAACCAATTTTTTTTTTAAATTATGATAGTAAAAAAATCATCAAAACTGGTTGCATGAAGCAGGAACTAATCTCTAACATGATAGGGCTCGATTTCATCATGACGGCAGAAACGACGCCGGGCGTGGAGAGCAAGAAATTTGGCCCCTTGATCACGTACGCAAAACATTTGCTCACGGGCAGCCTTAATAGATCCCATTATACAAAGATGAGATGCAGCACTCGAGCCACGGCTGCTTCGGAATCACACTTCTCATCCGATGGATTATACGCGTCTTTTCTCTATATTTGCTCAGCGAGACATTTTAAAAGAATTAAAAATCATTTTGAGAAGAGCAGGCGTTTCTTCTCTTCAATATTCGACAATGATATTGCGCAACCTTGATGGACGCGCCGAGTAAATTTGAATAGCGGCTTGTCCAAACAAAGGGATAAAGTAAGTAAATTGAACACAAAAAATTTGGAAGCTAATTTGAATTTGGTTGGAAAAAGTTTTTTCTCCCTATCAGTCTCCTCGATCGCAATCAATTTGAACGGCGGCGGCGGGTTAATCCAATCAAGGCGCAAAGCGGAGTTTGCAAAAGTCGTGCCAGCGAAAAGAATGAAAGAAAGTAGTCCTTTGTTAGTCTGATACCGTGAAACAAACGCATTAGACTCGTCAGTCGGAGAGAGGGAGTGGTGATGGTGTTTAGTCGAGCTTAAGAAATTTCAGAGGAGCGAACAAGAGACGAGCCGAGCAAAAAGAGAGATAAAAACTTTTGGCTCTTCGATGTGTCTCTGATTCTTTTCTCAAGTGGATGAGTTTGAGTTCGTTTGCTTTTCCTCCCGACAGTAAGACACAGCAGTGGCAAACGTGGCTGCCGCTATTTCTGCCATCAAGCCAAAGACACACTGTAAAAAATTGTCTGTAAAAAGCATTAAAAAATGCAATTTTATTCATTATCTTCAATTTAAAATTTTTAAATAATTTCATTTAATTATATTTTGTTTCTACGTTTAAAAAACATATTAAATGCTATAAAAAGTGTGATAATAATCAAATTTTAGTATGATATTGCTACGGTTGGGCTTGGTAAGCTAAACAATAAGTCAGGTCACTGTGATATGTTTGCTATGTCAGCTGTATGAGTCGCAGGTATACATACACATGCTTGTACTGTATTGTGTATTGGGGAGAAGAGTTGGAGAGTGTGCTAGATTAACCATGCAATAAAGAAAACCACTGCAACTAGTTTGGCTGCGCCTCATTCATTGATCAGACAAGTGAAAATGTCAACAATTTTGTACACTTTAACTGAAAATTTATGATCCTGATCCTTTTAATTGGACTAATCAATCTTTGAATAGTCAGATAAGTAAATATGAACTTCTTAATTAATTAAATTGATATATATTTAAAAATGGACCGTATTGACTTTAATTTAAAAAAAAATTCATTCAAATCATGGTACTTTTCTCGCTTCAATAAATTAAAGATTGTTGACAGATTCTACGAAATTGTGCACAGCGAATTTATTTTTTACAGTGTGGGGCGCTTGGAAGTGTGTATAGAGAGCGAGCTCGAGCGCTCCAATCACATGGGCGCCATCATCAGCCTCCAAATCATCCCCTAGCAGTGTAACAGTAGCATTACTTGATTGCAGAGGAGTGGAGCAGGGGATAAAAATTCGATCATCATTGCGCGCTGGTGTAGCTTAGAAGAATGCCAATGATTATACTACCGTCGGATATCATCCCAATCAACTCTCCTGCCGACGCCAAAACCCTCTCTCTGTGTGTGCGTGTCTCTGTGTTAATGTAGAGGAAGCGGCGTGACAATTTTTGCTAATGAGGCTCCTCAGCCCTGAATGCTTGCAAAGTGTACTTTGCAATGGCGAAGAATGAAAAATATTAAAAAAATATAATAATAATAATAATAAAAAAAATTCATAAAAATAAAAGAAATTAAAATCAGCAAATTCCGCAACATACTTCGAATACAGTACTTTTCAAAAAAGATGAATGTTTTATTTTATAAAATTAAAAAAAAAATCTAGACCGGATAATAAAATAAATTGGTATTAATCGAAATGGAATTTGAGGATAAATCTTAAAATAACAAGACTTGCATATTTTTACAAAGGAAAGGAATTAAATTAAATTTATTCCTACAACTGTGCAAAATTTGTGAAAACAGTTTGCAAAATACAAAATAACTGCTCCCATTATTCAACTGGCATTGGCAATATTTATTGCAAAAAGTTTTTAAATAAAAATTAATAAATCATTACAATTTGCCAGTTTCCTTTTACATCGTTTCTAACTGCTAATTTTTTTCAAAACATACAACTGAATCAATTGACTAAGAAGAAGTAAAAAAAGACTAAAATCTTAAAAAATAAAAATAAAAAGTGACACAAATAACATTTTTTTAACAAATTGTCCTGTGCAGACCTCCAGGGTTGAAATGCGGACACAGAAGAGTGTGTGTTTTGATGGTGCCACTCTTCAAACAATCCCTTCAAATAAAATAAAACACTACTAAATTCCCCTTTTTTTGTACAATTCACTCATTTGGCAGCACACAGAGAGCATTAGCACTCGGCTCGGTAGTTGCGACAAAACAACTCGGCTAGATGATTCGACTTTTTATCTCTCTCTAACTCCGAGCTTGCCTGGTGCGAATAGCAACTTTAATTTGCAGTCTTAATTATTTGCTAACCATCACCATGCTATGCGACGTATAATTGCGTGCGGCATTAAGTTGAGAGGCTCCCCTAGGATTTGCCGCTACATTGACGTCTATTTGTTCCATACGAGGGCAATATTGCCATATAGCTCAAAATGTTGTGCTTTACGCGCGTGCACTACATAGCCTGCCGCTTTCCGTGTTTTCTAAACGGACTCCGGTGTATCTCTGCAGCAAATTGCAAAGCACCCCTTTAGGCTTAACGCCTATGGCGAGATTAATTTTGAAAATGCTTTTGGTGGAAGCAAATTGGCACTTCCTAAAAATTGGAACTTCCTCTCTGGTGAACCTGGGACTCGCAAAATTCTATTTAATTTTTCTTTGGTAAAATATTGGATATTTTATCTTTAATACAAATAATAAGGTGGATAAGATTTAATAAGTTTTTTTTGCAACTAATTAAATTTCACTTCAAAGGCGGACAATTTTGAGATCTTTGTTTCGCTTAATTAGTTTTTAAAGAGAAAAGAAGATTTTTATTAAGTCTTGCATTAATTGTAATAAATTTCGAATAGCAGAAAAATGGCTTTATAAAGTTTTGTCCTCTTTGAGAAAATATAATTTTCCCAGTCTATTCGATAAGGTGATGTTTTATGATTACTTTTATTATCTGCCGCAGAGTTTTTCGTGTAAAGCCGAGCAGGTGCTGTTGAGGATTACCGATTTACTGTTACAAAGCAATTAATTGGGTGTTACATGTGCTTTTAATAAACATTTCTGAGGTTTTCGAGATGCGCGTTATCTTATCAGGACTTATGTGTTAACGAGCTGATATTGCTTTGCTACTGCCTGTCCAATTAGCTCCTGTGTTTACTCTCACCCCAATTTCCAGCGCTTGGCAAATAGAGTCGCACCCTCTGCATGCGGCCTGCGAGATAAAATATATCACTGATAAATCGCGGCGCCGGAAAAATGAGGTGGAGTGGACGAGACAACGCAAAATTATTTTATATTATTAAAATGTGTTTCTATTTTACAAATTTTAGTTAGCAAGACTAAATAAATGAACACCAGTTTTTCACACAGTCATACTACATAATTTATAGAGAAAAAAGAGAAATTTGAAAATTACATTAAAAAAATCTCCACAGAAGATTCTATTCAAATTTTATCAAAAGTGATTTATAAGTTGTTTTAGTTTATATTTAATTTTTTTAAACAAATAAAAAATTTTAATAATAAATATACACTAATTAAAATCAAAACGATCTAGTTGCTCAAAAGTAAATAATTTTTTTTCATTCTTAAACAATTGTGATAGTGCAAGGATGAAAACACATTGTTGCTTTTAAATTGTTGTGTGCAAAAATTTGAAAACTGGAATTTTAAAGTTTTCATTGTTGTAAAAACTTTTCACTGTTGCCTTTGAAATTCACAAACTTTGTTGCAAATATTTTCAGCTCTTCTCATAAATATTGTGCGAATTCAAATCTGCGGAGGAAGCTGCTCTGCACGGCTAAAGACACAATGGGAAAGTATGAGGAGGACATCGAGGCGAGCAGCGCCAGATTCATAAAGATTATAGAGGAGAACCGAAAGCACCAACGTGACTTGATGGAAACTGTACAAGAAAAGGTACGTTAAAAGAATAAAAAGATCAATTAATATTTAAATTTTCTAAACGTAACAGATCTTGGAGAACCGCAAGTTGGAAGAAGAGAAGTTGCAGCTCATTTATAAGAACAACCAGATGAAGGCGGCGCACGCCAAGATCAGGAGTCAGAGCCAGTTAGAACTGTCGCAGGTTGAGGAGCAAATCGCCAATCTGGAGAGCATCGCTGCCGAGGGCAAAAGGTTCCGCGTGAAATTACAGCAAGCCGAAGAAAGGCTGCAAAATCAGAGGGGAGTTTTCGAGCAGCAGCTAACGGAACGCGATCGAAACACCGCCGATTTGGATTTCAAAGTTGGCCAGCTGCAGGCCAAGTTGCAGCAGCAACAAGTGACGCAACAAAGCCTGCGTGATAAACTGGATGCCGAAGGGAGGAGTAGCCAGGAGAAAGGGCAGCAACTGAAAAAGGTGCAGAACGCGTACAGACAGACCCAGAGAGAGAAAAATGACATATTGGAGAAGTACGAGGCGCTCGCGGCCAAAAGCGCCGAGCAGGACAAAGCCATCCACGCGCACTGCGAGCAACTGCAGAAGTTGGAGGCAGAGTTGAAGATCAACAGGGAGGCGAGTTTGATGAACCCGAGCATTCAGTCGCAGTTGTTTGAGCGGCAGAAGCGGGAGGCGCGCCTTTTGCAACGCATCCAGGAGCTGATGCAAGAAAAACGAGACCCTGAAGTGGAACAAGACCTGGAGGAGCAAAAAAGGGAAAACGAACGTCTCGAAGCGAGCGTTCGCGTGCTGGAGCAGCGACTTGAGAAAACGGAGCGTCTCAACGATTCGTTGGTGCAGAAACTCCAAGAGGCGAAGACGGTTGCCCTGAACAAGGTTGGCAGGTTGGAAAAGGAACATTCAGAAGTTGCGGCCGAGTTGAGGAGAAAAATCGAATTGGTGGCCGCCGAAAGGGAGGGAATGCGCCTCAAGTTGGACAGAGAGGGAAAATTGAGCAAAGAAAAGGTTGAGAAACTGCAGGCGGAATGCGAGGTGCAACACAAAAGCATTGTTGAGCTCAAGTCCGTATCTGAGGAAATGCAAAATTTGGCAAAAAATGCAAAAATTGAGTTGAAAAAGCAGACGGAGAAGAGCGAAACACTGCGCAAGGAGGCCGAAAATTTAAGAGTGGAGCTGCAAGCAAGGAAAATCGAGTGCGACCATGTCAAGAATGAAATGAGGAAGGTCCAGGATGAACTCGGAAAGGTCAAAGTTTCCGAAGCCGCGTGCAGAAAAGAGCTCGGCGCTTTGAACGAGGCGGTCAACAAGAAAATCAGCGCGATCAAAGTTGAGTTTGAAAAGGCATCTAAACAGCTAAGGTCGTCCAGTAAAACCAACCTGGAGCTGCAAAAAGTGCTAGACGAGGTCAAAGAAGAGTTGGAGGAAAAGCAGAAAATTTTAATTTTGAAAAGTGAGGAAAACGCCGAGTTTTGCAAGAAAATCGCAGCTCACGAAGAGCAAGTGAAAAAGCTGGGAGCGGAAGTCAGCAGACTGGTGTCCAGAGAAAAAGAGTACCAGAAAACCGTGCAGAAGCTGCAGCAGGAAGTGAAAGAAAAGTCGGAAAAACTGGAAGAAAAGGAGCAAGAAATAGTATGTGCAGAAAAGGAGAAATCGGAAATGCGCTACACCGTTCGGTGCTTCGGAGAAGAAAATCAGCAGCTGAGCTCAAAGTGCGCGGAGCTGGAAAGCCGCGTTGTTAGACAAACAAAGGACGGCGACCTTTTGAAGGCCTCCCTGAGCGACCTGAAGAAGCAAAACGACGCTTTGATCGAGAAATTCCGCAATTCGGCCAAACTACTAAAGACAAATTTAACACACGCGCCCAGCCAGGGTGGGCAGGGTGGTGATTTTTCTGAAGAGGTGGCGAACGACTGGCGAAATTTGGAAGCGTTCGACGAGAAGCTGAAGGAAATTATTGACAAAAACGAACGCAACTTGGCCGATAAGGAACAACAACTGGCCAACTTGAACCAACAAATGAGCCAGCTGCATGCCAACATTAGAAAACTCGAGGAAAAAAACCATCAAGAGACGCAGGCGGTTGACAACCTGAAAGAGGAAACGAGCCAGCTGCTGCAAAAAGTGAAAAATCTGACGGCGGAAAAAAGGAAGATGGAGATGCTCAGAGACCAGACTATGGCGGAAAACGCGAGCGTTTTGGACATGCTGGCTTCCAGTAGCAGGAGGGTTCAGGAGTTGGAGTCATGCGTGGCCGCCTTCGATCAAGGTGCTCTCGAAGATAAGTACACAAAGATGAAGAAGGTCCTCAGGAAGCTGAAGAGCAGGCATGAGGTGTTGGAGAAGGAAAGGGATGGACTGAAAGCCGCCCTCTTCCAGGTCAAGGTCAAAGAGAGCGAGGTGGACGACCTGAAGAAGGCATTCGAAAGGCAAAGCAGGGAAATCAACACGCTTAAGATGAAGGAGCAGCAAAAGAAGGGAGTGCGCAAGTACGTGGCGCGCCATCAGGAGCCAGACCTTCTGCGCCAGGGCTGCTTTGACCTTCTGAAGGGTCTGATGGAAACGTACGAAAAGGAGCCGGCGAACTTTGAGAAACTCGCGCAGTGCAAGGAGCTGAAGAAAAAAGTGGCCGAGAGCGAAAATGCGCGTGAGGTGTTTCAAGAGATCGAATGTCTCCTCAAAAAGAAATAATAAATCTTCGGAATAAAATGGAAAAAAAAATAATTTGTATGAAAATTTCAATTTAGTTCTATTATTTATATGATTTATATATTTAAAAAATTTAATCAAAGTTTGCGCAATTTTATGTTCCTGACAACTGTCAGACAATTTAATCTATCATATATGTAATATTTCTTTTTGTTGTAGAATTTCACATTTTACATTTTTAGTAGACAATTTTACACTTCCATTAATTTCGTTTTAAAATTAAATAATTAATGAAATGACTATATGAAACCTACTTTTTTTCTCAAGCTTGAATGAGGCTTGAATTGTTACGGCGACAAAGCAGAAGCTGCAACATTAGAGTTGAAACACATTGGGAGGAATAATGCATTATTAGAGAGGAAAGCTGCCACCAACTCGCCGCGACATAAACGTATAAAAGTGGTGCCGCGCTCTTTTTCTTTTTGCTCTTCTGATTCCACTGCTTTCTGCCCATAAAAGCAGAGATGCTATAGTGTGTTGTTATTATTACGAGCGGCGCGCTCTCTCATATTACCATGATGGCACTGTGCGAGAGACTTGGCTGCCCAACCACTTAGCGGGATTAATCTGGCAAAACCATCCTACACCAAATCGCAGCACGGGGCGGAAAAAAATTAATGCCCTCAAATAATACGTCTCCCCGTTTCCAAATGCTGAGGGACGCTTTCAAAATTGCAATTTTGTAAAAAGAAAAAAAAGAATTTTTTTTATAATTAATATCAAATAATATTCTGAATTAATGTTGCTGTTTAAGTGTCTCGCCTCCCCATGGACAATCATAACCGCAGTTATGATTTTTATTCTTGAATTCTTAAAAACACAAAAATTTCCCAAGTAGAAATCGCAATAAAACAATTAACTAAAAGTTACAAAAGTTCATTTTTTCCCACCAAAAAAGCTTTTGTGTTTGTAGTTTTTGAGAAAGTTTTTTAATTTTCAGAGGAAAAGTACCTTTTTGCTCATTATGTATTATATTGCTATTGATTTTGAGTAAAATGAGTAATTAAAATCAATTGTTTTTCCCAGGAAAAAATTGCCCGTTTGTATTCTTTGGTTTTTCTATCGTCATTTTTAATTCATTTAGGAATTTTTTTTCTAAAATTTAATTCTAGACAAAAAAAATTAACAGAGTAGCGATCCTTTAAATAAAACAATATTTTAATTTCATTAGCTCTTTTTTCATCAAATAAAGAGAGTCAAAGCTAAACTCTTGGTGATTTACAGACTCGCTACTGAATTTTTATTGCTCGACTTCGCTCCATTTAACTCGGAGCAACGTGCCAAATAAGTTTCAAATGGTAATTCCGCGACGAAATCATTTCATGCTTTGGCAACACTTTAATGCTTCATATATGCCATCGGAGAAAAATTACATTTTCATTAGGAGCGAGAAAACATTTTTGACTTAATTTGCAGCAAAATAAACACAAAGTGCGGCTTATCTCCCATCAGAGCGGCGGTGCGTGTTTGACCAAATAGATATTTACTCGGGACGCACTTTATTGAAGACAAGGAGCGCGATAATGTCAAACTGAAAAGCATTTAGTGTGCTAATATATTGATGCCGCTCCGTTTTTCGGAGATAACCACAGCAAAATGTAAACAGATATATAGTTGCGCTCACAAGCTTCTTTTAGGCTCCTTTTAATTAATCCGAAATGTCAATCACCGACGAATTACAAACGCGGCACAGATTAATCTTTTCAATTAATGATTTTGTACTTTGATTGTACTCATTGAAATGATTTCATTTCATTTACTGTATCACTGTATGTACATAAATTGAGCAATCAAAATTCCAGTTGATTGATTATTATAATTGTATTGACTTTAAATTCAATAAAATTCTGATGGTTAAAATTAATGAATTTATTAACTAAGGAAAAAGTAAGCAGGAAGGAAGTTTACTCATTATCCTCGTGAATTTTGCTCATTTTTTTAAATCTCTTGTCTCTTGCAGACTTTGGAACTATATCGTACAGTTAAAATAATTTAGTTTCCACATTTGTTTATTGGATAAATTACCAAGGCACCTAATCTATTTTTAATAATTTATAAAATGGATTAATATTTTTGTCTTCAAATTCTTCTCATGTATTTATTTTATTTTTCAAAATAATTTAAATTGACGATTCATAGTTTTAATTTTTGTAATTGAAATTCATGAAATTGAATTATAAAGAACAATACATAAAAAGCTCTTACTAATGATAAGACATAGCATAATATAATATACATATTATTTTATTCATAGAATCATAATTATTATTCACTTTAATCAAAGTTAAATGAAATGCATAGTTTTTAACATGTATAATTTTTAGCCATAATAAATAAACTCTGATCGCGCTGTGTTATAGTCGGCAGTCGCATTACGCATTTATTAATTTTGTAAACACGTTTGATTGATTTATGCTTAAATGTCATGCTCTTCTTTTTAAAATGCAGTGAGAGAAAATGCTCATAAATTATTATAAGGTTCACGTTACTATCGCTACCTGTATTGAGAGTGGAAAGGCTGGAAAGTGGTTTTTCTATTTATCAACTTTGGCTGCGAGAAGAACTTTAACGGTCGCCGTTGGGGGTCACGCCAATGCAGCGCGGAATACGAGTTCAATCTAATGAAAAGCGAAAGCAAAAGCAGGGCAAAGTCCACCTACTTGTAGGACGCCTTTTGTCCGCACCCGTTCGAGAGGCGCTGCAGTCTGTTATTGATTTCGCAGATTTCGCACGAAAAGGGGGTGTGACGACACTCGAAAATTGCAGTCTCCAGACCCCCGGAAGAGAATTTCGCAAAGTTCGCATTTCAGAATGAACATTTAACCAGAAACCGATCCAGAAACGTAAGGTAGCAACCTCCTATCCTCCATTTCGATGTGATTCACGCGCGAATTTTGCTCCCTAGACTCAGAATCCAATTTTTCCTGCGACGATTAGCTTCGCCAGATGGACCCGAGCTGATTTTGACGTTTTGCAAATTTGTTTGACAGAATGCCAGCCAGCGGCTTGATTGTCCCCGTGGTGCTGTGGGGCAAAGAGGCGCCCACGCACTGTATTTCCTGCGTCTATCTGTCCAAAGACCAGCGGACTTTGATCACAGGCGCTTACGATGGACAGATTTGCCTCTGGCAGGTTGAACCAGACACCCTGAAGGTACATTTATTCGTCTTAATCTTAATTTCGTCTTATAATATTATTTTATTTTAATAGATGACGCCTCGTTGCCTCCTGGTCGGCCACTCGGCCCCGATTTTGTGTTTGTCGAAGGCCAGCATTTCAGCGGAGAACAACTTCATTGTGAGCTCATCTGAGAGCGGGTGAGTTTTTTAAAAGCTCCAATAAAAAAATTAATTTATTTAAACAAAACTATTTTTTCAGGGAAATGGCCACCTGGGACTTGGTTGATGGAAAGTGCTGCGAACTGGCCAAACTTCCGTACGTTCACACAAATATCCAAGTAATTATTTAAATTAATTGTTTCTGTAAACATTTAATCCTGTTTACTTCAACAGCCGTATCACATGAGTGGCACTGAGGACGACCGTCTCTTTTGCAACGGCTACTACGCAGAAATTTTAATCATCGACCCTTTCAGTTTAGAAGTTCTTTTCTCCCTAGCCTCCAGAGTAAATCCTGACTGGATTAGTGCTTTGCATGTCCTTAGACCAGCTAAGCGGAAAGGTGAATTTCCTTTTATATTTTTTGTAAAGACTTGAAATAATTTGTATTCAACTCCAGACGATGTGGTGCTTGGTTTGACAACTACTGGCATGATCAAAATGTGGCCTCTGCCGGCGGGAGTTGGGAAAGGGTCGGACCCTCTGTACGAGACGGAAAGCAAGCAAATCAGGTGTCTCAATGCCCTTGGCATGAGTTGCTGTGCCTACAACCAAAGAACGGTCCTCATTGTTTGCGCCAAATTTTGGCAGGTCTGTAAAAATTCACCAGCAAAAAAACTTTTCATCATGATTCTTCAGATTATTATTGTTGTTTATTTGTCCAAATTGTTACATCACATTGTTTACATACAGATATTTGAAAACATTTATTTGGAAAAAAGAAATTGTTGGACAAAACGGCACCATTAAATTTATTTAAAAATTTACTTATCTTTTATAACATTAAAATCATATTATTTTGGTCTCTTAAATTAAGAGTTAATTCAGTTGTATTTTATATTTAAATAATTAAAATAATAAAACTTTCAGATCTACGACGCTGGCGATTTCTCAGTTTTGTGCTCCGTCAGCCCTCCCCGAGGTGAAAGGTGGTTGGGTGGTGAGTTTCTGGCCGCTGACAGAGTGCTCCTGTGGTCGGACGAAGGCCGTGGTTACATGTACAGGCTGCCCTCAAAGTAAGTTCATTGGAGAACATTGGACTCCATAGCACTTTCACAAAATCGCAAATGCACCACTACTTCCTGTTTGTATGGCAGTTTTGATGGATCTGATGAGAAATTTGAAAACACTCTCTGTGTATGGTGCTAAACCGACCTTTTAGTAAGCATGGCCTATACAATTAGGTTTAGTGTTTGCAGTTTAAAATTTTTATACTCCATGTACAAAAACATACCACAGCCTTAAATTATTTTTAGTTGGTGTGCTTACTGAAAGGATTTAAATGAGGGAAATTAAAGAATCTTTTGGCCCGATTAAGTTTTAAATTAAACATTCAAATTCAAAGCATGCCTTACTTTCATAAATTAATTAATTTTTTTTTTATTTTGCTTTTACTAATCCTGATCAAAATGACTTGCTTACTGATTCTCTTGCATTTCTGACAGCAAACTGAGAGGGAAATTCGCTGATAGGTCAGTCTTTCCATTCTTATCATGTTGGGTTTGACTTTTGGTGGTTGGGTTTGCTCATTTTTTACCCATAGCCACACAACACCGTTCATTTACTCTCGCTTAGTTAATTTCCCATCCCAAATAAATGGCCCTGCACAACACTGTGGCTGCACGTTTCACTTTTTTAACTAAAAATAAAATCACGCATAGTGCTCTTGCCACTGCTTCACCACCTAAACTGTATGCCTGATGCCTGGGAGATAATTTGCATTTGTTTCAAATATTCATTTGCATTCATTTGTGTCACAAAAGACAAATTTGAGGTCTTGAGAAAAGCATGCCTCAATTTTTTTTGTCTGAAATTTTTGGAAAGCTTTTTGTAATTTTCTTGCTCCAACTCGCAGTTGCATAGCCGAAAGTAAAGATTTCCACAACAAAGCCATTGATGGTGATAATCCATTCCTCTACTGCACTCTGGCCATGCCAGTGGAGAAGGTGAAAAATCATGCAAGCTATTTTTCCTCAATCATAATAATCTCTCATCACCAGCCTTTGTCTTGTCCTCCTGCCATGCGATTTTTCCAAGCTGTGTCCCAGCAAGGAAAACCGACCTGCAAGTATCAAAAGTTGCTGATCCGGGGCGACTCTGAAGGAGCAATAAAATTTTGGGACGTGCCAGACGTGAGCAATAATCAACTAGCCCAAATCAAACAGGAAGATTTCAACAAACCACCGGCTCTGCCTCCGACGCACCACATTACCATTTCAGAAGTGTGGTCTGACATGAAACCTGCTCCTGCCGGAATTGTTGATCAACTTGTAATTTTTATTACAATAATTTTTACTGTTAAGCTGAAATTTATTATCATAGGAAACTCCAAGTGCTCCCAGTATTCACCTAACAGCCAGTATTTATTTGCCTCAGCAAGGCAGATTGGTTTGCGGAAGAGAAGACGGATCTATCATTATTGTTCCTGCGTCTCAAACTGTCATGTTGCAACTGCTGCACGGGAAGCATCAGCAGTACGATGGTTTGTTTATATTTAACATATCCAGTTCCTTTTTAAAAATTGGAAAAATTTAGACTGGCCTCCGCATCAGGTTCTGTTGGGCCACGCTGGCAGAGTAAATTGTCTGCTCTACCCCAACCATGTCCATCCGCGGTATGAAGTGTCCCACCTTGTGTCCGGAGGTGTAGACTTTGCCGTCTGTCTGTGGGACCTTTACTCGGGGTCTCTACTGCACAGATTTTGTGTTCACGCTGGAGAAATCACCCAGCTGATGGTGCCTCCCAACAATTGCAGTGTAAGTAATTTATTTAACCTTTTCATTCACTTTTTCATCTGGAAAAAATGCAGCCTCGTGTGCTGAAGTGCATTTGCAGCGTTGCCAGTGACCACTCGGTGGCAATTTTGGGACTGAGCGAAAGGAAGTGTGTGGTGCTAGCGTCAAGGCATTTATTCCCGGTGGTGACTGTCAAGTGGCGTCCTTTAGACGACTTCATGGTTGTGGGGTGCTCAGACGGCACAGTCTACATCTGGCAGATGGAAACAGGCAAGTTTTGAGTGTAACTTTTTGTGACAAATTTTAATTTGAATTATTTAGGCCATCTTGATAGAGTCTTACATGGAATTTGTGGAGAGGAGGTGCTACACGCTTGTGACGAAAACGTAGCAGCCACATCGTCGGCATCTGCAGGAGGAGACATGGGTCTAGCAAACCCTGCCGTTCACTTCTTCAGAGGTCTTCGCTCTAGGAACTTGTCCGCCATCCGTCACGCCACTCAAGTAATCAATTAAAAAGATAAATTGGCTGGTTTTAAAAATAAATATGTAAAATTACAGAGAGGCTTGCACCAGTTGCAACAGCTGCACCACCACTCAAATCACCACGATGGAGTTGTAGTGAAAAGTGATGCTCCACCACTAGTCATCCAAGGTTATAGGACTAACCCCAAGGATAGTGAATCGCACATCCTTTTCTTTGACATAGAGGCTCTTATAGGTTAGGTTTTATTTTGATTTTGTATGAAATTTGGCAAATGAACTTTGATTGCTTTAGTTCAACTGCTTTCCGAAGAGTATAGTGCCATGTCACCTGGAACTTTGGAGGCCCAAGGTCTGATCAATAGCGCCGAGTATGAAAAAGTTGCTGCCCTAACTCAGTCTGCGTCTCCTGACGCTCACAAGAAAATAGTAGACTTCTTTGGTAGGGTGAAGGACAAGGCTGGAGACATGGAGAGGATTTTGAAGGAGAAAGACAAGCATGGTATTTTTGCAATTAAAGATTTTATTTTATAAAATATTATTTGTTTTTGCCTTAGGTATTCTTGCCAAAGTAAAAGAGGGGGCCGAAACTATGCACACAAGACTGCAGGCCAAGGCAGAGAGTGTTGGGCTGAAAAATGTTGGAAGCGATGGCAGAGAGCGAAAAGGTAAGTGATCAGCTTTTTATAGTGGGTTTTTTGGTTATTTGTAGCTTTTAAAAATGAGTTTAGAATTAACCTGATAACACAAGGTTTTCCTCGACACTCTCAACCCATGTTTAAAGTAACCAATTTTCAGAAAGATCAGTGTTTTGGCACAGGAATATTCAATACCGTTTTTAAATAACGTTTGTATTAATTTTTAAGATATACATTCATTTTAACTTTAACCACTTTGTTTCAAGAAAAATTAATAGGAATTTAGTGCTCAAGATTTTTTTAACAAAAGAACTAAAGGCAGTTATTTTTGAAGTTATGCAATCTGACAACCTCTCATGTGTAGCAGGTTGCATACCCTCTTGAGTCGCAGGCGTTTTTCTTTCCTCGTTGCTAGTTGTCGATGCAAAAAATTGCTCAACCTTGAATGCTATAATAACTTCCTGGATCTCTAGGAATTTAATTGATAGATAATTTGAATGAAAGAACAATTATTTCAGTGAAGTGCAGCAATTTTATTGAAGGAGTCAGATGCTATACAAGCGAAGCTGCGGCCTAGCGTGCTGTCAACATGACAGCCTGCAAGTGCCTGCAGTTTCGAAGACACTCATCTAGAATGACATAAATTAAGTTGGTTCTCTCTCACACACCCGCAGATGGTCAACAGGCATCAGTCGTTTCTTGGGGTCGGATCGCGCTTAGTCGACGCGGTAGGAGACGGCGTGTCCGGGGGTGTTGACCACGGTGGTAAGGGTGGCGGCGCGGACGGCGGGGGCAGCCACGACGGCGGGGGCGGCGGAGTAGGCCAGGGGAGCGGCGATGTGAGCGGCAGAGTAGGCCAGGGGAGAGGCGACGTGGGCGGCATAGGTGGTCAGGGCAGGGGCTCCATAGGCGTATCCGGCGTAGGGGTAGGCGGCGTAGGGGAGGATGGCGCGACGGGCACGGCTCTTGACGGCGGCGTGCTCGGCCAGGTGGGCGGCACGGGCGGCGGCGACCTCAACGGTGTCCTGGACGGGGGCAGGGCCAACGGGCAGGGCAACGGGGGCCACGGCAGGGGCGACGGGGGCCTCGGGCAGAGCGTTGGAGGCAACGCGGAATCCGGCGGCGTCGGCGATGTAGTCGGTCTTGACAACCTTGCCGTTGGGGTCGACGTAGCTGTAAGATCCGGCGACGTTGCCGAAGGCGTCACGGACGGCGTTGTGCACCTGTCCGGGGTGGGCGTATCCGTAGCTGGCCTGTCCGAGCTCGTCCTGGGCGTGGTACTGGGTCTTGGTGGCCACGGGGGCGACGGCGACGGGAGCGGCGGCGTAGGTGGTCACGGCGGGGGCGGCGGCGTAGGCGGCATAAGCGGGAGCGCTATAGGCGTAGGCAGCGGGGGCAGCCACAGCGGGGGCGGCGTATCCGTAGCTGTAGGCCAAGGGGTTGTAGAGGCCAGAGTAAGCCAGGGGGGCGACGGCCGCGGGGTAGTTGCCGGCGAAAGCCACGGCGGCGAGGGCGGAGAGAACAACCTGAGGACAGAAGAATTCAGGACGATTTAGAATTGAGGATTTTGTTGGTTTTAATTTTTTTTCACAAAAAATTGGATTATTTTATGTAGTTACAAATTTAACTCATTTTATGCAATTAACGAATTCATTTAAGTTTTATACAGTTTGATAATAAAATTAATTCATTTTATTTTTTGTAATAGTTATATTTTTACTTTTACGACTCTTTGAAAAATTAATTTTATGTTGTAGCTTAAAAGCACTTAAAAGTGAGATAATTATTTTCAAAAAATATCAAAATGATAAAATTGTTGGTTAATTTGATTTGAAACTGTCTTAACTTTAATCCCGAATTTTTTATAATCCTGATAAGGAAATTTTGATTGATTTTTTTGACTACTTACAAAGACCTTCATGATGACTGTAGCTAAAGCTGCTGCAAAGCGACTGATGCTGATTTCTGCCTGTGGCTCTGCGTTTATATAGGTGGGTCCCCTGCCGGAGGTACGCCGGCCACCACTCTACCCCCGCCCTGACACCACACCCAACCTTGAAGGCCACTACCTGCTGCAGAAGGGAAGCTGCTATGCCATTTTTTCAGCCGCTCAGGTCCGCGTCCAACTTTTTCGCTCGTTATTATTATTTTATTCCCTCTGCTCTTTTCTTCTGCTCGCATATTCGCTTTGGGCGGGACTGGCCACCTGATTGGTACCTTGAGCAAATATAATCTACTTCAGGTCTCCTTACGTGCGCCACTCGTTTGCCTTCCTGTCGGCGAAATTCGCCGCCACTCTCGTTAAAATTTGCGCGATGCTCCGTTTCGAGATGACCAGACCTATATTTTGCTTTATTTCGCTGCCTCCTATCCTTCTAACGCTTTGGTCATTTCTAGAAGAAAAAGTTTCAACGTTTTTTGTTGCCAGGCAGAGACCTTCAAGCGTGTTCTCTTATAATTAAGCGCAGCGTCCCATTCGAAAATTTGTTCCTCTTCATTTTGCCGGCTTCAATTTTTCGGTAGCGATCTTCGTTGGAGATTGTGCTGACTGGAATTGGACAGGCGTCGTTCAATTAGCGTCCTGATGGAGAAGATAATTGGCATCATGTTACATGAAATCACATTAAACTTCTGTTCTCGTAAAGTGTTGAAGTTTATTCCGCTGACCTTGATGACGCGAGTCAAATTTTCCTGACGTAAATCAGAACGGCGCGGTACCGGTTATAGGCTCTGATTGACGGACAGGTCCTACTCCCAGGTCGCACGTGACTTTAGGAGCTATAAAAATAAATCATGAGCTGCAAGTGAAATAAATAAATGCCTGCCATTGAAATTCGTTTGGCTAATTAGTCATTATCGGTTATAAAATGTGGAAAAGCTTTAAATTATATAAAGTTTTTATTTAATTTTTTCTTTACTTTTTAAATTTTGAAGTATAATTATTTATTTATATTGGTACGATTAATTAATTAATATAAAAAAATTAGGTTTTATTTTATGAAAAGTATAATACATTATGCTTCCATTTTCTTTTTTTTTTTCTTTTATCAGTTATCTCTATTTGATAAATCATTGCACGAAACAACGGAATCTGTCAAATTGTATCAATTTATTTTTTTTTTAACATAGCATTTTTCCATCTTGATCCAGGAAAATAATTCAGATTTTTTATTTATTTATTGCCTGTAACTGATTTTTATGTAAAAATAAACTCATGTTTTCAAGACAAACAGATTTTATTGTAGTTTTACGTCTGGAGTTAATGCGATGATTAAAATAAGTACAAAATCTGCCATTTGTTGGCAGATTAAACGCAGACCGTGACCTTACGGCGTTGAAATTAAAAGCGAGCTCCACGTGTCGATTACGCGGTTGACCATAATTACCAGCTTGTGCATTAAGGAAATGAAGTGTTGCTTTTCATGCATCTTGCTTTCGTACAAAACATTCATTTTCATTTTAGCTTCATGTAACGCCGCCCATAATTCGCATGTAAATTTTTTGCACTCATTATAGCTATAAATTTTTCTGGTCCTCTTCCGAATAACCTTGCCTCTGTCTTTTTTATAAAATAATTTTTTACGACCACCAATTAAGTTTTAATTTAATTTATTCGCAGTTCATTAAAAGTTCGGATCGGTTGTGGCTCTTGGCGAGTGAACTATTTTCCAACCGAGTGCACATCAACTTGTGTGTATTGCTCATGTACATGTGTTGGGTTGGCCGACAGCCTACGACACTACGTGCATGCACACCCATTATTAGTGTGCATCGCACCAATGCACTCGAGCTTTGCGTCAAATGCATGCAACAAAAATAGGCACAAGCCAATAATTGTGACATAACAGAGTCGGTTGCTACACTTAAACCGCCGAGACGACTCCACCCTGAAGGCACTGCCTATGGAAAAGAAAAGCAAAAATCTCGCCTCAAGAAATAAACATTTTATTATTTTCTGCGTCGCTCATTAAATATAATATAGGAAAAAGTGGCGTGTTTGACGGACGGGTTTGAGGAAGATGCGTCGGGTGTCACGGAAGGTCAAGGTGTGTTGTTCAGGAATGGCCAAAATCACGCTCAAACGATTTTGATCTCTTGAGAAGAGAATCTGCCCTGGCGATTCGTCAATTTCAAGGCCACCGGGCAGATGCTGTAAAATCGGCTTGGAATTTAAAGGCGCCGTGTTCTAATGCGTACCAAAACACACGCACAAAAAACTTGTTCTCTCGTGAGAAAATTATATATTTTTTTTACTGGCGTGCTGGAAATAATTTTATTTGATTTTATCTACCACTTGGTTACTTGGCCAGCAGATTCAAAACAAAAAATAAAATATACAAAAGACTCCCATTGAGGTTGGTTCAATAAAATTTGATAGGTTTATTTTGTTTGGCTCTACGCAGACAAAAAAAAGCAGTAAAATTGGTAAAATTAGAAGTTTTTACGCAGAGTTTATTTTGAGACATATATAAAGTAAAAGATTTATGAGCAAACTCTTTTGTTGCTGCGAATTTTTGAACACTTTTAAGTAATGAACTTTATTTTTAACAATGAATTATTTAAACAAAAATATATGTTAATAAAATTTAGGCTAAAATTATTTTTCAACTATTAAAATTACAGCATTTTATCTTTTAAATTAATCAACTTCATATTTTTTTCTCTATAATTTTTAAAAACCTTGGAACAACTAGATTCTTTTTAACAGAGAAAAATCGTTTCTTTTCTAGGTTAATTTTCTATAGTTTGCTGCGTCATATTCATTGTATAATTTAAATTCATAGAGACAAGCAATAAATTAAGCAGTCTTGGCGTATCACCAGAAATCAGGAGCGTATGATGCTATTCATACATTGTATGTTTGTGTAGTTCCCTTATGTCAAATTTTATTAAAATTAATTATCACGTAGAAGTGGGACAAAAAATAACGCGAAATAATGTAATATAAAGTGTAAAAATTTTTTACTTCATAAATGTAAATTCTAGCTATTTAAAAAATATTATGCCTCTTAAAACTTTGATTTTTTTCAACTGTCAAATGCGTAAAATAATTATTTCTTACACTCTAAGAACAGACGCTGGAATTTTTGCGTGGATATTAGGCAAAGCACCTTGTCCCAGTATAAACGAGTTGACAAATCGACCCAATCATAATTGAATAATGCACTGGCCCGAGAGCTTGCAAAAAAAGTTGATGCGTTATCGATCGCATTTCATCACGGCGGCACCTGAGTAAGGTCGTTTGCCGTAAAGGCAATAATTGTACAATCGCGCAGGGTGGCGACGCTTGCACGTAGCGCGCCAGACGTTCAGCTGCGTTTGCATGCAAAGCGTGCGTCTGTAGGCAGCCGGCCAAGCACAATCCTTTCACTCTCGCATCGCTCGCGGCGGCCGAACTTGAACTTCAGAACTTGCTACACTTGTTGCGGCGGAGAGGCCCCTCGCCAAGGCCACTTTTCGCTGCTGCTCGGCTCTCAAAGAGCGAAAAAAAAATTACACAAAAGCTTCAAGATTTTTCTCTGAGAGATGCTCGACGGACGTCTTTTGTTTCTTTCTTTTTCATTATGTATTTCCCCGAGCTAATGTATGCCACACACGGTACTGTTATCTCTCTCTGTACTGAATAATGCGAATAATGTAATGCGTGACGTTTGACTTGAGGAATCTCTCGACCGGTGCCAATTGCGTCGCGCCATTGACAAAATCCACCAAGCTGAAAATAGATATTTTGTTTATTCAGGAGAGACAGAAATAATGTAAATAAAACTAACAAAATAAGCTTAAAAATCGAGCTGGTGTATATATCAAAAAGATATAAATCAGGTTGGTTTCGCGCAGACCTGTAAGCTGTAAGGACAAGTCTCCTTAAAAGTAAATTCCAGCTCTTTCACGAGCGTTGGAATCGGGAGAAAACAATGGAAATAAATTATTTATGGGACGACCTCACACGCCATTAGCAGAAATTGTTCCGAGAAAATAAATATTGCTCTTGCATTTTAAAAGGACTTGCGACAAAAGTATTTATTTGTAACTGAATCCAAGCCAATTTGTTCTCTCGAGTCTTACACGATTTTTTCCAATATGTTGACAGGCTCGGATGGCGAATCGAGAGGTCGTGGCTCTAGGGCCGGACTTATGGAAACTGTCAACATCACAATGGAAGTTGCCCAGCTACTGCTGTCCTTGATCCACGCCTGGGGTCTAGATCCTGACCTAGACAAAGTCTGTGAGGGCAAACTCGGCCTGCTGAGACCCATGGTTCCAGTTTCTTTCGGCATCATGTCAAAAGGAGGTAAAAAAAAATAATATAATTTTGATTATACGCATAATTTTCTTTTAAAATAAAATTTTCCTTTGCTTTATTTACTTTTGAAACAAAATATGAAATTGCATTATTGGCGATTTCTATGTTCAATCAATATTTTTTAATTAAAAATGATTAATCTCCAAAATTATAATTCCTTAATTTACTATTTAATTTTTTTTTAAATAATTATGCCTGTTGTTAAGATTTTGTCAAACTTTCCAGGATTCATGTGCCTCCAGCTCCCAACCTGGCAGTCGCAACTTCCTGCAGTAAACCCGGCAAGCACCTCCTCAGGCATAGAGGCCAACCTCCCGCCTGAGATGGTCCGGATGGAAATGGCCACCAGACTCTTCACAGCTCGCACCCACTGGGAATTATCCACGGTCATGACCACCACTCACTTGTTATCCATCATCGCCATAGCAAACACCTTGATGTCGATGAACTGTGCCACTTTCATCCCGGAGCAAGAGCGCCGGCGGAAAATGCACAGGCCTGGTTTGCGTCAGTTGTCCATTGCGTCGGAAGATGTGGGCGTCGAGGAGGACGCGTTTACAGCCCAGCAGGCGCAAATCAAGCAGGGCTGGAGCTTGCTGTCCACCTTGCACTGCATTCTGCTCCCGGACAAGTTGTCCGCCCAAGGATCAAAAATCTACAAGCGGCCGTTGGTTGAACTTTTGGCGCGGAGGTTTGTATTTTTACTATTATTTTTCTGATTAAATTAGAATATGAATTAACGTTTTTCAAATTTTAAACTATCAATTAAAAACAAAAATAATATGTTAATAAAAAAAAACTCCAAAAAGAAAAGTAGAAATTTGTAAAAATATGTGTTTTTATTTAACTGTTAAACATGGTATTTTTTAAGGTGGCAAGATCAATGTCTTGAGGTGAGGTCAGCATCTCAGACCCTCCTTCTGGCCGAGCTAACCAGGATGGGTTCAAAGGGCAGAAAAGCTCTGGTGGACAGTTGGGCCCCTTTCTTGCCATTCAAACCCGACAAACCAGGTCCTACAAATCAGCCCCAGACAGGGGCACAGCACCCTCAACCAGAGGGAAATGGCGAAGGCGAGCAAAACCAGCAGCACCATCAAGAAGATGCCGAAGAAGATGACGATGAGCACTTGGATGGTATTTTTTTTATAAATTTTTCATAAACCTTGAAGATAAAAATACAATTTTAGAACTTGCCCCACAACGGCCATCTACGTCCACTGAAGCCAAAAGGAAAGAAGCAACTGCGGTTGTTCTCCTTGGAGTGATTGGAGCTGAGTTTGGACAAGATATCGAGACATCCGCCACTAAGAGGAAAGCTTCGGAGGGTGGAGAACAGCCAAAGAAAAGAGGCTCTGTGGTTGAAGGGTTTGGTATCGGTGCTGCAGGCAGCAATTTGGCCAGATGCACAAGTAATTAAAAAAAGACATGCATTAGTAGTTTTTTATTTATTTAATATTCAACTCGTCTTTTACAGGCTTGGCCTTGATGAACTTGCTCCTTTCACCACCATCTAGTCGTCTGCCCACTCATTCGTCAATGCGGAGGGCAGCAATGGACCTTCTTGGTCGAGGCTTCACAGTCTGGGAGCCTTATCTGGACGTATCAAAGGTGCTATTAGGGCTTTTGGAGCAGTGCTGTGAGAGTGATCACTTAGTTCCAAGGTCAGTTTTTATTTTAAAATTAAAATTCAATTGAAAATTTAAAAAAAAATTATTTTAGCATGGCCTACGGCCTCCCACTGACTCCGACAGCAGACGCCTGCCGGACTGCAAGACATTCTTTGTCCCTGATCGCAACCGCCAGGCCTGCCGCTTTCATCACAACCATGGCAAGGGAAGTGGCTCGCTACAACACTCTGCAGCAAAATGCGCAAACCATAAACATAAACTTGTCCCAGACTGTACTGCACAGGGCAAAACCTGAAATTTTGCGCAACATTGAATTGCTGATAGACAAAATGCAGAGCGAAATGGCTGATCTTCTAGTCGAGGTATTTTATTTACTTCCCCCCATTATTTTCCAATTTTAAAATGACAATATTTTCAGGTCATGGATATTGTCCTTCATTGTGTGGACCCAGGGCACCTAAAAGTCAAAACCCTGAACGAAGTCTTTCCCGCCGTTTGTCGTTTCCACCAAGTCAGTCACTGCACTCAAACGAGAAGGATCGCGGTCGGAGCCAAGTCGGGTCAGCTCGCAATTTACGAACTTCGCTCCAACCGCTGTCAGCTCATTGCAGCACATGGTGCTCCTATCGCAGCAAGCTCATTCTCCCCAGACGGGAAGTTCCTTGCATCATACTCTTGCACAGAGAACAAAATTTGCTTCTGGCAGGTAATAACTCCCAAAAATTATTTTCTGACAGTGAAAAATTAAGTATGATATAACAACTTGAATAAGATAAATTCGTTAATTCATATTTTACCTTCTTTAATTTCTATTTTTTAGACGTCAACGGGCATGTTCGGACTGGGCAACTCGCAAACGCGCTGCGTGAAAACGTATCCCACCCAGCCTATTGCTGACCTCAGCAGACACAGCCCCATGAAGTTGGGCCGTCTCATTTGGATCACCAACAAAACCGTCTCACTGATGCTCTGCGACGGCTCGGAAGCGAGATACAACGTCTAAACCCCAGGCACTCATACAACCCACTTATATCCATTCTTGTACCCACATAGTTACATTGCCGTAGTCGAAATTGTTGAATCTATATCATTCGTGTACTTATTGATGGAGAGGTTTATTTGAGCGACAACCCATGTTATCCAAAAGTATAGAAAAATCACATTATGATATCGGAAACTTGTTGCTTCAGAGGCAGACAATAATGTGCGTCATTCGTTAAAAAAAAAACGACATTGAACTAAGTAAAATATTGCAAAATTATTATAAAATTGTGTTTATTAAAGGTATGCATCCGGTGATGTATTAAGGTGTGATAAATAAATAATTATATCTGGCGTTACTCAACATTCCAAAACACGGACTTTGCCTTTCACGTAAACTTGATAAGATTTTGGTCCACCTTTGAAACAAGGGAACTTTGAGTAGACATGAACGGGGAATCTGATCAAATTATAAATAATTGGCAGATCATATATCTCATCTGTTAGGAATTAAAGTTTGAACTTTAGACAAGCATTCTTTGATCAAAATGCCAATGTACTGGTTGATATAGCAAATCAAGGAGCTAGAAAATCCCACTTAAAAATGCGAAAAATTATGGCACAATAACAATTTTTTATTAAAACATAACTATAAAGCATGGAAGTTTTTTTTACAAAAATATCTTTTCAGTAGCAGCTGCTGTGTGCATCTAATAAAAATGCATGGCATTCCAATCAGATCAAAAAGCCAAGAAAGACTATCAACATTTTTTTTTAATTACGGCTGCATTCTGAGGGCCCCATCAAGTCTGATGACCTCTCCGTTGAGCATAGGGTTCCTTATAATGGATTCCACCAGCATGGCAAATTCGTCCGGATTTCCGAGCCGAGACGGACAGGGTACCGTGTTTGCAAGATAAGTGCGAACTTTTTCCGGCAATGATTGCAAAAGCGGCGTGTCGAAGAGACCGGGTGCAATGGTGCACACCCTGATTCCTTGGCTGGCAAGGTCGCGGGCAATGGGCAAGGTCATGCCTACGATGCCACCTTTGCTGGCGGAATAAGCGGCCTGGCCAATTTGTCCGTCAAAGGCGGCAACACTGGCCGTGTTGACGACGACGCCACGCAAGTTGCTGGCGTCCGGCTCATTTTTGCCGATTAGACCGACAGCAAGTCGAATGACATTGAAAGTACCACCGGTGTTCACCTGCAGATAGGAAATGAAATTAATTTGAATTGCAAATGGCAATTAAAAGTATCACAGTCAGAATGCGCAAAAAGTCTTCAAGCGAGTGGGCCTGATCTTTCTTGAAATTGTACGTTTTAAAAGCGACTCCGAGTCCGGCGCAATTGATTGCTGCATCCAAACGTCCAAACTTTTCCTTGCAAATGTCCAAAGCTTTCAAAACGTCTTTCTCAGAGGTCACCTATGCGTACAATTATTCATTTATATTGATATGCAAAATCATAATCAAAGAAATACATCAGTCGCAGAAAAAACGACATTTTCTCCCAATGACTTTGCGACTTCCTCGCCCTTGGAGGTGGACAAGTCGCAGAGGACGACCTTGCCACCTTCGCGGACGAACCTCTCGACAGTGGCACGTCCAAGTCCGGAGGCACCTCCTGTCACCAAACCGACCACATTCTGCAAAATTTAAATAAAATGATTAATTTCTTGTGCTTTCATATACATATCCAAAATTTTGTGTTATGCGTTTGAATCAAGCCGATCAAGAGAGCTAAACAAAGCAATAAATTCTCCGAATTCTTACCCGCAGCATATCGGAAGAAAAGATTATTGAATTTTACAGAGTGAAAAAACTCTGGTGGTAAAGTTCAATGCAAGAAAAATACAATACAAGAATGATAATGATGATGAAATGAAAACCTTTCGTTTCGGGATTTGATACGAAAGGGGAGTGGCTCAAGCTGCTCTCGCTCTCAACTTGGAGCACGTGGAGGGGCGAAAGGCAGCAAAAGCGCCAAAGGCGCGTGAAAGTGATTTTAGCTGATTTTAGTCTGGGTCTGGAGTCTCTCAAGTCTCTGGACTTCTGGAGCAACCATATATGGACCCAATATTTTAGCAATTCAATAAGACTCAATTGTAGTAATATTTTTATAAAATTCTTAATTACATTAAAAAATTCCTGTTTTACAAATGCAAGAAAATTCATGAAAAAAAATCATTAATCCAGCATTAATCAATGCGCAGATAATTGCAGATGCGTAAGTATTACGGTATTAAATCAGTGTCATGCTCTTCTGACGAGTTTGAGGACGGCCGCCATGTTCATTTTTTTCTTCAAATTTAATTATTAAATTTTTCCTCGAAGAATCACAGAAGTGTGAAGTTTTTTAGAAGAAAACTTTTGAATGATATTGTTTGATGAAACAAGATAAATTGAATTTGAAAGCTGATTCTTGCTTTTTATTCGATTAAAAAATCACTTACAATTTATTATACCAATTGGAAAAGGTATGAATGCATTTATAAATATTAACAGTTGAAGCACAGGTATTGAAGAAACATACATTTTAATGATCAGAGCGCGCAAAAACAAAAACATTGTATATCAGATTCTGCTGTCAATGATAACTCTTGCATGACGATGAACATATGTAATATAGGTGAATCAAGTTATTTTCATTTTTTGTCTCTTATTTTTTAATTTTAAGTCTAGGTCTCAACTAAAATTAAATGCGTTTCTGCAGTTTCCAGTTAATACAAAACTGGTTTCTTCACAATATATGCAGCAGCAGCAGCTACCTCATTCATGTTGGTGAATTGATTCGCAAACAAAAGAGTACAAGTGTGAGCAAAAAGTTGCAATTGGAGCCTGGCCTTGTGTCAGATTAAAAAAAAATTAAAACACTGCCCTGTTTAAAATTGGGCATATCAATGATTGCCTGCAAATAAGGCAGAAAAGAAATATTTAGAAAAAAAGTAGCTCCACGTTCTCGAGTCTTGGGGACAAATTTTTGGGCACATTTTTTTACCATAAAATGCATTTTTAATATTTTGTATTGCCGATGCGCCACACAATTTGCATTATTTTGATTCAAGTATGCTACATACTTAGGAAGGGGTCACTCGCTCAATCGTCTGTACACAAATGACTTATTTTGAAATAATGAACTAGTATGTGTGTGATCTGCCCAAAGGCGCAAATTCAGAACAAACTAATGAGAATGCACAGGAACAAGAGCAAATAATAAATTAAGAAAATCGAAGGCTGGTGTTCATTACTTTTTACAATAGTATTGTTACTCCCGTGTCTCTTAAGTTGTACAGCCGGTGGGTTGTTGTATTACTTTTCCTTCGGTATTGCCATTGTCAGCTCAAAGCCAAGAGCCTCCTTTTCTTCCCCTGACAGATTTTGAATTTCATTACTGATCAGGCTCTGAAGCTTTCCATGTAAACCTACATTTTCTTTTGTAAAAACAAATATTTTGGCAAATTAAAAATCCAGAGCTAGTTAAAAGTAATTAAAATCCGCCTCAGAGGGAGGCCCCACTCCAGTAGGCACTGCACTCGACAAATCTGAGATTCTAACGCAAGGAGAGGGTAAGCTCAGCGTAGACATGCGAAACACTTGCGCACTCCTTCATTGATGGAAACAGTCAATCACAAATTAGTCATCGTCCTCCTCTTCAGATTCATCCTCCTCCTCCTCCTCATCATCGTCCTCTGAATCAATCTCCGTCTTCAGCTTTTTGGTTGGTTTTGAGTAACCGGCTGACCTCAGTCGTTTCAGTTCTGCCCTACTCTCCATTTTCTCGATTTGTGCAGCAGTGCGCTCGGATCGGAACGGCTGCACCAATGGGAAAATCTGCTCAACTGCACACTGCACAGCTGCCACACTTGGAGCTGAAATTCAATTAAGTGTAAAATTAAAAATAATTTTGATATTTTGAGAATAGATTTGACATTTTGTTTTCTTCAACTTCAATAGAAAACCAAGTTTATGATCTAGTCTTCAAACTCTGCAATATTTTCTAAAAAGAATTTATAGTTAATCTGGCCAGAGTCTACCTTTAATTTCAGATTCTAAAACTTGAATGGGACATGTCAAGATCATTTAAACAAAGAATTGTAAACACAATCTAAAGTTTTAACTTACCACCGGTAATGGTAATGCTTCCAGTGGAAAATATCTTTAAAGTTGCTTTGTGAGGTTCTTTTATTCTAAAGGTGACTCCTGGATGGAGTTCTGGTTCGTAACTGCAAAACACCAAAATTTCAGAATGCAAATCGAACGATTGCTCAACATTAATACCTAGCTTGATTCCTGTACTGCTCTGAGAAATGTGCAATCTTAATGTTAAAAGGCATAGTGCAGGAGCCGAGCACATTGACCACCCGGTAGTGTGAAAATCTGGTTTTGAATCCGATTTTCTGGAGTTGGCGAGCAACCCGCCTGGCCGCAATATGAGCGCACGCCTCTGTAGTCGCACCTGTCACAGTCACTTTGCCCGACGACCAGATTGAGGCAGTTGTGTACGGCCGTCGCAGCTTCATTGTCACCATCTGCAGAAATAACAAATTTTTATTCGGTGCTCTCAAACTTATTTTACTCGAAATAAAGACTTGTTAAGAGACTAAATTTTCCGATATGGGATGCAAGTAAGGTTGATTATAGTTTAGGAAGAGAATCAACTGATAAAACAACAAAATTCAATTTTCAATTCTTGGAAACAGGGAAAATAATCTTTAAAAATAATAAAAGTTACAGCAAATATTTTCTCTGGAATTACAAGCCTTGAGAAACATCTTAATATAAAAATAACCTCTTAAATAATAAAAATAACTTTTCCATACTTCGATTTCAGAAATTATGTGTTTAAAATGTAAAATATAAATTATTTTTAACTTATAACCTGTGTACTAAATGAAAATAATAAAAAATAAACAAGAATTAAATATTTTAATAAGCAAATTCAAAATAAAATGCCAGATAAAATGGCATATTTGAGTTATTTGAAGACATAAAATTAGACAGGCAGGTTTTCCCTAGAATATGATTAATTTGATTGAGAGTGACACAAACGATGTAGAGCACCCTACCAATTCAGTTCTAGTTTTTTCCCAATGGTATTTTCTCGATTTAATTAAACATCATCAATGAAATGTAATTAAGACTTTTCAAATCACAAAATGTTTAAGGCACTGACCCCTTGTTCTCTACGGAACTCTACGTTGGTTCCTTTGAGGGCTATTTCCCTCAGGTTCAGGTGACACTTGACACTAAAACTGCACACCACATTGCTGATTTCAATGTCAATTTCAGGAACATCTTCTTCAGGCTGGGCCGAGTCTCCGTTGGTGGGCTCAGTCTCCGCCGTCTCTTCTTTGAGCGCATTCTGCTGGAGGCCGTACTGGCCAGACTTGAGGTCTACGTGATTGCCGTTTGTGAGGATACCATTCTTGGCGGCCTCAAAAGTTGTGGCCATTTCTTCCTCAGTCAGCCGACCTCTGCAAACAAACGTCCCGGTGAGTTTCACATTACCAAAGAAATAGTCATCAAGGCCAACTCGGTAATAGTTTCAAATTTCCAAGTTCACGCATTATTATTTTAGATTATTCTAATAATTGGCTTTTTAATTTACATTAGGAGTGCTTAAATTCATTTTGTTGAACAGATGGGTCCAGAAATAGCCTTATTAAGAAATTCTAGGAAGATACGCCCAAGGTTAATTTAGAGGCGAGCTTGGGGAGAGAAAAATTGGCTCAACCCTGGAAGATTGGCTTCAGATTAGAAACTGGCAGAGTGCAATTTGGAATCTATGATTGAAATTTGATATCAAGACGAAAATAATTGAGTTAGAAGGATGCGGCGTCCGAGCGAATTCCGCATCACCTGCACGTACGTGAACGTATTTCGCATCGCACAAGCAATCGATAGCCTAGATTTGAGAATATTGAGAAAAATTAATAGCATAAGCTGGTGCGACCAGAGCTGCGAATTCGCGATTAACGCGTTCGAGAATAGCGTCGAGCGGAAAATATGTGTCCCTGTTGCGTATGTAGAGGTGCGTGAGCCAGAGAAGGCAAAATAGAGATTCCGCACAATGTGTTCCCAAGCAAGGAGACCCACTACAAGCGGAAGTGCCCGACCACTGAGAGTTTGGACGCGAAAAAACGGCGGCGAACGGCCGAATTCACACCTCCCGTGATTACCATGCAGATCTGGACAAGAGGAGGTCCGCAGGAGGGTGAGGAAGTGTAGAAATCAGTGGAAATTCAGCAGGTCAATCACGAGCCATCAACACTCCATTGACTTGGTGCGGCAGTGACATCTGGAGCCGCCTCCGCAAGCTTCCGAACAAATGAACAAGATTCCTCTACGTTCTCGATTCCGATTGGCCGATCAAAAACAACACAGAAAAGGCGGTGCATTTGAATTAGCCGCCATTTTCGTATTTATCATTGCACTTGAAGGATTTTTTCTGTACATACTTCTTCTTCGAAGAGAAGATCTCTGGAATTGACCGAGACCATGAAACTGATTTGCGACTTGGTTGTAAATAATTTACAGTATGCAGGACTGTCGGTGCCGAAAAATCGGGCCAAGAAATGCCAAGTAAGCGTAATAAAATCGAGCAACAACGAGCTCACGATGGTCGCACAGAGCGCAGACAACAAAAATGGAATAAATTACAAGGTCAGTTTTCATTTGGGTGTAATTACTCAGGGAAAAATTATACTTTTTTTTACCATTTTCAAAAAATAATTTTGGTATCCGTCAGTTGACAGGAAATGTGACGCAGACTTTTGAAAAGTTCGTGTTAGAGGGCAAATGCACGATTCGTTTGAAGAAGCCTTTGGCGGATTTGATTCTGAGCAAGTGTGATGTCATGCAGCTGAGACTGTTTTTAAAAACTATCCAAACCGGAGAGGATCTGCTCTCAGGTTATTATTAATTTATTGCTGTCATTTTTTTTATTTTTAAATAAATTTTCTTGCAGGTTCAAACAGTCAAGCTGCCAACAAAAAAGGAAATAATGAAGATTCAAGGAAAAGGCTTATTGATAGTCTGCCTTCTTCTCAGAAGAAACTGAAGCTGTCAAATTTCAATGAAAAGTGCAGAACCAAATTAATAATTTTATCAAAAAAGGAACTCATCACAACCTCTTTCTCACAGACACTTGTTGAGCTTCAGGTGATTTTTTTTTACTAGTTTAAGTAAATTCGTAATAAAAAGTCCAGATTCCAGATCTGGGTTTGAGCATGATTCCTCCATCTGTTTCAAGACTTGCCAAACTTCAGACCTTGGACGTCTCAGGAAACAACCTGACAGATTTGCCGAGAACTTTCTCCTCAAAACTGACTAGTCTTAATTTGAAAGGAAATCAACTCGATAGATCAAACAGCAAGACTTGGAGATTCTTTTCTCTGCCGAATATTAGAAATTCTCTGTCGCTTCTCAACCTTCAAGAAAACAGAGTATGTATGAAAATATTAGGAAAAAATAATGATCATTAATTTACCAAATTTAGCTCCCTGCGTTACCTTTGGAAATTTTGAGCCTGGAAAAACTTTCTACGTTGAACGTTTCACACAATAAAATCAAGAAATTTGCATCTTCAATTGGAGACCTCCCTAGACTAAGGTTCAAATAAGTTATTATTAATATGATTATTATCAGTCAAATTTAAAAATTCCGTTCAATCTTTTAGGGATCTGGACGTATCCCACAATGTTCTTAGCTCTCTCGACATCAGTTTCAAAATGCTCAAACTTGCCTCTTTGGATGTGACAGGAAATTCATTTTCACATCCTGTAGACAAGCAAGGAGTAAATGGAACTAGCAGTGTCCCAAGTTTGAAAAGAATTGCCTGTGCCCTAGTAAGAAATCACAGGTAAGATGAACACAAAAATTAATTCATAAAACCAATCTTCTGCCTTTCTAGGATTAACCATAACATCCTACCTAAAACGGTTCAAGAAGAGTTGCTGTTGATGAGACGTTGCAAGTGCTTCAAAGTGGTTGGCAGCACAGATGAACAATACATCATCAATTCAGTCAAAAATCTTGCTCAAACCTGTGTTTTTGATGGAACAACTCATTTACGGATGCATTACAGCAGTTGCAATGGTTGTGAGAAGTCGCAGATTTCATCATTAAGACGTCTGATATAGAATTATCTTAAAATACTAAAATAATGTAGTTTTAAAACAATTGTATCCACATTTTTAATTGCCATTGTTTGAACCATGCGTACACATATTTAATGAAGCAACAATTTCATTTATTCACACACTCTGTGATGGGGGAGTGATCAAGATTGATTTTTTTAATATATTTACTATATTAATTAATAACTTTTGTAAGTCGTTCTTAAAAAAAGGAAACTTTCATATAGGATCAATTTAAATATATAATGTTTTCATAGCTAAAGTTCCAATTCTTTCATCCCTATAGATTATTATATTAAATGTGCTACATACTTTTTCATCTACAGACGATACAGGTTTGAAGTTATTTCTCTTTTTATGCAACCAACTGTCCATATATGTTTAGCCGGTTGCCTACCTCTCCGCCAGTGAGCACGAACCGCCCTCTTGCGGATCAAACTTGAACTACAGCACGTGTGCCGGCGGCAAACATAAACAAACAATCGTAAGGATAGCAACAAAATCAGTCCTATTTAATAATTGCTTTTCAAAATCGCTAATTAAAGGAGCCAGAGGGTGAGTGAAAATGGTCGAGCACAAGACGCAGGAGATCAGCGAAGATGAGGCCACGCTCTACGATCGGCAGATTCGCCTCTGGGGTCTCGACTCACAAAAGCGGTATAAACTACTAATTAATTTTGATTTTTTTTTTCATAGAATTTTTCAACTATTTATTTTCTCCAGGCTGCGTGCAGCTCGCGTGTTGGTGGTAGGCGCTCGAGGACTGGGCGCTGAAGTGGCCAAGAACCTCATTCTGGCCGGCGTCAAGACTCTCACTCTGCTCGACTCGGAGCCGGTGGCCCCTGAAGACCTCGAGTCGCAGTTCCTTGTGTCCGAGTCGGCCGTCGGCACCAACCGGGCTCTCAGCTCTCTTGACAGGGCCCGACCTTTGAACCCAATGGTCGACGTCCAAGCTCGTGGAAACGCCATCGACGCCGAGCCAGACGAATTCTTCACAAAGTTCGAGGTGGTGTTGGCCCTGGGCTGCCTCAAGAAGCACAACCAGAGACTTGACCAGATCTGCAGACTCAACAACATCAAGTTCTTTGCCGCGGACGTCTTTGGCTTCTACGGCTACATGTTTGCAGACTTGCTCCTCCACGAGTTTTCCATGTATGGTTAAAAAAAATTAAATTTAACTTAAACCACAGGTTGATTTTCTTAAATTTTCAGTGAAACTAAGATTAATATCAAAGGGGCGCCTCCTGTGAGCCAAATGACAAAAGAGACTGCTACTTTTGTTCCGTATCAGGATTTCATGGACGCAGACTGGAAGTCTGACGACCAGGCCAAGAAGTTGAAGAGGATGAGTTTTGGCTATTTCCTCATGAGAGGTAATGACAAAAATAGAAATATAAAATAGATAATAAAACAGAAAATATCAATTATACCAAAAAATTTAACTGGTAAAGATGTTTTTTTCAGACAAGAGTAAGCCCAGTTATATTTTTTCAAAACGAAAGCCTAGTAGAGTGTATTTTTTTAAATATAGTTTTTTTTTCTAAATGCTAAAAATTTCGACAGTGGTTCAAGAATTCCGTGAAAAGGAGAAAAGATATCCGAGCAGGTCGGAGGAAGACTTGAAAACTTTGCTGTCTCTGAGGGATTCTCTTTTGCCCGAGCTCGGAGTCGACCCTGCAAAAATTCCTGAAGAAGTTTTCAAGTAAATGCAATGAATACCACAATTGAGAATTTTGCAATGAATCTTTTGCAGCAACACAACTGGCCAGCTAGGTGCTACATGTGCCATTCTTGGTGGAATTGTGGCGCAAGAAGTGATCAAGGCAATCAGTCTGAAGGACCGACCTCTTAACAACGCCTTCTTCTTCGACCCAGACACCTGCGCTGGAAAAGTTGAATGCATTGGATGCTAAGTTTTTTTTTGTACTTCCTCATTAAATTGTATGATTTTCAGTAAGGAATAAAAATATATATTCATTTTGGTAACATCAGTCTTCAGAATTTACTCAACAGCAAATAATTTGTTCATACATTTGGCAATTATTGTTTCGAACTCGTCTGATTTAAGTACAAAAAAGTTTGGCTAGAATTGAAATCAATATAACGAAAATACTAAAATCGACTACTTGTATTTAAAACATTAAATTTGTGACTAAATGTTCCTAAGGCCACTTGGGAGAGCTTTTAAAGTCATTGTGGAAGACCTAGTTGGAGTGGTGGTTGTTGTCGCCATCAGCCGAGCGGTGCAGCGAGTACATGTGCGCTGACAGTGAATACTTGTGTTTGAAGACCTTACCACAGATGTGACACGAAGCCTCTTGCAAATACGAGCCGCCGTGCTTGATGCGCATGTGCTTGACCAGGTTTGATTTGTTCGAGATGATCTTTTGGCACACCGGGCATGGTCGGCTGCTCATTCGATTGGCGCCGTCCGTGCTGCGAGCCTCCTCTGCGAATGCACGCGCTCTTTTAAGCATTTTGCTCTCGTCACCACACAAAAATAAAAGAAGTAAACAAGAGGTTTGAAAAACGACAAAAGGCAAATGTAAAACCATGCCTTAAATCAAACAATCAAAAGTCGACAACATGGTCTGTAGGAAAGAAAAAAAAACAAAACACAGGAGAAAATCTTCCAAAGCGTGTCACTTGAAAAAGCAGATTTTATTCTCTCTAAGTAAGTTACTTAATCAAGGTGAAAGAATCAAAACATAAATGAACATATAAATATTTCTGAAGTACAGAAAGCGCGAGAAAAAAAAATGAATATAACAATAAAATGTACAAAATATTCGATGTGGGCAAATGAACATTTCAGACCATCGTTGGAAAGTTTTTCACTTCTGCACTGTTTCTCGCTGCAGCGTATGGCAAAATAATCTGCACGGTTTTCTGAGAGGGCAAAACACTTGGGATTTGGGATATATATAAAAAAAAAATTAAAATCAAAGAATTGGGAATGCTCCAGACTTTTGAGAAAAAAGACCATAAAATATAATTTCAGTTCCTGAAAATTCCACCGCAAACTCTTCTTTTTCACATAAATCACTTAAAATTGTCACAATTACATGAAAAGCTGCAAAATTAATTTTTGAGGCGTTGCATTTCTAGCGTCCATTGGATGTGTTCGGCGCAGATTTGTTCCTTCTGTGGCACGGAGGAAAGGGTTGAGAGGGGTCAGATATTGGTTGTCAGTAGTGGACGTTGTGCGCGTCCTTCATGTGCTGCTTCAGTTTGAAGCTCTCGCGGGTGCGAAACGACTTGGGACACAAGTGGCAGCACGCCCGGTCCGTCATTTCTGAGTGGACGAGGCGCACGTGGTACTTGAGCGAAGACTGGTTGGCGTACTCCTGGCCGCAATGGGGACACGAGCCCCCCTGGGCCACCCGCGGCAGCCCGCCCGTCGGCCGCGCCACTTGGCTTCCTGCAATGCAAAAGACGCGCGTCTCAAATCCGCTCGGACACCGAACCTCTCTCACAGAAACTTCTCTCTCGGAAAATAAAAACACAAAAGTCAATGAATAATTGCACCTCACTCGACCAAAAAGTGGAAACCCCAAAATTAATTTAAAATGACAGCAAAACATGAAATAAAATTTTAATTTTACAAACTTCGAATTCTTGATTAAAATTTATAATAAATTTTTGAAATTCTATTTATTTTTACATGAAACAAAATAAATTTAAATCGCTTTCATAATTTCATAAAAAAATTAAAATGGACAGTAACTGAGCCAAATATTATATAATCAGTATTTAATATTTTCAAACTTTTTACATGTATAATCGGGGTTCATTTTATTTCACGGCTACTTGACTTAATTACCGATGAGTTTAAATAAAAGTAAAATACGAGTGCCGAAGTAAAGTTTCCACTTCATGGGTTGATATTATGATCAAACTAGTGATTAATAATTGATTATGCTCTATATTAGTTTTTTTTAATATGGTAGTTGCGTTATCAGAATTAAAGAGTGCGTCATTCGACATGTGTGTTATTTTGCTCTTGTTAGGTTTGGCAACATTAAATTTATTAGTCCATCCAAAGAGTTAATATTTACACAAAATATCTATCGATCAGTTCTTTAAATCACATAAAATACACTTCTTGTAAGATGATTGGGGGCGATTGGAGGTTACATATCGATTCAATTAATTCTCCACGTCATGCGGTATTTTTTTGTACTCAACATTTCATGCAAGGGAAAAGTAAGTAAGTGCACATGTACACAAGAATTAGATATATATATTGTTACCCACTTGCGAGAACAGAAGAGTCAAAGGTGTGATGCATCGCGCAGAAAATATCTCTCCTCTTCCAAACAAGCAACCAGATAAAAAAAAACAAGCGTAAATTCAGATTTCAACACATTCCTATCGGCCCCCCTTTTTTTACAAAACAGCCAAAATTTAACAATCTTTATTGATCTTAATTTTTTTAAATCAACTTTTCTGAATTAGTCAGGGGGTTTATCTTTAATTCAGTCACATCTCAGCAATGCAATAAAATGCATTCATCTACATGATTATGGATAGTATTTAAAGCTTATTATTAAAAGCATGTCAACAGGAATGAGGTACAGGTCCAGATAAGTTTTAAAAATTTCAAGAAAATCACACATTTTAATTTAAGGGGGGTTTTCAATGACAATTTTTAGGCCTTTAAGAACAGCACAGAATTAACTTGTGCAATGATGGCCACGATTCTAATTTGAATTCAATTTTGCTATATCTGCAAAAATAAAATGAGCTGAACAACAAAAATGAGTGAGAGAAATGCGAGATCCAAAACGTCCCAGAATTTGAACTCAATCTCAAATTATGAAAATTTTTACGAGAATCATATTTACTAATTAACTAAATTTTATTTTACTATTATTAAGTGAAAACTATACATTTCTACCTAATATAGGATTATTTTTCAGTTAACTGTAAGTTGTAAAAAATAGGAATTTTAACTTTTGGTAGACTAATGAAGGCTATTTAATATATTAAATTTAGTTTAAATAAAAAATAAATCATTTGTCTCCTGAGAGTAAGCAAAGAAGTCTTTTTAGCAAACCATTTTTTATCCAATTATTGTATATAAAGGGGAGGGCATATTTTAATTTTATATTGCTCTGAACTTTCAGCACTAATTTTCAAAGACAATTAAAATATAGCTCACAAAGTAGCGATTTGCAGAATGAATATTGGAGCGAATTATAGATAAAAAAAATTAAAACCAAATAATACATTCTTTCACCAGTCTAATAAGTAGTCTAATGAAAAATAAATTGTTGCCCAAAATGTATGATTGTATTTAAAAATTTAATTGAAAATGTAGTTTTGAATTATCTTTTATTTTCAAACGAATATCAGGGAAGACACGTTTTTTCTTTCTTTCTTTCTACTGGACCTGCGGAGGAGGAGGAGGAGTGAGGGGCGATTCAGGGCGAGTGGACGTAGACGCGTCGTCCGGAGGAGTCGAAGACGCGTCTGAGGGGCGCGTTGTGCGCCTTGACGAGGTGCTTGCGCAGGTAGAGCCGGTTGCGCACGACGCACCCGCACTTGGGACACTGCGCCGGCACGGGCGGCGCGTGCACGTTCATCACGTGCTGCTTCATGTTGAAGTGGTTACTGAAGGTGCGTCGGCAGAGAGGGCAGTCGCGCGGCCGCCGACACGCGCCCTGACCCTGGAGCGCCACCGACGACGACCCTGCAAACACACCACAGCCCTGCCATAACCACTCCTGTTTTTGTTTTTTCTTTTCAACTACTGGCCGAAGTGTAAAAAAAAATCAAAATTTACAACAATATTCGACGATGAGATACCAAAGTACATTATTTTTCATTAATTCGTTGGACTTTGATCTTTCTCTGATGGGACAAACAAAAATCTCCTGCAGACCATGTGTTTTATCGCTTGACAAATTATTGAATATTTGTTTGCTCGATGATAAATAAATGCTCCAAAATACAACACACAGACATACACACATACGCACGCAGTCACTTTTTATCAGAGATAAACAGCCGCGCACATAAAGCAGCAAAGAGTGTGTGTGATGGAACCCAACCCGAATAAGCGTCGATAAAATTTTATCGCTAGGTAACCGCAGCGGTTAGTCCCAAAGACAGCAAGAGATAAAAAGCAGAGTAGAAGAATTAAGCACCCGTTCGGCAGAGTTAATAAAGTCCGTTTTTCCCAATTTCATGCAAGCGAGTTTTGTCAAAGGGGATGAGGCTGAGAGATGTTGAAATGAGCAACACTCACCTGGCGACAATTGCTGCTGCTGGTCTGAAATCGTTAATGATCCGTCTACGCTCCCACTCAAAAGGAGACTCTGAAGGGGAGAATTTGATCCTAAAATGAAAATAATCAAAAATTTTAGAAGAATAATAGAATTTGATTTTTTTGCATGAATTTAGAAAGTTTATACATAAAAACAAATTTTTTCAATTTAAAAATTATTTCTGTATAGGTTCTTGAAGTTGTTGTTGTGGAACCTTTTGGCACTCGAGGTGGTCATATTTGTTGAAATAAAATCCGGCTTCCTCGGTGGAGATGAGCAACTTTATTGTTTATGCAGGGATTTTCTGTACCATGCAGAAACAATAAAGTTGCTCATCTCCACCGAGGAAGCCGGATTTTATAAAATTATTATAAAAAATTATAAAACTATCTTTTTTTCGTATATTTTCCCTACACATAACTGAGTGGATTCTTGACTAAGAGATATTTATATAGTATGTCAAATTTATGAAAATAATTATATTGTTCTTTTAAATTCCCATTGTAGTGTGAGCCAATTTTTTCAACAATCTAATCTAAATGTTGATATTGTTGGAAATTCTTTGCATCGAAACGTCACTTCAAAACGAGACGGTTTTTCCTTCATTTTCAAAACCACCTTCTGAAGCCCGATCATGTCTACAGAGAGAATCCTGAGCCATTCAAAAGTTGTTCGCATCTCGGAGGAGTTGGCGAAGCAGCTGACGTCTGCGCACACCCCAAAATCCCAAAGGTCAGGATTTCTTTATTTTCCCAACAAAATTCTTGGCAAGAATGGCTACTAAAAATCCAAAAGAAAAATTCTTTACAAATTCAATTATAATAAAAATTCCAAATATGTATTATCAAAATTTTTGTTCATGGAAGTTCAAAAGAAGATTGAATTTATATCTTCAATTTAAATTAATTTTAGGGTGGTCATTGTGCCTGACCTTCCGGTGGCCAGGGATCAAGAGTTCCGCAACGACGGCCTATACGTGGACAGGGAGCTTTTCTCTGAGCTGCAGCAACAGCAGGTGGCTCTGGAGGTGCGACACCGAGAGCTGAAGGAGGCGCTGGAGCAGCGCTTCGAGCCCTTTCGCCAACCCAATCACAACCTCCTGCCCCCGGCAAAGGCCGAGCCTACCCTGCAATTGTTACTCGACTGTCTCAAGAGTCACCCTGGACGTCCCCTGAAGTGCCACCCCCACGCTGTCGCCTTTGCCTCCGCCGTGCGTGCAGCTTCTGAGACTGATGCAAAACTCTAGACTTAACGTTCAACGCTCAATAAATAAGCAAGTTTAACACACAACTAATTGGCTTGGCTCTTGTTATGTACAAATCCAGTATTTAATATGAATTTTAAATTTTGATGAAAAGTTACATAATACAGAAATTTGTGTGAAATTTATATTTAATAATATAAAAATTACGATTCCTAATAAAATATTTCTTAGTCAATGGCATTAATAAGAAAATAACTATGTATCTTCTTATAGAAATTATCATATATTTATAATTAGCAGCTTTTGATATTATGTACCTTATATACTAAATGAAAGGAGATTTGAAAAGAAAGTTTATCTAAAATTATATAATGACCTGTGGCATCTCTGGGGGCAGTCAGTGATCTGGCAAGCATACTGGTTGATTCGTCACTGGCCAGGGGGCTTTGTGAACCTGAGGGGGGAAGAAAAGGTTCGTCTGGCTCTTCGTCTTCCTCCTCAGGGTCCATCTTGAGTTGATCCTCCTCGCGGCAAATACCGAGTTGCTCGTCGTCTAACGGCTCCTGCTTTACTCCCACCTGCGGCACCGCCACCACCCCTGACGCATTTTCCACAACTCTCCGAGGGGTGGTTTTCCGTCGTTTTGCTTGCGGGGGTGACGTCGCCTCTCGCTGTTGGTGGGGTGGAACTAGTGGAGGTGGTGTTCCTCTACCAGCACTTGCCTTGTTCCGCTGGTTTTTTGTTTGTGTTTGCTCACCCTGAAATTTCATAAAAAAAAAACTTGCTTAGTTTGCTTATAAAAAATTCACAAATTGTAAAGGTGAGATATTTTGTTAAAATACAAAAACCCAATTTGGTTTGTTTTCAGAAAAAGTTTGACTTTTTTTAAATTATATATTTTTATATTTCAAAATTAAAATTAATATTATAATTTTTTTACAAAAAAAAGCTTTCAAAAAAGTATTACCAATAAATTCGCAGGTGCCGTTGCGCCAGCCAAACCCCTGACCTGCAGGATTTCAGCCGTCCTGAGGAACGAGGATAACCTGTCCTGCGAAATGTACACCTCTCCTTGATACATAAAACTGAGTAGGGCGTCAAGCTCTGCATTGTGCACGTCTTTGAGGATGACTATTGGGTGCTGGCACGGATTTTCCTACGGACAAATCAAAATTAGGTCACTTGATTCTGACACATCAGGGGGTCTCTTACTTTGAAGACGTTTCGGAAGTAGGGGCTGCAAGCGGAGAGAATGACCTTGTGGGCCTTGACAGCGTGACCCTCGCACACCAGGGTGACGTCTACGAGGTCCTCCTGCTCCTTCAGGTTGTCCAGCACGGACACGATGTTGCTCTGAAAGTTGTTCCAGCGAAGGCAAAACTGATCCCCAGCACCGGCCATCGTACGACTCTTGTCGGCGGCTAAGACTGTGGACAAAAGTGCGCACCCGTTCACCGATCGGCGTCCACTGAATGCACTTATCGGATTTACCTTTACCTGCTCCCTCGGCTCCTTATCAAAGATAAACACCGCTGACTCAGTCAGTCGCTGCTGCAGATAATCGACTTCATTCGTGTTCGAAATTCGCGCTCTTTCGCATGCAATTGACGTGTTTGTCTGGTTTCTAACAGAATTTCGGACACATCGGCCTTGGTTGGACAAGCTGAATGTCCTGGACGCGTCTGTGGATGCAAATACTTGCGAAATATGGTCAGAGGAGCAACAGATTTCTTGTACATAAACAGATCCTACTCTTGTTGTAATCCTACTCTCAACAAGATCCTACTTTTACTTTTTTGCCTGGGAGGCTAAGGTGTATGTTAAGGAGACGAGTTTCGACACGCAAGTACTTGAACTCAAGCAACCAGAGCAATGTATTTTTCTAATTCTTACACTCCTACCAAATACGCCAAAATTCTGAACGTTGATTGGTCGACAAACTTTCACCGATCTGCTATTGGCGGAACGATTGGAAACTTTCTCTGATTGGTTGGTTGCATTGCTGTTCAAAAAGGTAAACAAACAACAATAAGGTGAACGAGTGGTTTGTTCGAAAAGCCGGCTGTATTTTTTGAAAGGAAAGTGAAATTTGGACAGTTTTGGCTGAAATGCCGTGATTTTCATCGCATGTGAGTACACTTTGGCACATTATGTATGTATTTTGGCATTTTGGGACATCTACATGTAGATATATGCGGATATATTATGTTCTTGTATGTATGTATGTATATGATGAAACTATTTTTCTATTAATATTTCATTCTAAAATAAGCAATATGCTATTTTATTAAATTTTAATTAAAACTTGTGGATTTTGCATTAAAAGTTTGCAGATCTTTCAATTCCTAATAAAATATACATAATTTTAGAAATTTCAATAACATTTCCAATGGTAGTTTTGGGCATATTGGTCAGAAAAACGAAAAACAAGTAAAGTAATGTGTATGATGTTTAAATGCACAGTTATTGTAAAAGTATGTATAAACTGGAACTTGGTCAGACTAACTACAAAATGTGGAGTCTTCTGACAAGGTCATCTCTGTGTTTCTCTCGGCAGATGGGACACAGCGAGAACCTGTTATGCGGGGGTCCATTTGTGAGAAGGACGCGGCATCTGCCGCAGACACAAGCATGTCCGCAGAGGCTATAGACGTAGTCGGGCTTGGCGTCTTTGCACACTGCGCACGTTGGCTGCTCAGCCTCAGCGGCCTCCAGGGGCAGCGGGGGCGCGTTGTGCCTGTCTAGGGTGGTCAGGAGCTCGCCAACCTCCTCGGCCAGCTTGGTCTTGTCTGCGTATTTTTTAATAATTATTAAAAACAAGAAATGGGCAAGCATTGCCAAAACTTACTGGAGCTAGTCTTGACTCGGCGGCCGTTGAGCTTCAAGACTTGCTGGAGATCCATTTTTTGAAGCTTCGTCTTCAACTCATGGACTGACGGGGCACGACATTTTCTGCGCAGCAGTTTTTCAACCTTCCCTTTGAGACCGGTCGACCGTAACGGCTGCGAATTTCACACCGTAAATTATTTAAAAATTCGCAAACACACACGTCTTTCTGCGCTTGTAAAATTCTAGAGACTTGCAAAATAAATGGGAAAAAAACTGCAGAAAGCTTAAAAACTTACGCGGACTGGAGCAGCGTTCTCGTTTTCCATCTCAAAAAATTCTTTCTAAAATGATGCGCAGCTCAGAAGACGGTTTGAAAGTGATCGACAGTTGAAGTGGTTCCAACAATCAAACTTTTTTATGGTTAAAAAAGGTGCAACAATCGCGTTTGTTAACTGCTAACACAAACGAAGATAAGAATGACCTAAAATTCATCATCACGAGCTTATGCAAATAAATGCTAAAATAAAACTTTGGTATAAATGTTTATATCAATACTTAAATTTCAGGCTGCAGTTAAAAAAAATCAGCTTACCGACCAACGCAAAATTATTATTTATAACAAATTAACAAAATAGCTGAAAAACCCAAATTAATTGTGCAAGATATTGAGTTAGTAATAAAATTTATATCTTTTAATTGGTGTAAAACTGATCGCTGCTGCCTTGCTTTTCTTATGATTCATATAAGCTTGAGGAAAAAAAATAAATAAATAATCAAAATAATAATTGTAGGGAAGATTGAAACTAGTTGCAATAGAAATATTTTACTTAAAAATTTTATTAGTGTCGATTTTGAACTTTGCTAAAATTACTGTCACACTATCGCACTACGGCAACTCAAAGAATAATTAAAACATATTTCACGGATGTAATCAGATCTAATTAAAAATACAGTATAATATTATTTGAAAATATTAAATCCTGGAGATTTTGACCCAAACGCCGTCCTTAGCCTTGAGAAGAATGCCGCCTTTGGAAATTGAGTACGGAACTTGTGTTTTAGGGCACGTTTCAAATTTGTAACTCTTTAACAGAGTGGCCATGGCAAGTCGGGTGCTCATCATGGCAAATCGCATTCCTGAAATTCAAACTGGTCATTTAAATTTTAACTAAAATTTTGCAAACCTATGCAATTTCTTGGCCCACTTCCGAACGGCATAAACACGTACGGAGACCGTTTCGCCCTTTCTTCTGGTAAAAACCTGTCAGGGTTGAATTTGAGAGGGTCTGGAAAGTGTTTCGGGTCAAGACTGAGTCCTCTGATGGGGATCATGATGATGTCGCCCTTTTTCAGGACTGCGGAGGTCCCAGGGATAGTATAGGAAGGAACAGTGCAGGACCTCTCTACCCTGGAAACGGGAGGGTGCCTCCTCAGGGTCTCTGAAAAGCGCGTTTTTTTATACATTCTTTAAAATAAAATTTTGATACTGTACCCATGAGGACGTTTTCAAGATAAGGCATGTCATTCAGGGTGTCATAGGACAACTCGCCATCACTTTTCTCCACAGCCGCCAATACCTCCTCTCTGGCTTTTTCCTGAATTTCAGGGTTCAGGGCAAGTTCATATGCCGCGAAGGATAGGAGGGTGCTGGAAGTGTCGTAACCAGCCAGTAGGAAAAGTAGGCATTGGCCAACCACCATTTCATCAGTCAAAACTGCGAAAATAAATTGAAAAAATATTAAATTTAAAATGTTTAATATACAAATATTTTCTGTATCATTTAGTTTAATTTATTTTCTAATTTAAAACAAGAATACCATAAAAGGTTTAAAACTAATAAAATTTGCTTAAATTTTATATCCGATAGTCAAAATGTGGCAAATAGAGGAAATTTTATTTAATTATTCAATTGATTTTTTATAAGCACAATATCCTACCTGTTTTTGGGACTTTCTCTTCATGAGCTGCGGCCGTCGCAAGTTGTGCGTCCTTTTCAAACAATTCCTTGGACTGCTCCGCTGCCTTCTGCAGTTTTCCCGCCTGAGCGTCGAACATGAGTTTGAGGAAGTCCACTCGCTGGCTGTTTTGTGCAACCCTTTCCTTTTTGCTGTTGAAAACCAGGCCGGCGATGTAGCGCACTGTTTCTTGGTTCATGAAGTGCACGCCCATCAGCCTGGCCAGGGTGGCACTGCCGCAGATCAGCAGGGAAAAAAACAGGCGGACGCGCATCCAAATGGACATTTCCATGAACTTGGAGATGACCCTGACAAACTCGGCGTCAGGGTCCTGCAGGGAGTTGCACTGGACGCCGAAAGCACAGGTGCCGATCACGTCCAGGGTGAATCGGCCGAACAATTCTTTTGCGTCCACCTCACCACCTTTGGGAATGACATACTCGTCCAGGTACTCACTGATTTGGTCTGCACATTTTGTCACCAGGTGCGACATTGCCTTAATTTTTCCTAGAATTTCAGTTTGTTTTGATTAATAGGAATTCTTTCAAATTTATTAGCCTCCTTTTTATTACTGAATTTTATGCATAATTTTCAGAGGAATTTATTAGAAAACAAAAAAATTCCAATTTATTTTAAATATTTTTAAGACCAACGCAGTATACACATTTATTGGTTTTGCTTTAAAAAGTAACTGAAAACATAAAATCCAGTAATAAACAGGAACGATATAAAAAAATATGATTTATTTTAAATTTGAGATTTTTTTTGCAACGGAATTTAGATTGCAAAAACTTTTTGTTTCATGTTCTGCTTTTTTTTAAAAAAAATTTATCTTATATTTACTAAAGAAAAATGATAATTAACCGCACCTGATGAGAAAATTGGAGTTGCAACAGATCTGACCGCCTTCCAGTGAGAGCCCCTTAGAGAGAGCATCATGTTTTCTTCATATGAATTTGGGTGGATTGAAATAACAGCCCTGTCTACGAAACTGTCAAAGTCGCGCACCATTACTTGCCTTAGAAGTTCAGGGTCTCTGATCATAAGCCGAGGCAGTCTTCCTTCATAAATTCCTGATAAGGGTTTGTGGAAGTTTTTTCTCAAATATTCTGGTACATGTTTGAAAACTTTTAATTTGAAATAGAACTCGGGCAGTAAAGAAAACGTGAGGTTTATATTTTAATCACTTTTTTTAACGAATCATGAAATTGGAGAAAAATACAATCAATTAGCAAAGCCTTAGTATATATTTAATTATTTTTTACTTATTCACACTACAATACTTTTTTATGAATCCGAGCTCTCTGTGATTTTTTTGATACATGTCAGTGTTTTCACTTATTTTTTTACCTGCAATTTTTTCGCCGTCGAATTGTTGATAGAGTTCAACTAGCATTTCGGCATAGGATATTTTAAAGGTGATTCGTTTGCCAGTGTTGCCGAAAAGCAGGTGTGGCTTCTGAAAAGGCACCCCCATGTTTTGCCAGTAGGTGAAGTTTTTGGTCTGATAGTAGTAGAGGGCGGTCACCGTTCCCACGGCGATGCACCATGGCGAAAACAATATCGAAATCACCGTCTCTCTATCCATGGTGAACTACTTCGATTGAAGAGCAACAAATATTCTTGTGTATCGTTTGCCTATGTCGCATCAAAGCTGCAATCAGAGTACACACGGCTTGTTGGTAAACGTTGCAATTTGTCAACAGTCTCTTCGTCGTAAAGGTGTGTTTTGTTTTTACTTGATGGTATAGGATAGGTTGTATATTTTGACGAAAAGCGTTGGTTGATGTGAGTTGGACTTTGATCAGCCCTGTATGCCCTGTTGTAATTACAAACAGGACAGAGGCTTTGGGTAAAATAAATTTTGATTCTATTTCTTCAATTCTAGTTTTGATATAAAAAAAGGGTGTTCGATTAAGTTGCTGTTCAGGGTAACTGATATATTTTTATTTGCTCATATTTGCTACTTTGCATAATTATTAATTGCTATTTAATATTTACTGTTTAATGGTAAGATCATTTCCCCCAAAAATACTTCATCCTTAGGAGTTGATCATTTAAATTGTTAAGTTTTAATCAATTATGAACACAGAACGATATTAAATAATGTTATAATATGTTATTTTTTTATATTATTTATAAATTCAATTGAAATATGTTATTTCTGATCCACGAGTCAAATTTTATGATTTGAATTATTTTATTTTAATTTGATATAATCGCCAAATTGATTTCTGATTCAAAATTGAGTTGCATAGAACTCTCCTCTGTGAGCTCTCCCTCTGCAAGTCTAACAAAGATGAATCACGTTTCAAAGGATGGCCGTGGATTGCATTGCTAGGCCCTTTCTTTCATTGATGCTCGAGGAAACGGAATCGTTTTTCATCGACCCCTCGATGGTCTGGACCAATTTAATCATAGAAATTCTTCGAATCTCAAAACCAGTTGTTATATAACAATTTTGAGAATCACGTGTTCATTATGAGCAATGATGATGCGTAAATTCAGAGAATGAACAGTAAATAAACAAGTGATTAATAGTGCAGCATTCAGTAATGGCTGAGAAACGTCATCTCTTTACCATCAAATGAGAATAACAAATTTTCATTTAATTTTTTAAAATTATATTTCCAAATTTATATTAGAGTTTTTCAACTACATACAGATTTTCAAGATGACTTAATAAAAAAAGAGTAAAATAGTGTTGTAAATATTGTAAATTAATGATTTCAAATTAATCATTAATAAGCCAAACATTAGCTGTTTGCTATAATCGAAATCCTTATCTGTCAATCAACGTTTACCTCATTTGTGCGGTTCATTCCGGATCCAAGTCTCGGTTAAAAGCCGCAAACTTCCGACGTAAATAAAATCGCAGCTGTTTTTGCTCCAAGCGCAATCAGCAAGCCTAACGGAGAACTCGGGGAACCTCTGGCAAACGCAATTGCTATGCCCCGCTAACTAGAGATGGCGTTTAAATTTAAGAAACAAAATTGTTGCGTGAATTGGGTGAATCATCGTTTTATTGTCACGGGCGAGCCAAATTTGGGCTGGTCGGAATCAATTTGGGTGCAGCGGGACGTTTGTTTGATGCCAAAATTATGAATATTAATCAGGGACGTCGCCTTCAGATTGAATTATAAATTATAAACGCAGCGGAAATCAAATCGTGCGTTTCTAATCTGCAGTTGGAGAAATGAAATCTATTTAGTTAATTTTACTCCCAATATGGGCGACAATGAATTTAAAATTGAATTTTACAAATTAAATTTAAATCCAATGATTATATAAAATTACCTACTTATATTTTGAATTTTTCTCGTTTAATAAAAATTAATTTTCCTTTTTCAAGACGTGGTTGCCAATAACCAGCAATTTCGATTAGCCGCGCCGTTTTGCATGCGCAATTCACTAAAAAATACACATAGACTTCCCATGGGGCGCCTACAGTAATATTGTATAGAGTGAAAAATATATAAAATATGATGTTGTATATATTTTGAAACAAAACATGTGATGTTGCGTGATACACGATCGTGCCATAATTTACGTTCATTTCATGACCAAGACTTTGACACTGTGACCTTTTTGACCTGTACAGAATAAATTTCCATCCCCTTCGTAAGCGGCTAGTGCAAAAACTCGATACATAGACCTTGAATAGGAAAAATAATTGCAGAGAGAAAGCGAACGTTATGAGAAACTTCATAGGGGTACTTTTTTTGTAAAAGCTCCATTTGCATCTATAGTGGAGGCTTTTGTATGAATATGAATACTGGAGTTGTTAATTTCTTCAATTGCAAATGGAAAAAGCGGGAAAATGGAAAAAAAAAATTACATCCCATTGTAAAAAAGCATGACATTTCATTACTTTTTAGTACTTCATTTTAATATCGATTGAAAAAAGACAAAAACTTAATCTAAAATTTTGAACGTCTTTATTCAAGTCTAAAATATCATGAAAGATTTAAATTTTTTGTTTGTTGATTTTTAAATTTCACCTATTTTTGAAATCAACAAAAAATATGTGTATTTTAATGCTATCTATGCTACAAATTCGTCAGCAGGAAAGTCACAATTTTATTAAATTGTGTAGATTTAAAAAAAAATTTATGACGAGCCTCAAAAATTGACTTCCAAGTTCCAAATATAAGGATAATTCCAACCGATTCCAACCTTGTAATAAATCATTCAAGTTTGTTTTTAATAACTAAATTTTTATGACTTGACAAGTAATAATGAAGAAGGAAGACAATGTTTTGAACTTAATGAAAATTTAAAGTTTATAGATAATTTTGAAATGTTTCAAAAATTTACGTAAACGCACGTGCGTTTGTCTTTGGATACGCTTTCGGATTTTGTGGCCAATGTGAATTCCCAATTATTCATCCCCCTCTGCACGTTTTTTGCGCAGGTGCGGCGGCTCTTTATCGATCTCCGAGGGGGCGCCCGAATCGCATGGTGTGTCTCGGCAGTCGTCAGTGCCGTTCAACTCCGCCGAGAGCAACATGCCCACGAGTTAACCAGGTGAGTGCAGTTTTTAATTTTTTTCTCACACCCAAAACAACGGCGCCGGGAAGCCGCACTTTTCCTCCCTGAATAGCTAACCGAGCCCAGAATATCAAAACTCGGACCATTTGGAACCCTCTTTAGTAGAGGAAATTATCGATTTTGAAATCAGCTGTGGAATAACAATCAACCCCTGCTTTTCTTGGCGGCACAGATTTTCGATTTGGAGGACGTGAATCGTGGCCTTGCATTTAATTGATCTGATTTTCCGAGCATCACGCCATTCACCCATAAGCCAGTTGGAAATTTTTTCTTTCCTTTTTTATCGGAGGCCCTATCGAGGCAGCTTTTTTTATATTATTATTTTGATCGAATCTGTGCGGCGAGCACGAAGTAACGAGCCGACTCGGAATGACATGCACGACGGACAGACCATTGTGTTTATTTCGCTGTCCGAATCCGTGAGCTTGTCATCCCGCGGATTAATAAGCTTCTCTCGCTGCCGAGCATTTAAATTAGAAAAAATTCCGGCTCTCCCTTAATGGATTATATAAGAACTCGTGACAAAGTGCCAGCTTCTTTTGAACGGCAATTTTCAAATGTTCGTTTGATGTTATTAAGAAAGTATATTTTTGATCCGTTTTATCGTTCAGGGATGATAATTTTCGTGTACTCAAAAAGAGCTCACCTTGAGGAGGATCTTTCCACTCTCTCATTTTCAATTACTGAGCGGGACGAAGATCGAGTGGGACGAAAACGCGTTTTATTTATAAACAAAACGCAGGAGTTGCTTGAGGAACATGACACATGACGGGCTGCGTTTGAAGTTATATAGAGTGGGAAATGTTTAATGTTTTAAGTGTTGACAGCACCCTATCGCATTATTTGACTGAACTCTGTATCCGTTAAAGATGTCTAATTTATTGTATTATTGTTGCTGCTTAAATTACACTGCAATCTCAAGAAATTACCTTTGAAGAATTCTGTTGTAAAGTTTTTGTTGTTGTAGTTTTCATTTATAATTTTTAATATTTGGATGATGTATCTCGTTATAGGCAGAGATTGCCTTGTGGTACACCAATAAACTAAATTTGCAACTAAAGTTTTGTCAATAATTGCAACTTTTATATTCTTTGGATAAATTAATGATTGAATGAATATCTTGTTGCAGATAGCTTTTATCATTCAATAATTTTATTTTTCAACTGACCACTTTCTCCTCGGATTAACTTAAAAATATTTTTTTTTTCTATAAATATATTATTATAATTTTTTAAATTTTAGAACAAGAACTCTTCATGTTATTCTTTTTTTCTTATTATTTTCAGACGCCCAAGAGAAGCACAATAATTATGTTTTAATTCAAAACAAAAATATTATCAAAAAATAAGGAAATACAAATTTGAACATTAAATTTGAAAAGTTGTGGAATATTAAAATATGTAGCTGTTAAAATAGTTATAATTTGTTCTTCTCTTAGTTTTGTTACCATCGATCAAAATAAAAAAGCATATAATGTAAATTTCCGAGGGCTATTAGTCTTTCTTTTGCTGAAAGAATTGAACTGCCGGTGAAGTTGAACAATGGACAATCACTAGAAGTTATTCAAATTCAAGTCAAAACACCACCTTGTGCATAGCCATTCTTTGCGCCTAAATGTGGTCGCGGCTCCATTTTCGTTGCCTTTCAATTCTTCTTGATAGCATCTGGAGTTCACATATTTCATATTAAATCAAATAGAAACTTGAAATAAGTAAGAAAATGTTTATTTAAACTGTCAATTGCTGTGATGAAATTTTGCACGGAATTTTATTTTAGAAGAAACACGTGCTATAGCTACATTTAATAAAAACATTCGTTTTTTTAACTTTTTGCCTCCAAGCTGACTAAGGAGTTTGAATTACTCTCATTAATTAAACGTTGGAAAAATGACAGGGTGTTGCAGCAACCGTGTGTGGAGATGTGGAGCCGACAAAGGAGCGAGAGACGTGTCTGGGCCTCGAAAGATAAAGTTCGTTCGGGCGAGTAGGCGTTTTTCTCGTGACGAGCTGCCTTACTTTATTGCCCAAAATCTTTTATCTAAAGAGTCGCACAGCCCAAGATGCATTCCTGCGAGATTAAAATAAGATCTCAAGAAACGTCGCTGCTGGAAATGACCCATTTTGAAAGAAAAAAAAACGCGTACTATTCTCGGCTGCAAGCGTGCAGGGCAAAATAACAAACACGAAGTGAAGAAGCACATGGCCCTGTTTGGCCGGGAAAAAAGTAGTCAGCTGCACCACCGGTCTCGCAGCTGACACACCATCTTACATGTATTTTTCAGTATAAAAAGCTGCAGCAATTCGCCGATTGTTTTCGCTGCCCACCCGCCTTCTTGCTGTCGCGATCGGATCTTTTTTTTTCTTCCTCTTTTGCCTCGCCGCTCTTTTTATTTCTTCACGTGCACCGCCGACGGGAATTATTTAGTGCAGGCAGAGAATTTCTCTGTTGGCAGGTCGCCAATTAGCTCTCTGGCCTGCTTGTGCCAAAACGACGCTCCTCTTCTTCTTTTGTACTTTTGCAATTTTGCTGTGCCCCATATTATATTCCTCTGGCGGTACTGATCAAACTCGTATGTAAAAAACATTGCACACGTGATGGAAACTTTTCATTTATTTTGCATGCTTGAATGTGATGAAAAGCACTGATTATACCGCACATGAATTTCAGAGTATTTTTCTCACAATATTCTTAACTTATCGCTCAATAGCACAAGAGGTTATTGACTGGGCAGATATGAGCACGTTCAGAAATTTGCGAACTTTTCATTGGGATTATTTTTAACTGACGAGGACGATCGTGAGATTTCAAATAAAAAAATTAAATTTAGTTTTTAATGAATAATAGGAAATTGTAAATTTTAATGAAATTAACATTTGATGCAGGTTATCTCAATATGTTGTGGTTATATAACCAAGCATTCAGCCACACTAAGAGAACCAACAGCGATGTTTTTGATTAAAAGAGTAGATTTGGATAGATTCCTAAACTTTTTATCAACTCTCTCACTTTAAAATTTGGGGCTTAATTTATCTTTTAATAACAAATGACAACAATGAAATAAATGTTTACAAATTTAATAACATTAAAAAAAAAATTCAATCTTTGGTGCTCCTATAATCTTAATAAGTCAACAAAATGTAATTCCAGGAATAAATAACACTAGTCTAGTTATAATATTATGTAGGAGGAGGGTTCATTAATTTAATTCATTTGTTAAAGAGTAATTTGTATTAACATTTTCTCTAACAATTTTTAAAAATGTCTTCAATTATTCTTTTTAAAATCTGAACTATTTGACATTCAACCTTTGAATCAATTGGAATCAATCTGGAATCAATTTAAAGAATATTGAATGGCAGTATCTATTTTTAAATTATTATTTTATAATTAAATCAATTACTTACTACTTCTATCAAAGTCAAATTTGTCGTTGCATTATTTAAAAAAAGTACTTAATGTGATAGAAAATTTTGGAACTTCAATGTCTTTTGTTGATCAAACTGAAAGATTTTTTTACACTTAAAGATTTTCCTTATTATTTGAACTTTGAGGAAAATTGTAATGAATATTCAATGAATAGGTAAGGGGAAATTGGCCATTAAAATCGCACTTGACGTCCGAGTGACGGTGTGCGTTGCTTAACCGCATAGCCAACCAGGGGAGGATATCTATTTTTAAATCTGCCTCCTGTGAGTTCATCCTCTTAAGATAAAAGCCGCAGTTGGAAACCAACGCATCCGTATGACGTCCCTGCTTTAAATAAATATCTAGGGAAAAAAATGTCAATTAATGATGAAAAAACCTAAATTCGAAATCGAACGTTGTGCCGGCGCTGCAGGAATTTTCAACGACTAAAATCCGAGCCGGCTCTAGATTTAGCCTTGGCACTTGACGGAAGTGCATATTAAGTGGCTTCCAAAACAGCTCTCTGCTTTTTTTAACGTTGGCCTTGTGCCGCTGCACATTGCACGAATATAAAATTAAAATGCAGTCTAATCTTTATTGCGACGAGCAAGCCTGGTGTGCTGCTGGTTTCGGAACTAATTGATTCATCAATGGGCTCTGCGGTATATAAACCCTTGAGATGGTAAAACTTTAATGCTACTGCCAACAACTCGAAACATACACAGAAGTCGGGAAGTTTGAAAAATATATAAATGTGGGCGCTCCTGAATTATTTATGGCGCGTTTATTTTAAGCCGATTAAAATTCAAAACGCTGACATCTTAAGTGTATTCTTATTATTTCTCTCCTATATAAAAATGTAGATAACCCACTCAGTACACGCGATTTCCATTACTGTTACAGTTATGGAAAGTGAATCAGAGGAAAAAGCAGTTATCACTGATTGTGAGCAGCTCGAAATGTAAGTTCAGCCTTGTGGACATAACAACTAAATCCTAATTCTAACAACATATGCGCATGCCTTTAAGTGGAGATCATTCTAATGGATTTTTTTAACCTTTTATTAACTCTCCAGAATGCTTTCCTAATTGCACCCATGAAGTTTTAAACCAAATATTGTAAGTAGTTTTTCTTCCAAAAATATGAAAATTTAGGGTAATTTAATAGTTAATTAAAAATTAATAGAAATTTCGGCTTTCCTATTCTTTAAAACTTCAGTTTGAGTAAACCGAAAAAGAAAAAAACAAAGCAAAACTAGGGGCGGATGTAATTTAATTGACTGAGATGATCTTCATTTTTGCAAAAGTCGATGAATTACTATTGAACTAACTAACCTAATTTATCATGATCGTAGGTGCAAAATTAATCCGCTATTTATCTTGCTTATCTCCGAAGATAAAAATTGGCAAGTGTGCTCTTTGCACACTATAATCTGCCGCAGAAACAAGAAAGCATCATGGCCCCCTTTCTTTCAAGTTTTTTTTTTTTTTTTTTTTTTGCAAATTTCCACACCGCGCTTTTGTATCGATCAAACACATGTCAACTTGAGAAGCGGTACATTAAAGAGATACCAAGGGGAAGTGTCTGTTTTGAATTTCATAATACCTGCATGTGAAACGAGCTGGGGGAGCAGGACATGCAGCAGTTGCTCTGACGATGTATAGCTAATGTCAATAGGACTTCACCGGTCACCTTAAAACACACTCCGCAGCGAGGGTTTATTTTAATTATGAGTCGATAGAAATATGCTTGCAGTCACGGCAGAACAGGATTAGAAATATTATTTTAAATATTTAATTTTTTCAAACATGAAAAATACATCCATGAAGACGAAGAATTTAAAAGGAAACAAAAGGATTTTGTATAATCTTAAGAAAAAATCTCCGATTAATACGAAAAAGAAAAAAATAATGCAAAGATTAAGGAACATGCTGATTTTTTTTCATCATTTGAAGGAGTGGCAAGATATTCAAAGTTACCAAGAATTTAATATTAATAATTTAATTTCAACGCAGAAGAAAATGCTCAAAGTTTCATACTTATTTTTTCAAATGTAAGTGACGCGCACTCCCCAGGTTTAAGGAGTTGCACCTGCGCGTGCATTAACAACTTGCTCTCTGGGTGAGAAGCACACACTTAAAATTTACTTCCACAGCGAAGGGCCCCTCGTGGAAAATTAAGTAAAAAAAATATGTGGATGTGCCTGAGAATAAAAATTTTTCTATGCGAGAGAACGCTGGTGTTTGTTCTTAACAAACAAAGGTGTGCCTGGAAGTGAAAAAATCTCTACAGCCAAAATGAAATACGATTATTGCTTCTGCTCACGTAAAGCTCCACAGATTTACAGATTTTTATCCCATTTTAAAAATTTCTGACATTTGTGCGGAATATAATTTTAAAATATTTACAATTATTAATAAACCACTTTTTATCTCTGATTCATCTTTAATGAGTTAATTGAACAAAAACGATAACAGCATAATTAGCTCGTCCCACTCACAATCAGTGTAATTAAGCGCAGCTTTGCTCTACGCGCTCTTCTCCAGTGCGCAGTAGATTTCTCTTTCAATGGCAGCTCCAGTCAGTTAAATAAATAGAAGTCGCACTTTACCAACTCCACATCCGCCTCCACAATATCGATTTTTCTTCCACCCGTCCTATCCCTCTATGGAGCAACGTGTTTTGTTTTCTCCCGGGATTCTACTCCAGGTTGAAGGCTGAATAAAATTTTTGTTGTTGAAGCATCATGAATCGGCACATTTTCACTTCAAAAAAGAAAAGGGAACATGTACTTTTCTGTTGAAACATTTTATTTTTAATAATTATTTCGATTACTTCATGACCTCTAACTAGTGGTGCATGATGTTGACCTTCTGGGAGAAAAAAACCGCGATATCGTCCTGCACGCAACCTATATATTTCTTTTTCAAATGAATAAACCGCCTTTCAACCCACCGTGTTCTCGTTATATTTCAAACAACAGATCGATACACATTCTGAAACGTCCTGTCCGCAAGCTTTGTGTTCTTCAATCGATCGCAATATAAATAAATGGCCATGGCTTTTCTATTCTGAAAGAAATGGAGAACAAAAGAGGGATAGAATAAATTTTTAGCACAAAAGAGCTCTTCCAATGTTAACAAAAATACTCCTATTTCTACAGTTTCAACACAAGAAGAACAAAACAATTGGCTGAATATTTTTCTCAAAAAATATATTCAAATATAATTATCCCAAGCTTAACTTAAGCAAAACAAATTAAAAATGTGCAAATTGAATAACGAAATAAGCAAGGTAATTTTTTTCAGGAGCTTCAATGCACTATAATGTGCTCAAGATTTTTTTTAAATCGTTTTTATTTTCATTAAAATTTATAATTTTTTTTCAAATTGCATATATATTATTGAACATGAGAATTCAATTGAGGCAGGCTGAATTCACGGGAGTGAAATTTATTCCATGTATTTTCATGAGTGCGCAGGAAACCAACGCGATATTTTGAATGTAAAACCTTTACCACTCAAACTGGCGGTCGACACGACTGACTTGCGCTAGAGTTATTAAAATTCAGTCGCTCGTCAGCACAAGTCTTATTATCATTTACATTTGTGGGGCTTCGCATGTACGACTGCACGGCCCATAACCAAAAGCATTTTTCCCCAACGGAAACCGTGTGCGATTATCAGCAACTTACTCGCACAATCGGCCAGCGCCAGGCGTTTTGTAGCCACATGTTGAAAAAAAAATGCCACCGCACAGTTAAAATGGAGAAAATAAAGGCAGAATATCATAAGCAGGTTATAAGTACAGGTTACAATTATTCAAAATTTGCAACTTTTATTTATGACTTTTGCAAACTAAATATTTAAACCTATAAATTTTTTAATTAAATAAAAATAAATTAATGACAAATTTTTCTAAATACATTGAATGAGCTAATTAAAATAATTTGTCTGGCTATAAAAAATTTGCAGAATAACAAAGGTTTTAATGAGTCTTTTTTTATTTACTAAGCCGAGCCACCTTATTGTTTTCTTCTATTTTTAATTCCTTAAATTGTATGGTACATATTATTGTACACTCTTTGCCTTCAAAGTGAATTTCAATGAATTTTATTAAAATTAGGGATTCAAGAGAATCTTCAAAAAAAAGTATTTTATTATACAAAAAAAATATTTAAAAATTTTATTATCTGAATATTAAAAAAAAATCATTTTACTCTCAATGATTTTGAGAAATTTGGGCCAATTATCATGTCATCTATGTTGATATCTAAATTATGATAACTTTTTTCAGACATGCTGAAAATTAATCGTGCTAATCGCAAAATAATAGTTCTATCAATTTTCCTTTTGCACACTTTTCACTGGTGAAAATTTCATAGATCTAAATGCATCATGCATCAAGCCACTGGCTGAGATGCTGCTGCGCAATTTCTCCGCGCGCGACGCATTTTTTTTCCTTTCTCCGCCGCGTAAATATGTAGTGGCAGTCGATTATTATTATATTTTCGTGCAGTGAACCTCTCCCACCGAGCAAAATATGCTAATTGCCTTTCCCCATTAAATGCGTGCCTCATTTTTCCGTTGATAAAAGGAAACACGTGAAAAGAAACTGAAACCAATGAAAAAGCCATTAGGCGCAGCTGCGTCGCTACTTGATTATTGAACATAATTATTCAAGCGTGGTGCGATTTTCACTGCTGTGATCTATCTGCACTACTAAACAAGGTCTAATGAAAATTACCAAGCTAAATAATCCAACTTGGAGAACGCAAGTATGTCGACACAGCAATAAACATGCAATATATAATAATGAAAAATTTATCTAGAATCTCGTTTTAAATTTAAAGATGTTGGGATGTGAGTGTGAGTTAGTGTTCCCTAGAGAATTTATTATAAAAACATTGTCATATTTTACTAGACATATTTCTACTGCAGTCACATCATTCAATTTAAAGAAGACAATAATAAAAAAATGAAAAAAATGAGTGAGAAAATGTATAGGCACGTGGAGAAGGATAGTCTTTTTTTCTTAAACAAATAAACAACTCACTTAACCTATCGAGGAAAAGCCGACTTTTGATTCAAATCACCAAAGAAGTATAAGTGTTTTAAAATGTTGTATGTTTCTTTGTTTGCGATGCATAATTTGCAAAAGACGCAAACCAAAAATCTGAATCGTCAGAGTGAACTTTAGAGCGAATAAAAGAAGACTTAATATTTTCATATCTTTTAATGCTAATTAACAGTGACGTGATCTCACTATATAAATAGAAAGAAAACAGGGCAATATTGATTTGCAGATGTTTCAAATGTTTATTCAATTAACGCACTTGACAGCTTCCTGCTTATCCTTCCTTTGCTATTTAGCGCCGATTTGCACAATTATTGCAATTCTAATTTAGAGCCTAGCTGATTTATTTTTGCTGTCAAGTTGCTAATCGCAACGCATTTCCAAAGAGAATGAAGCATGTTGGATTCTTTCAATTAGCATTCGCGTTCTCACCGTTCTCTGCGTTCCCAACGCGCAGAGAAAATTAACGATTCGCACACTTTGTAATGAGAAAAGCTGCGCGTGTGAACGCTTTTTGAATGATGATGTTCAAAATCAAAAAAGTGAGCGGTGCCATAAATTAGGATTAAAGAGTCTCATGGGCTTAAAATTGGCCAAAATAATTTCATCTAATTTCTTTTTAGAGGTCTTTTCTAGACAACATTCAATAGCGTCAGATAACCTTTAAAAATATTTGAAATTCCTAAATGGTTTTTATTTTATTGGATTTTCTAAAACCGATGAAAATCTGCTTGAATAAAATTGGTTAAAATTAACCATCTCCATAGTGATCTCCTCCATTAGGTATCTAGGTTGAATTAAAATTAATGGATGGTTTGATATTGATACATACTACATTATTTAATCTCATTTCATCTTTTATATGCATCGTTGTGGTATAAACTTTGAATTTTTTTATTTAAAAAAATTATATTAATTAGTATTCAAATCACTCGTTGCTGCCAAATTATGTAAATAGGCTGACCTTGTTAAACGAGTTTCGTGCCAAAAGTATAAAAATACATAATCCATGCACTTGCGATAGAAAATCGACTTGAGCAGCTGTAATCAAGTATGGCTTCATTTTGCCCAGAAGGTGTACTACATACATTTATGCATTTATAACACCGCCGAGCAGCTGGAAAGCATGAAAAAGCTTACTCGCGGTCGTTGGCTCTCAGGCCACTTATGAGAAACACCTACGCTCTTGTGCTCACAAGAAGAATAAGGCAAAAGCTTTTGTGCGCCATCGCCATACATGGTGGCTAACTTTATAGTTTCATAAAAATGATTTTATTTTCATGTTATAAAGTTTATCTTTTAAGGAAATAAGTATTTTTAAGTTTAAAATTTCCATTTTGATCTCAAATTTGAAGCAGTTTGGGGATTTTTATTTTTTATTTTGAAATTATACCTAATAAGAAATATAAATGGAATTAAAACGGTCACTACTCCTAAAAATTGAATCGAATCAAATGGTATTATTAAAATTATAAAGGAAGCTGAATCTAAATTCAAATCACCATAAACTAAAGAAAGCACGAACTTTTTTTCTTTTCTTATAATAAAAGAATCTCGTTGAATGGGACTAGAAAAGTGAAAAGGTTTTCATTCTTAAAACCAGACTCAACCTTCAGCAGCTCTTATTCAGACCTTCCATTCCCGTTGTTTTGCTACACCAATGAAACTCAATAGCTCATCTTGAATTTCAGCAGCAGCAGACTAAGCTGTCAACATTTTAGTAGACGATATTTGAAACAAAAGTCTTGGAATTTAATGCTGAGCAATTTTCTGCCAAACCAGTTACAAAATTGTGGTAATGGGATGCTAATTTGCATAGTTTGGCAAATTGAATCAAAAATAATAATCCCAAAAAAGAGGGAAGATAGTCACAAAAGCGGTGGCCCTTTGCCCATAAAGGTCAGAGATTAATTCTCCGTAATTTTGATTGTCGTCTGCCGATGGTGCTGAGGCCAAACAAATAATACAATTATTGACTGGGCGTCACGCAGACGACTGTAAAGAGAGCCGCCGCCGTCCGTCATTTGATCAATAATTCGAACGGACGTGTGTGTTCTCAATCGTTTTATCGGCGCTTATGTGATTATAATTATATGTGAATCAGACACAGCTGCGTGCGTGAAGTTATTAATTCTCGGCGACACTGCGCCAGTATGCACTAATCCAATTAATCATATGCAGCGGCTGCACTCGAGCGACGTCAAAAAAAGTGGATCTCGGTCATAAAAATAAAAATCAGCGCGGCTCGCAAGGAAACAAAAAACAAGAGGCTCTGATTGTGCGCAGCACGTTTGTGGGTTAATTGATCGTTCCATTTTTCTGATTCACTAACGAAATCTTGATTGTTTTGATGATAAATGGACTTATTTTTTATGCATCAGCCAATCAAAAGCATAATTAGCCAATTAGCGTGGAGTTGAATTCTTCTTGATTTGCTTGGTAAATTATTTGGGTAAAATTTATTTTGAATAAATATAGCATTTCAGAAATTTTAAAGAGATGATAAGCGAAAAATACGTGTTCCTATGTTGAAAAATTATTGTAAAAACAGCACTGCCAGTTGAGGTCCACGATCTCCAACACTATGTAAAGAAATATGAAAAAAATCAGCAAGGTTTTCAAATCTTTTTTTAAACAAAAATTTCAATTATATAACAGCAGCCAAACCTGTTTCATGAGCTCATTGCTTTTTTAATGAAAGTGAAGTAATTTGGTCAGTGGATCATATAAGAATCTTAAATAATTATATCGTTAATAGTTTTTTTCTTTAGAACTTGCAACATGGCTGTCATTTCCAGCAATTTTTTAATAATTTTAAATAGCTGACCACATCCAGTTGTGGTCTGATGCGTTCAGGCCTTGGAAATATTTAGATTCAAAGAACGTACCCCGTGATTTTGACTTTACAGTCAATTAAATTTTACAAAAGTCGTATAATCCTCTCGAAGGACAAGCTGTAGGAAAAAAATAATGCCTTTACAACCGTGGTGCATTATGGCTCATTTATATCAAAGCTTAAGCTCTTGGCTCCAATATAGACTATAGCTGCATTTCTAAAAAGATGTTAACGAGTTTGCACATAAAAAAATAATAAAGCCCATTCTCAAAATGAAAATTAAAAGAATTCCATTATTGGCGGAGAAAGGAAGTCCTTCCTTAATGAAACTAAGCAAACGAATCAAATAACAAATAATAAATATGAAGCCGTTCGCAGCATCAACGAAATGAAAAATTTATGATGCTCACTCAGCATACCATAATCATTAGACCGTATCTTCATAGCCCAACTTTGTACGCACTAGCAGTCAAAAGTGCGGACAATTATTACAACCTAGAATGGGAAAAAACTCACTTTCTCAATATCTTCTTTTAAAAAATTCCAACATATTTATTGGCCCTGATGCCCCTGTTAATTTGAACAGGAGTGATTTTCACTTAGTTATAACTTAATAACTATAAATTAGTGAAACGGCGTATTCGTTTATTTTTTGTTTTGTTTTAGAAATCTTGTGGTTTAATAATTAATCTTTTCACTTTTCACAAAAAATTAATAATAAAAATCAATTTTTTTTTACAAGTTCATGATTTTATCAAAGTTCATGATGAATTTGAAATTTTTAGAGAAGGAAAGTCTTATACTGTTTTTTTTTTTTTTTTTTTTTTTTTTTTTTTTTTTTTTTTTTTTTTTTTTAACGAAAGCTTAAAATTACCTTTAGTCTTTAAAATTCAATAATTACTTTATCTAATTAAGTGCACAACAAAATTGCTCACGGGTTTCAATGTAAAAAATTCATAATTTACATTACTAGGAGATATAAAAGTGCAACTAATACACAAAGTAAATAAGTAAAAAATCTACAGCGAGTTTAAATTTCTTTATTAGAAAACACACACATAAAAAATAAGCCAATATGATACTCTCGTGCGCCTTTTCAGCATCTCTTATCTCTAATCAAAGCGAGTGTGGCTCAATAGACTCATTACAATTCGGTGGACGCACTTCAGTCGGTGTGCAGGTCGACGACCTCTCGGAATAAAAATTAAAAATTGATTCGGCACTTGGTGCGGGCGGGCGAGGGTGGAAAGCTTGATCGAGTCGAAATAGGGCTTCGGCACCCCGAGGGTGGGTCGGGGGTGGCGGCAGCACCATCTGCCGGCGGGGGCGGCTCGTCTGCTCTTTCTCTCTCTCTGGCTGGCAACATCGAGCAGCTCGGGTCAGCTGGCGCGAGGAAGGGGGTCTACGTCACGAAAACAACACCGCGCCAGCAGCGTCTCTCTCGCGGCTGCCTCAGTGTCTGTTCGCCGAGGCATGTGATAGAAGGGTCGCGGTCTTCTAGGTCGGCGGCCGACAGCTGTGACCCCGTGCCATGGACCAGCCAGTCACCATCGCTATCCAGTGAGTGCCGCTCTGAAATTACCCGTGTATCTTTTGGGGGTTGAAATCTTTTTGACTCGTAATGCGCACTTCAAGCCTGGCCCGGACGCACCTGCCGTGGGCCTCAAGGTCTCCGCGTTCAGAGGTGGAATGGGCCGTTTCCGCGTTTCGGAATTCCGCTGCGTGGTTTTTGATGCTGCTTTGGAAAGAGTTGAATCAATTATAACTAAAAGTACTTCTAAATGTTTAAAAAATTATGACGAATATACCTTTATCTGAAAATTATGACAAAAAAAAATTAAATTTTTTTATTAATTTTTATAAAAATTCAGGAAATTTAATTATTCTTCATTTGGGACAAGTTAAGCTCAATTTTATTCTATTTTTAATTAGAAAATTAAAAAAATGATTGAATTTCTTCCGATCGTGACCTCTATAACTTAAGTTTCCAAAAGAAAAGAGGATCAAATTTGCTTAAAAGGTCTTAAATTCCAGATCACCCTACTTTCGCTAAATATTTTCTCGCTGTGGAGTGTTATTGAACTCTTGCACTTCCGTACCCACCTTTTTTATTTGAACAAAAAAAATTAGACAAATCCACATTATTTTCTACGCATCGTGAGAACTGAAAACTCGTTTCACTCTTTTTTCAACAGGAAATCGTATTTTTTCAACGCTCTTTTTTGCCATATACTTTACATCTCTCCGCGTCTCGCTATGAATTGAACCATTTGCGTGATTTGCGACCGACACAATTTATTTTTATCGACTGGCGTGTGTGTGTTTTCCACACATTACTTGCGCACTTTCCCTTGCTGCAAGTAACAACATACCTGGCGTAATGCAATATATTGTGGTCTCCGCAAGGGACGAGTAACTATTCAGCCGAGCCAGTCTTTCTCTCTACTGCGCAGCAACAACAAAAAGAAGCTCGCGTTCACGCCGCTCTGTTTTGCTCGGCGTCCACACTCACGGCTTATGGGCCAGTTCGCTTTTATGAATTCGTCACACGTGCCTTTTAATGCCAAATGTCCCCCCAGCACGAAATGCGATCTGCGCACAAGGAAATGAGTTTTCCTTTCAGCATCACCAGGGTGCTCCCTTTTTTGTTGTTGTTGTTGCTCGCGTGTGACGTTTTTGAGAATTGGTTTGAGAATTGGTAGAAAATTGGTAGTACAAATTCCTTTGAATCCCAGTCAGAATTAAAAAGCAGGAAAAAATAGGATAATTTAAAGTTAATATAAAATTTTATTTGGCAAGGTAGATTTTAGCTTTCTTTGGATTAAAATTTATAAGCATTTTACTTTTAAGTTTGAATCTGATAACAATAATTTTGACTACTTTTTTTGAGGAAATTCTAGTAGTAGTAAAGAGAAGTAAAAAAAGGAGGGGAAAAGATAACATTTTTATTTGAGTATTGACTATCTAGATTTTAAAAGTCAGTTAAAAATTTTCAAGATTCAATTTGTTCCATTTTTTTTTTAATTTTTATATTATTATTAATAACGGTGATTATTTAACGGCTATATTCTTGTATTAAAGTAATTGCCAAAGTAGTTTTGTTTGAATTGATTGATTTAAAATATTGTTAAGCATCAAGTTATCGTTGAATTATTTGGAATGCCCACAATCTATTGAAATTAAAAAGTTTCCATTCCAAATCAAGTTTTATTATTTATTATTGCTTATTCCTCCAGAACATTAATTCCCTTCGGAGAACATCTCAATTTTCTAGCAGTTAATTTGCATAATGCCACCCAAGAAAACAGCAAATTACTCATCTCTGCACGTTTCTTTTACGACTTCATATCTGGAAGCGTTTCCTGAGGCCAAATAAATCTCCTCGTGGATCATTTTTGGCGAAAATTTAGCCGCGGGCCAAAGCAAAGTCTGGCGCCAAGTCGACGAATTGCTTCGCTCAGCGTGGACAAAAACAAAACGGGTCATGCATGCGTAACGAAAAAACAACAATAATTTCTCTCAAATCGTTGATGTAGATGGGAATCGCCTTGAGGCTGTTCGAAACCAAGGATATTTGAGAACATGTCGCATTGTAGATAACTTTGTGACTTTCATCATATGAAAATATTGTGACGATGTTTTTTATTTATTTATTTATTTTTTTTTATTTATCTAGATAGGCTATGATCCTGGCAAGCTCCATTCGGTGCTTATTGGCTGGAAACCCCACCAAATTATAATGTATAATTTTTAATTGCAAATTAAAAAAAAAACGAAGTTAAAAGAAAGTAGATCAAAATTAAATCTCAAAGCATCAAATTTATTTATAAAAACTGTTGTTTAAAATTTAATATATAGTAGAAATTTTGGTAATTAATTTCTTTCTTCCCTTCAAAATTTCCATTTAATTACATAAGACATTTTAATACTGATTTATTATTATTTTTTTTTAACATTTGAAATTACTATTTTGGTCTTTACAAATACCTACAACGATAAAATTCCTTCATTAGTTGGGAAATTGAAAGACATGGCGCATAACTTCAAGCAGATAATGAGTGGAATCAACCTGTAGGTATCCCGACTGATTCCTGCTGGGGTAACTGACAAAAGTCGGCCCCACCTGTGTGGAGCATCGAGAAGAAAGGAAACACCCCTGCTTGATTTTCGTGATTAATCGAAGGGTCTTCCTCTCTCTGGCCATGTCATTCAGCTCTGCTCGTCGTGGGTGGGAGGCAAAAAGTGCTGATCGAGAGACAGAGAAGGCCCCATATTAATACTATACAGAGAGGGGGCTCAGCATTTTTATTACGTCGGCCGGCGGCACCAACAAATACCTGTTTGCCAGTCTAGACACTGTCCGGCCGCTTCCTTTGTATTAATAAATGCTCGCACGTAACACAAATATCGGCGCGTGTACTTTTATTTATTAATTTGTTGGAGGCACATTTTATGTATTTATCGTTGTTTGGATTAATTTATCCCAAGACTAGCCTGTTGTCGATTTTCTTATCTAATGCCGCCGCCGCCACTGAACACACAACATCACAGACTGGACTAATTACCGCGTACAAAACGCGACATGACTTTGTGATTACGGTTGGGACGCTCCGGCGGGTAATTCATGCCGACGGCGGCGGGTCTTGCTCGGGTAATTGCTCAGTGATTGGTGTCCCTTCCGAGAAGTGCGCGGAATGACGCACACTGCGGTGCAAAAAAAAATAATATAGGTCGCTCAAAATAGCTGGGTAATGCTTTTTTGTCCCAGAATAGCCCAATTAAAGAGAGACTCACTCAAATTAACATAATTGAATAAAATTTGAAAAAAGAAAAATTCATTATTTTGATCTTTTTTAACTTTTGTTTTTATTAATTTTAATATAATAAGAACACATAAAAAGTGGTTTTTAATTTTTTTATTAGACATTTCAATAAAAGAAATTTAAAATTAATTTTATTATTAGTAAACTCAATTTAACTTTAAAAAATTTACCGCCGTCTTTTATTGGTTATAAAAAATTAAAATTTTCCCTTACTTAATAATAAGTTTAAATTGGGTTGACTGGAATATATCTTAATTTCTCTAGCCTTCCTTTATTGAGCTTTAAAATAAGAAAAAATCATAGAACATAAAAAAAACTCGATTTTTTTATGCAAAATAATTAGTATTTAATTAATTTTAAATATATAAAAAAGTGTAAAAGGTATAATTTTTTATAATTAGGCGTTACAATAATTAAAAAATTGCAAGTACCAATCTAGTTGCATTCTGTGAGAGGAGATTAAATAAAACATTTTGTAGTGGAATTTCACGATTAAACATGTTGTATTTTAAGGGTGGAAACAAATTAAAATAATACATTAATCTCTCTTTAATCCTCATTCCAGACATCCAGACTGACTATAACTTTTAAAGTGCTCAAACTTAAAACTTGTGAAGTATAAATAATGAATGTTGCTCTAAATTTTTATTATAAATTTGAATTTCCGTACGAAATAAATCTTATGAAAAATATAAGATATCTTCTGAGCGTAAAATTTTTTACTTTCCAATATTTTTAAAATTTTATTTTTTATTTTTTGCGCTTCATTGATTACAATGATGATGATCCGTGCACAGTTTGACGGTATAATTGGATTCAATTAGGTCTTACCTGAATGGTTTCCATGACAAATTACTGTTTGCCAAAGATGTAATAATTGGCTGCCAAGTCAATGATCCCTCACGCTTACCATATAAAAAAATTAAAGATAATTGCTCGCTCATCTCTCGGCGTTTTTAGAAATTTACTAAACGCAACATATATAATTTCCTCGTACATGCGTGTGACGGCGTAAAAAATTGTTTGAAGCATGTTGAGGCGCAGACGATTTTCATTCTCAAAGCAGCGTTTGCCGTGTGTTAATAATAATTGGCGCTTCCTCTCTAATGGCCTCCAATTAAATGTGTCTGCTGCCCTGAATGTTTATAAATTAGCATTAGAAAAAAAATCATATCCATTTGTAGCATAAAAATGCATTGTTGCTCCGTCAAGATATTGCATTCAATTAAAATTTCTCGTTCCGCCTGGAGGAATTAAAAGATGCCGACGTGGAGTAATTAATTATCTTCAAGCGTGGATTCCACTGCCTTTTGATCAGTAAATTAGGCATAAGATCATAAGATTAGGGACAAACACTACACGGGGTCCAAGAATGTTTACCATTAATCTTTTAATATCGACTTGTTCTTTGGAAATTTTATGGTGGAATTAAATGCTTGTTTGGAGCATTGAATGATTTATAACATGGAAGGAAATTAAAGAAAACGTTTTTTATAGGAAAATTGAAATAGAAAATAGAGAAAGCTTAGCGCAATTTGCCAAGTCACTTGATTGTAATTTGAGACTAAACACAGTGCACATTATTTTCGGATTTGGCTTTCTTGGTCCAAAGCAATTTGTTTTTGAACATTTAAGCGCTTTGAGCTATGCCTTATCAGCCGCGTGATGACATCTTCCCCACAATAACTCTGTCACTCAAGGGTATTCAAGGTAATAAGTTGTTTTGTGCATTAGATGGAAAGCAGCACGATTTCTTTTCTTCCAACAACTTCAACCGGACACTCAGCACCTCTTTTTCTTTGTCGCGAGATTGGAATTTGAAAATGGGACAAATGGGAAAAAAGATGAGACGAGTGCTGATGGGATTAAGATGAGAGACCAATTTCAGGGAGAAAGCGGAGATCGCTTTAATTAAAATGAAAATACATCTTATTTAGATTGTTGCAACTTTATCAGAAGAAGACTGTTATAAAAAAATTCAAGAAGGGCTTTAATTTTTGCTGTCAAAGCATTTTCTATATTATTTTTTTTTTTTCAAATTTTGTTACTTTAAAATTTAAATTCATTAGCAAACAATAGAAGTAATTACAATTCTGCAATAATGTACATTTGAAAGTCTCAAAATAGTCTAGATATTAAAATTAAAATTAGTCCTTAAATTTCTAATAAAGTAATAAGTTTTAATTGTTTACTTCTTTGATGCTTTTTTGACTTTGTTTGACTTTGTTTTAACTGAATTTTTTTTAAATCAAACCATGGCATAAAAGCATAATTAAATATTTTAGTATCTAACATGCTCAACTAATTAATCCATTATTATTAATTATTATTCCATTGAAAGACTTTTATTTTTCACTTTCTCGCGGGAGCTTGACAATTTTCAAAATTATTTCCAAACCCACTTTTTCCTCATTATCTCTAAATTATTTTCGTGCTTTCCGAGGCTGCGGGCGGCCGTTTCTTGTCCAATTTGTGTGACTCTCACGCCAAAACCACATTTATTTATTAGTGTTTCTGGCAGCGGCCATCAAGCCTTAAGTTTATCTCTTCCCGACGGTTTATTATTGTTCGACGCTTTTAACAAGGGAGGCTGTTTTGTACGAAAATTAAATGTGGGTCACTGCGCCTGTCGATCCATTCCTTACTAACTGCCCACCCCTCGACCAAAACCGAAATAACAATTAGATTCTGCGGGCGCTGCTCTTCGGAAACTATGGCGAGCGAATTAATTTATGGTTTTCCTGTTGTTATGTTCGCAGGACCCGGGTGGGCGAGAGGATGATCAGCATGAGCTCCACCCTCGTCGAAACAGTCTCCATCAACTACGAAGACTTCAACGAGAGCTTCCTTACCTGTAGCACATGCCTCTGTAAGTTCAATAATTTATTGTTTTTAAAAAAATAGCAAGCTTTTTCTCATTTCATTTTCTTTTTTACTGCCCCAAATATTATATTTTTCATAAAATTTAAATCTTTAAAATTTTGTTTCCATTGTTGTAAATTAATCTAAAATAAAATTTTTATGTTTAGAAAAAATATTGTGTTTTCTATCCTTTGATTATTATTTGCAAGGAATGAAAAAATGCACAAAATTTAAAATTTTAATCAAAGTTTTTGTTTAGATTTTGATGCCTTTAAAAGAAATCGGAGCCTCTGTACGCGGAATATTTCTCTCAAAAATTCACGCCTTGGTAAAAACAAATTGGTTTCCCAGAATAAAACCCGTACATAACTTGTAAGAAAATTGCTTTCTAGCAGCAGTGATAATTTATTGTTTGTTTGGGTGCTGCGTCAGGACATTAAATAACATCTCAGCTGAGATAACACGGATGATTATTATGCAAATTAACTTTTTCTCAAAGATCAACACTCACATAAATGCAAATATTCAGTTAAGATTTATTAATAAATAATGAGCAAGATATTTTTATATAAGTTTAAAGTGTTTATTTTTCATAAGTCGTAAAGAGGAAAAATGAAGAGATTCCCATTCTTAAAATATAGAAAATCTTCAACTTGTGAAAGGTTTTATTGAGAGATGTTATCTATGATAATACAAAAAATGTAATTTCTCGCGAATAATTCATTCAATTATTCATGACTTATGTGCATTTAAATTATCAAAGTTTCATATTTTGTAGAATTTATTGAAAATGAGACCATTTGTTAAAATTTAAAGAAAGGAATCGATCAAAATATCCAAATTTTTATTTCTCTGCATTCAGAATACAAGTTTTTCAAACTCTTTGTTGACTTTTTATCCCTTGGACCATCCAACAAGTGGAAAATCCAATGGAAAAAATGCACAAGTTCTCTCATTACGCAAACCTCGAGACCAAGGGAAGTAGCGAATGTTTAATTCATTTTGCGGTCGCTCCACATTTCCGTTTATACTGCTCGGCAAATGCAGCCACTATCAACCCGGCCAGTCGCGGCCAAACGCCCAAACCATATTATTTTCCCCCTTTTTTTATTTTTTATCAGAATGAGAAAAAAGTTTGCTCTCCTTTTGTGTGTGTCCTCGCTAAAGTGGTGATAACTGTGTGTTTTCTTTTCCGCACAGGTATGTATGACGGGGGAGCGCACACGCCGAAACTGCTGCCCTGCTCGCACACGGTTTGCCTTGAATGCCTTTCGCATATTGCCAGCTCGCAGACTCGAGACACGGGCTCGTTCCGCTGCCCCATTTGCCGCGAGCTCATCACCATCCCCCGCGGGGGCGTCGCCGCCCTGCCTCCCTCCTTCCTGGTCAACCAGCTGCTTGACCTCATGTCCAGGCAGCGTCGAGAGGTCATCCCCAAGTGCTCCGTTCACATTAATCAGGTCAGTACACAAATTTTATTTTTAATGCCTTGTTAAAAAAAGGAACTCTGGTCGATTTTTTAACTGGAAAGATGTAAATTTTGTTTCAGATTAAATACGTTTTATTATTGAAATAAAGTATTGGAAATTGAATTTAAGTCAGCATTTCCTTGATGGATTTTTTTAGTTGATTATTGTTTTTCCTACATAGCTGTTTATTAACAAATCAACAAACATATCTGGGAAAAGCCAAAATTTTAATTATCCATTATTTTTATAAATTTTGGCACACCATTTTTTTCCAAATATTTATGTTTCAATTATTTAAAATTTTGTATGGATTTTGATCTGAAAACTGCTGTTTTAAACAATTGGATCTAGGTATTTTGTTCTTCCTTGAATTATTAGTGGTTTAATCTATACTTTCAGATACAGTAGATTCAATTTAATTTATAACAAACTCAAGTTTCTGGTAATGAATTTTATTTTATTCAAGAAATTACTCGATCCTCGAACATTGGACTTGGGAGACTTAGCTTCTGTTTGTATTTCAAAGTGCCTTCCTTATTCTTTTACTGACTGTGGTGGTTATTTTTACACTAGAAGGCGTCGTCATTGCATTATTATTTGTTTCCCCAAGATCTTTTGCCCTCACACTTGTTCCAAATTTTCACTCTTTGAACACTTTTATATACTATAACCTTGAGGTTCAGCAGACTTTTGCGATGAGAATCTCTAAGTGGCGACTGTCTCACAGTCACGCTGTTTTCAAGTTAAAATGCTCAATAGCCGCTCTTGTGCTCCACAAAGCGGCGGCAAAAAGCGCGAGAATTGCATCTCCAGCGGCTGCAGAGTTTCTTGAACCGCTCGAGGATAAAATTGGAAATTCCCAGAAAGGACAATATCAACTACATAGATGTAGCCTTTTTTCTCATCTCCTCGAACTGCTTTTTAAATTTTGGTCTTGTTTAATTGAACCAGGAGTTGCTGTTCTGCGAGACATGCGACACCGTGTTTTGCTCCTTGTGCACCGGAGGCAGCCACAGCACTGGCGGATCGAGTTGCGAACACACTATCATTCCCTTCTCCATTGCTATTAAGCGAATGTCTGAGATCTTGCTCTACAAGGCCAACGACTGCATCTCGAAGGTGGGTTTTGTTGTCGGGCGTTTCTTTCTCTCTCTCATGCTGGGAATCCAGCATTTTTATAATTTTGTGTCACCCGACCTCCATTGTTATCTCTGATCTGACTGCATGATTCATCAAATAAGAATTTTTTCTAGCTTTTTTTAAAAAATTAGTTATAAAAATGAAAAAGAATAATAATTTTCCAAATCTATGTATTTCTTGTTATTGAATTTTTTCCACTTATTTATGTTTATATAAAAAAGGCTATGTTGTGACTGATAATTTTTAAAATTTAGGATGAAATTAAAAAAGTTTTTTCTGTAAAACCTGGATCTATTTGTTCACGATATTTTGAAAAAGTAATAATCAGAAAAACTATCTATAATTAAGTGGAAAGTTAACTATAATTTTTTCTTACACTCTCAAAAAAGAATCTACAGAATAGACAATCTTTTGGTATAATTTAAAACTCCAATCATAATTTTGAATCCAATAAAAGACTCATCTTTACAGAAAAAAATCGATACTTTAAAATTTGCGATCTCTTATTTATTGCAAAACAGATAATGAAAGTTGAAATTGACATAGTTATTCTTTCGTTGATGGAATTCGCTAGTTTTTATTATTATTATTATTATTATATTGCATATTGTATTTATTCTTGTTTGCGTCGAAATATTTTTATATTGTTAGTTCATTTCAACTCATCTTTAATATTTTAAATAAATTTAAAATCCAGTTACTAAAATTATTTGATATATACAAAAAAATTGTCTATTTGTAGTTGGGACAGGCTCACGATGCAGTTTCGGACGAGCTGAAGCGTCTGGACGATGCGACCGAGGCTTGCCTGTCGCACCTGTCGCGCACCTTTGAGGAAATCACCGCCCTGGCCGAGAAGCGGCGCCTGGCCCTTTCGAATGCGGTGCGCGAGGCGCGCGACAAGAAGAAGGGTGTGCTGGAAGAGCAGCTGAAACTGATCGCCGCCGAAAAGGCCAAAGTTGTACTTCACTCCGAGTGCGGCGAGGGTTCGAGTTGGACTAATGGGTGTGAAATTATGGTTGCAGGTGGATGGCGAGTGCGACGGGCTGCAGTATCAAGTTGAAGTCAGAAACATTACCCAGAAGATATCTAGTCTGACAGAGAAACTCGATAGTGTTGCCACGCTCGCTGAGCCGAGAGAAAACTCGTTTCTCACATGCGACTTCCAAGGTGGCCAGGACGGGGCCATCGAAGTCGTCAAAAAGGCACTTGATATCTTCGGAAAGGTGAGAATCTCCCTACTTGTTCGAACCAAGCGGTTTATGTCATTTTTTCATATTTTAATTCTAGGTCAGGACAAGCACCACCTTCCCGAGTTTGTGCTCGGCCGAGGTGGACACGCTGCCTGCCAACGGAGACGTGGTGGCCAAACTTAAGTGCAGCGCCACCCTGAGCACCGTCGACTATCACGGCAACCCCAGAACTTCAGGTGGCGACCCTGTCAGCGCCGAGCTGAGGACCAAGTCTGGCCAGCTGCTCGAGACAGAAATCCAAGATCTGGACGACGGCACCTACAAGGTCTGGTTCAGACCGCCGTCAGCTGGCACATACACACTGAACCTGAGCGTCTTCCAAAGACCCATCAAAGACAAGTGAGAACCTGAAACTTCAAAAAATAAATTTAAAATAACGAGAGAGAACAAAATATAGAAAACAGCATCAGAACATGAAAAATCAGTAAAAACAGTGTTTAATTTTTGTTATTTTTTTTTTGCATTTTTATTTTATTGCAAAAAAAATTTCATTAAAAAATTAATTAAATTTATTATTTGATTTTTTTTTTAAAAACGATGATTTGGATTATTTGGATGGTTTTAAGTTAAGATGAATGCAACTCAGCAATCGGTTAATGAATATTTTGTAACTTTTTTAATTATGTAATTTTTGTTCATTATCGAATAATATTTTAACATTTTAAATTTCCAGGGACATCAATATTGAGGTGACTGAACACAACAGTCCCAGAGGCGAGCACGGAAGCCGAGGTTCGGGGAAAGCGGAATTTTTGCAGCCAGTGTCCGTCACTGTGGACTCTGAAGCTGGCTTTGTCTACGTCCTGGACACCGGCAACTCCCGCATCAAGGTTCTTTCCCTGGATTTGGAATTCATTAGGCATATTGAGAACGATGGTCTGAAGGGGCGTAGTTGCACAGGTATTATTTTTCTTATTCTAATTTTAAGCCAACTTTTTCTAAAAAATTTGTTCATTTTCCAGGTATTGCCCTCACTAGACAAGGGTTAATTGTGGTCAACTGGCGTACAAAGAGCGTCACGGAAATCGACCCGGCCACCGGTGACACCATCACTTCATTTTCCCACAATGCTTTCCAAGAGCCTGTAGATATTGCTGTCATGCCGAAGAGCGGAAAAATCCTTGTGGCGGATAACAGCGCCAGCTGCGTGTTTGTCTTTGATAGTCAGGGCCGACCTTTGCTGCAGGTAGTTTAAATCATATCAGACCTTGCATTATTCTTTACATTAATTTTTTCCCAGGTCGGCAAAAAGGGAAGCCAGAGGGGCCAGTTCAATTTGATTTCGTCAGTGGCAGCGTCGCCTAATGATGACATCATTGTGGCTGATAGTCGTATTCAAATCTTCTCAACTGAAGGAGAATTTAAGAGAGAAATTTTTGCTGAAGGAAAAGGTAGTTTTTAGTTCAAACTGTTATTTTTTCTCTTATCATTTTTTTTTATTATTTTTTTTTTAGGTCGAGGGCGGTACGGTGGTCTGACTATGGACAGTGAGAGTCGGATTATCGCCACCAGGTCAGAAAAGTGTCGGCACTACATCCAAGTGCTGAGCTCGGAAGAGGACAAGGTGCTGTCGACGATCGACTCTCACGACTCTAAGCTCAAAAGACCAAGCGGGGTTGCCGTGATGCCGGAACACCACATTGTAGCCGTTGATTTAGGAAACGACTGTGTGAAAAAGTACCAGTACTGGTAGAGCTGCCAGTCAGGATAATTTGCCATTTTGACTTAAGATTAATTAATTTTGAAAAAAGAAAAACGCCTGCTGGATATATTAGAGAATTTTTCACCCCCCAACATGTAAAAAAATTAAGAAGTGTGTTAGAGGTTTTTTCCAAAACAATGCGAGAGTGGACTGACAATTGGAAGGGAATTGAAAGGAGGATTTTATGACTATGATTTCGTTCGTAATGTCATATCAGCTGTGCTAGTCTCTTGTGTACATACATCTAACGTAGTAGTCACTGATCTCTTTATTTAATGCAGTTTAACTTATCTCTAACTCTTTGTTATGCCAAAGCAAAATTTGCTATTATCTCCTTTTGTATTCGTAAGCATTTGTAATGTGTGTAAATAAATGTTTACAACATCTGAAAAAATCTGGACTTTATTTACATCTTCCTGGAAAAACTTGGCAGTCCTATTGACTGTGGTGCCTAATTCTTTTAATAATAATAATACTATCATTACTAATTAATTGATAAGCTATACAGTACTATATACTTTAGATAAAAAGTGGTGCGTCAAATGATTTTTACTAGATTGTCCTAAATTAATCTGAACATTTGATACGCAATATTTATTTTTTGTGAAGATTATATAATTTGAAGAAAGAATTGTACAAATAAATATAGTTATAATTATAGTATGCATCATAATTACGCATCCAAAATGTTAAGATGTATTTTTTAATAAATAAAAAAATTTAATTATTATTATAATGTTGAGCGAGAACCAGGGTGGATAGATGTATTATAAAAGTTATAATATTGAAATAAAATAATACCAAAACATTTAATTAAATTCTGTCAATTCTATGATATTATTGGATAATTCTATAGTGAGTAGTAATAATTGAACAAAGCCTTTCTTCTTATCTCTAGAGTCTAGAGCCACACGATAGATAACAATATAAGCTATCTCCCTTGAATCCAACACAATTCTTTCAGGCTATCACGAGAATTGTGTGAGAAATTCTGCGCATTTCGCGTGTGGCACGTGTTTTTGAATTTCGCCGCCAGATGTCTCCGAGGGGAAGGAAGAAACTCCCCCCTACAAAGACTCGGCCATATTGGTGCTTAAAGCTTAAACACGGAATTGCGAAGGAAAAGTGGTCGCAGGAAAGTGCGTCGAGCGCCGACAAACCGCCCATGTTTCGCCACTGCACGCTGCCGAAATGAAGGCGGGCAGTTGAGGAGTGGATTCGGCAATTCGGCACAGCGAAGCGCCACTAGCAGGTGGGTGTTCGGCCGCCGACTGTCACTCCTCTCGCGATCTCGTCCCAACTCTCCTTCCTCGGTGCGAATTGAAACGTGTTTGGGTTGGGCTGTGTCACGGCCGAGTGATTCATCGGCCCCGCGCCTCATGTTGTCGACGCCCGAGGGGCACGTCCGGCCCCCGGACGACCCCCGGCCGCCGCCCGGGCCCTTTTTGGAGTTTGTGAAAGCAGCTCCTTTTATGGTCGGCGGACCCCCACTCGCTCGTTCAATGTTTACCAATGTGGGTCATTCTCAGTTCTATAAACGTGTTTGTCCTGCAGGTGAGAAGGATGCCGCCACCCCCGCCGCCTCCGGGGCCGCCGCCCCCGCCCACGTTCGCGCCACCCAAGCCGGCGGCCGACGACGGCCAGGCGAGGAACATGCTGCTCACGTCCATCCGACAGGGCACCACGCTCAAGAAGGCCGTCACGAATGACAGGAGTGCGCCCACCGTCGGAGGCAAGTCCACGTTGTTTCAAAATAACAAGTCCAGCAAAATTTTAAGGCCATAATATCCTTCTTGTCTTCTGGTAGTTTTCTAGAATTGGTTTGTTTTGTGTTGAAAATAACACATGACTTTATGTAACAAACTTTCTTGTAAATTTTATTTGGAAAAAAAATTTAAATTGACCGAATTACATATTTTGCCCTAATAACAAATTCACAGTGGACAGAACTGAAATTTGTAACTAAAATTGGAAAATTTCTTTTGAAAAATTAAGAAATCTGTCATCTCAATAATACATAATTATTTCAAACAATGAGCTCTAATTGGGTTGAATTTTCTCGGAGCAAAGAAATAGAAATCCACAATGCCTTTTTCAATGTATTTTTGAATTGTTTTGAAAATTTCTTTACTTTTTTTTTAAGGTGTTAGAAAACATCTTTTAAACATTTTCATTTAACCTTTAATTAATTATAAAAAAAATAGCAATAATTCATAATTAATTCACCTCTTTTGATTGCCCTAAAAAATGTGCGATTTCAAACAATGCCATCAAGATAATTTACAATCAAACCAACAAGAATATTTAAATTTAATTTTGTGTTTTCATTGAGTTTTAAAATAAAGATCCTTTTTCTCTGTAAATATTTTCATCAGTTTCTGAGAAAAGCCGTCAATATAAACTTAAACCTTTATTTTCAAGCAGATTTTAAAAAGAAAGAAATAATACCTGTAAATTCAAGTTAGATTTTCTATTAATACAAATTGATTTGAATCTTTCCTGTCCTTACTTTTTAAGAAACCTGAAAGCACCACATTATGTGGAAAAATACATTTTTACAACATGTTAACTTCTTACTCACCTTGCGAATTGTGATCATTCTTCGGATGGTTGCCAAAGATGACTAATGTATGAATCACTTTGAAATTTTTTTCCCTATTAGATTTTTTTATTCAAGCTCAACAAGTCAATTAAATAATTATTTTAATCCATCCAATCAATGAATTTAACCGTCCATAAAAATCAGTAGATCAAAATAACTACAACTGCAAATTGATTTGCTTGCAGTTCCAAAAAAGACATCACCAACTTCAACTTCTGGAGGCCCTCGAAGCAACGGACCAGCTCCGGAGCAGCCGCGGAACAATGGAGGTCCAATGGACATGTCAAGTCTCTTTGCAGGAGGCATGCCCAGGTTGAGGTCGACTGGAAGAAATATAGGTCAGCATTTTCACTTTTGGAGTTTTCCTTCAAAAATACTTAACTTTTGTTTCTGAATCCCTCAGGAGTCAGTCCTAGAAGCAATGATGACAGTAATGATAATGTTAGGAATTACAATGATAGCAGCCCTGTGATAAACAGTCATCAGGTGGGCTATCTTTTGCGGCATCATTTTTCTATAATTTTATATTGACTTTACTTGAATTTTTTTCAGAAACAAAAGAGTTTAGGGAGCAGGCGAGAGTTGACCCCTGACACGAAAAACAGAGGGCCGCCCCCTCAGCCGCCTCCGTCGAATAAAAAGCCAACCATGCATGTGGTGAGTGAAGTTGCCTTCCTGCTAGCTGATTAGCCACTTTCTGATTAGATTGCTCGACGCTATTTGAATTTTCTTTAAAATATATTCATATTTTGCCACATGGAAAATGTGGTGGAAATTGGTGATTATGGGCGCCTGTTTTGCAACGGCTGACATTGGTGACGCAGTCAGTCTCGGTTTCGCAGGCAGTTGGGTTGTTTGGCCAGATTAGCAGGCAGCAAACAGCAGCGCGCCCATAACTATTTGCCCACCTTAATACCCAGAACAGAAGATGAGTTCGGTTCGCAAAAACATTTGGCCAAAAGAAGCAAGTCTACATTTCAGTTTTATTCTTTGCACTGAATTGGGAACGATCAAAGAACATGAATCACATGAAATATGATTCCAATTTTAATTCCATCAAAAAGTATATATAGCTTTGAATAATTTTACTTGGAAGCCGCAAACCATTATTATTTAAACCACAAAAGGAAACCTAGATAGCTTATCGACCAAATTAACATTATTTTAAAATAATTAGAGCAGAGCTTATTTCATGTACTTCTCAATTACTTATAAGTAGTAAAATAATAGTTTAGTGATGAAAGAAATTTAAGAAAACAATTAGTAAACACAAAATAGTTATTTTATGTAAAAAAAAAAGTGCAAATAACATTGGCTTTCTCAATTAGAAATTAATTGCACTTTCATTTTAAAATTTTGTGAAAGTGGCATAAAACAATATTTAAACATTAAATAAAGAACGTCAAAAAATACAAAAAAAATAATAATAAATAAATAATAATAATATCAGCATTCCTTAGAATATTTGTTGAATTTTTAATAATTAATTTCTGCAGACTTTTACTGTTTGAATTTTTTATTAATTTCTTCTTTCATCAACAGCCTTTTTAATTATTGATGTCTTTCACCAGTTGAGATTTCTGATACCTCTTATTTGACGTGATTTTTGTTTGGAAAATTTTCAGAGCACTTCTGACACGGCGTTGACGGCGTCAAGCCCGTCGCTGAGCCAGCGGAGCTTTGCTCCGTCGTTACCGAGCAAACCGCCCGTCGGCGGCCACGGCAAGCCAAATTTCGCACCTAGGCCGCCCGGTCAATACAAGACGGCACCAAAGCCATCGCCTCCTCCTAAGTCAACAACCGCCATGCATGTGAGTGATAATTTTTAGGGCAAACAGTTGACGCAAATGACGACAATTTTTTAGTCACTCGTTGGGACAAAAGTTGAATTGAGTGAAGAAAAAATGTTTATTTTTCTTGCAACCAGAAACAGATAAAAATGGGTTTTTTTTATGATAAGTGTTTTTGGTTAGACCATGTCCTCGTGTGATTTCCAAATCCAGTCTAAAATGGAATCGATATGTTTGGATTTGATAATTGATGTAATATCTTTTCTTAAAATTATTTTTATTTTATTAATTTTGTGAATTGAGTATGAGTTTCCATTTCTTTGACATATTAATTGTATTTAAAAGCCGTGGATTTTTTGCAAAAAGCTTTTAGAGATAACATCCAGACTTTGAAAATTGGTAGTTATATTTATTCTGAGCTTTCAATGCTCTTTTTTTTTGTAAAACCACTTGTGTGTCTAAGATTGGGGCCATATTTAAACGTCACTATCTTATGTAATTCACTAAAGCATATAATTTTGTTCACAAAGATTGATAAAAAAAAAAAATTATTGTTCTGCTTTGTAGCTGGAGCTAATTTTTTTTCAAATGCGTATCAATTTTCCCTGTGAACCTCTCAACTTCCTACATTTTAAATATCAATATCTCGGAATGTTTTTGTAGAAACGAGATATTTCAATAAAGCTTTTCAATGCCTTCTGTAATTTTTTTTTTAAATATTTATACTTTTTGAAACTATATCAATAATTTCTTTAAAGATTGCTCTTTAAGAGTAGAAAAAAAACAGTAGGAAGTATGGCAGATTATACAAGTTAATTAATTTTAATTTTAAGGAAAGTTAAAAAGTTTGATTTAATTTTTGCTGAATTTTACATATTCAAAATTGGGAATATTTACTAACCAAATTACGTATATAATTCAAAAAAAGAAATCTTCAAAGTATTAATCTTGATTTTGTGATTTAGGCTGCCAACGGGGCTCCCTTGTTGCCAGCGCGGCCGCCAAGCGTGACCAGGGCGCACAGCATGCGGACACCGAGGTCACCGTCTGCCGACAGCAGTCCGTCGCCCGAGCTGGGCGACTACCGCGGCCACCAGCACTTCCAGTCTCAAGAGGGCCTGCACCACTCCTCCAATGGCCTGGTCAGGGCCAAGTCGGCGGCTCCGCTGCCCCCGGGGAGCGGCCGGAACCCGCCCCCGCCGCCCCCGGCTAAGGCAAAACCACCCTCGGCAAAACCGCCCCCGCCGCCTGTCAACGTGCGGGTCACCCCTCCTGTGCTTCCACCCCCTCCGCCCCCAACGGCGGCCCCTCCGCCCCCTAGCTCAGCGCCGCCCCCGCCTGCTACAGCCCCTCCTTTGCCCCCTCATCGACTCACTGCTGCCAGTCAGCAGAAGAGCCAAGTAAGTGTCAGGACCAGGAAATCGCCCCGCACCCTTAGTTGCTTTTGCACCCATTGATGGCCCAAAACTTGTCTCTTTGTTTTTTGACTGGGGCTCTCGATACCTCAAAAATATAAAATATCAGACCATACGCTTTTCTGTCTTTAAAATTATTAAAATACCAATTTACCTAAGATCGGAATTTAAAATTTTATACTGGAAAATGCCTGAAAATTTGTATTGCTACTGCTAGTTTCTCCCAAATCCAAATAATATCCTTGTTAATCTTCATATTGATTTTTTTTTCTACTTTACTTTAGCGGAAATAATTGCTGGGAAATATGTTTAATAGTTTACATTTCTTTCTACATACATAAACTTAAATTTATTAATGAAAAGAAAATATTACAATTATATCTCTATTATTGGAAGCTTTCAACATAATCATGCATCGTTATTAATACGAGAGGTTAAAAGACATTTTGGGCCTGAAATTCTTCTGCAAAAGTAGAAAATTCTTGCAGAGGACACTCGCTTAATCACCTGCTTTTTCCTACAGCCTCCGCCGCCTCCTTTGAGCGTGCCCCCGCCACCTCCAGTCAGAAATTCTTCCATGAGAAACGGAGGCACCCCGGCCAATGGTAACGCCGCCCTCTTCAAAAAATTAAACCAGAAGCTACAATTTCTTGATCCTTTTTGTTCGCAGGCGAGTTGGAGACGAGGTTCATGCACATGTTCCATAGAGTGCATGAATTCCCAGCCCCAGAAAAGTTCCTCAACGTGCCCAAAGTGTATAACAGCAGGAATGGTGAGCGCACTTCCAAATTTTGTCTTATTTAAAAAAGTTTGCTTACTTAATAATTCTCGCATGGTTCGAGTTGCTTATTATTTTATTTTTTGTTTGTTTCTCTAATCATTCCAATGCATGTTGAAAAGATTCGCCTTCGTCGTCTCGTGGCTCTTCACGGCGATCAGAATACGCCTGGGAGAACTCATTGCAATTTGCATGTAAGACCCTTAACCCTTTAATACTTAATTTTTACTGAAAATAGGAAAAACAGAAAGCGCCGTTGTTTGCACTTGGGGTCACTTGGGGTGAAGTTAAAATTAATTCCTTGCTTGCACTAACATTTATTCAAATTGCAAATAATAAACTTTAAATTATTTAAAAGGGGGGGGGGGAAATGAGAAAATAATTAAATCAATTTTTTAATCAAAATGAAAGTAAATTTAGATTTTTGTGCATGGTAATTTTTTATTTTGGAAATGATTTTGTAGAAGTATTTATTTGACCTTTTTTATTATTATTTTTCCTTTTTCTTCCCTTTGCGGTCAGTTAGAAAACGGATCTGATTGTGAATTGTTTTATCATATGAAGCGGCCGGATTTATTTGTCTCCAAGCAAGAGACCTTGAATTTCGCTACGGGGAGGGCTATAAATTATATAAAACATTCGAGTCCAGCTTCTTCAAGGGTAATGATGGTGGGTGATGATTGTAATGTGTGCGCGCCTCTCATTATTTTGCCAATCACAAACCTTGAGAATCACGGGATTCTGTTCGGTCGACTTCCATCTTGATTGGCTGACAATAGGACGCTTTCCTATTATATTGACAATAGTGGAAAGAATTGAAATATTTTAGACCTTGGATGTTAACATAAATTAAATAATTTCGAATCTTCAATTTGACAAATTTATTCTTGAGATTATTTTTTTTTTACCAAAATTTTATATATTTTTTCTAACATCTTCTTTTATCAACACTTTTGCAGCCAAGCAACAGGCACCTCAGCCGCCAAACATGCACGTTCAATTGAGCAACAAGATGTGGGCGAATGACACCTCGACGTGCTAACCCGCAGACTGAAAAACCACAAGCTCGTCGATCGGGCTTCCCGATTCCATATCCAGGTGGCGAAGACACGGACAAATTGAAAAAACTTTGATTCTGCCACCACGTGCAATGAGTTGTTTCTCTCGTTTGCAAAGTTTACCCAACATTTACAACTCAGTTTATTATAATTTATTCATCAGCAGTATTTACACGCGCCTTAATGCATTACTCTTAATATTTGTTATCTACCTATTCACTTTGTGTTTACTTTTGCGAGACAGGTTCATCCCTTAAAAAAATTAGCGCAGGGCTGCACCAATCTTTGCTCTTTACTTATTGAACTGAAAACGAGGAAATTTATATACATTATTTCATCGGAACTGATTTGAATTATAGTTTTGTGCAATTTTGCTCGGAATTGAATCGAATTTTGATAGTTTACTTAATTGCTCACCTCGACTGCATAAAAAAAAGAAGTGCAGCCCAGCGTTCACCGAAAACAAAAAAGTCGAACTGACTGATTGCTTTCTTTTTGTTGTTTTTGGAATCCGAATGTGAAGTACAAATTTTCTATCTAGAATTTGCAATAATTAATCTGTTTCAATTGGAGGGACGGCGCCGCTCCTTTGAGGAGACGGTTGCGTTGCCTGCGAAACGAATGAGGAGGAAGCCCGCGTGAGTGCCCATTCTTATTTGGTCACGCTAGTCCTTAACTGGTAATCTTAATTTAATTACTTTTCAAAAAGTGAATGGCGCCCACAAACACACAAACCACGCTCCATTGCTAGTGCCTAAGTGTAAATAAATCTAATTGCTATTCTGTACATACTGAAATAAGACCTGTTATGAGAAAGAAAAAGTATTCCAGTGTAATATGTAACAATTATTTTTATTCTAATTATAGCCATCTCCTGTTGAAACCGTGCCATTTTTCTTTCAGTCTCTAAACCCAAACCAATCAATCAGCGCCTACAGAAATAAATCATAGGTGGTTATTTTCTGGTAGAGATTCAATTTCTAGTTTTGAGGTTTTTTGTTTTGTTTCAATTTTTACTTATAAAAAAAAATATAAAACCAGAAAAGTGTCCCGATCTTTTATCTTAATTTGTCTACATTGAAAATGTGTATATATCTTTTCACCAAATGACAAGCACCAATTTTTCTCTTATTTCAAATTTTCTTTCATAAATAAAAAAAAAAAGGAGAATGAAAATAAACACCACAGTTTGTATAATTATATGCTATTATCATTTTTATTTAGTTTCTTTTTTGTACAATTTTATTAGATCATGGTTCAGAGATACTCTGAAAGTTCGGCTTTGTGAGAATTGTGTACAAGATGATGATTTCATTTTTGTATTATTGCTCAGTCACACTCAGTTTTTGTGCTGCCAAAAGTGGCACTACTTTTCTTTTTGAGATATATAATTAAATAATGAGCGGTTAGATTCAATCTTTGAAGAAAACGCCAACATAATAAAATAAAACGTTAGAATAGACATGGGAAATGAGTAAAATGCAGTGAAGTGGAAAGGAGCGGCGATTTTTCAGTTTCTTCGTATAAAAAAATTATGTAAGAAAAAATCCAGATCACAATCTCTTAACATACGAGGCGACTTCGTCGTGGGGGTAGGCGGGGTTGAATGGGGGGTTTTCGACGCCCGGAGGTCGGTACGTGTTGTACTTCATGTGGTAGACAGGCTCGAGCCCGAGTTTGGCGACGGCCATGGCAGTGAACTTGCTTGAGCAGTCTACCCTGACGAGCGGCACATTCAGGCTGCTGGCCATTTCCACGGCGCTCTTCAAAAGGGCAGTCGCGATTCCCTGACCTCGACAGTTTGAGTCGACGGATAACATGGGGATCTCGAACACTCTGTCAACGTCAAACCTGTAGAGAAAAAAGACCACCTTGGTTATACTACAGATAAAAATATTTGCCGAATAAATTGAGATTTAAAAAAATATGCATGCAGCATGAAAAAGTTGGGACAGACTGGCATTAGGAATGATCCAGCGGAAACTAAAGTAACTAAATGAATATTATTTATGCAATTCAAATTTTCTTCAATAAGAAAGTTCATCGACTTAGGTTAAAGTTTCTTAAAACTTCACCTAATTCATATTACTTAATTGTGTCATTAGCAAAACTTCAAGCATAATTAACCTTGGATGAATTTTAAAAAATTACATAAAATTTGCATCCTTTTTATAATTTCTAAATTTATTTTAAACAAGCTTCCGGGAATACACAAGCTCGAAATATAAAGTTTAAAAAGATAATACGGACAATACCAATTTATAATTGTTTGAGATTTTAATTAAATTTTTTCTTTAAATTCAGACGCCTCATCATATTAATTTTTCAATCCATTAAAAAGCGTAAAAATCAGGATTGAAATGTTAATGTTGAATTTAGTTTTTTTATTTTTTTTTTAACTGGAAAAATATATGAATCGAAATAGTGACAATGATGCACAAGAATGATACAAATAGACGTTGAATATAAAATTTTGATTAAATAATAAGCATAAAAATTACCGTTCAAACACAGATGTCTAGACGGCGCTTTTTGTATATTCATAAATTTTCAAAATAAAAATTTGTTGTTTGTTTGAAAAAACTATTTTTAAATGATAACTGATTTGTAAAAAGAAAAAAAACCTGTTTCACATTTGAAGTCTAAATATTGAATCGATTAATTCATTTTTAATATTCTTATAATAGATTTTCCTTATATTTTATTTCGTCGAAAAATTGATTTACTAACCTGTGGTGCACATCGGCCTCTTTCTCGATGTGGGCCAGCAGGCCGAGGATGAGTTTGAACTTAGGGTTGGGGCAAGTTTCGGCCAGGAGCTGCAGCTCTTCGATGTCCTCGTGCTGGCTGATGGCGTTGAGGACGGCGCCGAGCACCTTACCCTCAGGCGACACGGCCATCAGTGAGATGCCCTGCTGCAGGGCGCCCATCGAGAACTCCTCCAGCTCGGGACACGAGCCGGGCCGCGAGTCGCCCACCAGCTGGATGCACACGTTCAGCGGCTCGTCCAGGAAGAAGTTGCGCCGCAAAAAGTCCATCACGTCCTCAAAGTGCTCTGGCTTCACGCGCACGATCTCGTAGTTGCGATCGCCGCGCTTCGACACCGACGTATCGCGCGAAACCTAAAACAAAACAAAAAAGTTTTTATTTTATCTGTTTTTAACTGTTTAATCTTATTTTCACTCAAAAATTAAATAATGAAGTTTCAAAAAAGGTATTTCATTTATAAAATGAAAGTATTCCAAAAATTAAATAATTAAGTTGGTATTGGTCAGTGTTTTTTCAATTATTCTTTTATTTCTCATTTGAGTGTCTTTTATATTTAACTACTATTTAATAAATGTGTGCCATTGCCATATGTGCAAAAAATCTGATGTAGCAAACAAGACATCAAATAGCAACCTTTCTCACATTTCTAGATTTTTTTTACTATAATTTGATTATTTGTACTTGAACACCAAATAAAATAAATTAAAATACACTTGAACAACGTGTCATGTCATAAAACTTAATTGACCGTTGCGATTTGGCTAAACGGCATTCACAAGACAGAGACGCCGAGTGTTGATTAATGGAATCAAGATTCAATGGGAAAATAATTATTGGCAATGATCTTGATTTTCTATCACGTGTGCCGTTATGCCAAAAAACGAACCGGTAGTAACTGAAGTAAAAATTATTACTTCAAGTCTAATGAAACTTTTGCTCCGAGTCATGCGAGCTGGTTAGACACTTTCATTATGGAACACGGTCAACCTTAACACAACACATTATTACAGTCTGTCTAACAAACACGTGCCACTTACAGTCTTTGAAAGTGCAAACAGAATTTCCTCTTGTTAATCCACAATGTTTCCTAAATCTGTTTTTTTTTTATCTGAGGGAATTTTTTAATTCGTGGCATAATCAATTTTATTTGGTTTGGCCATACTTAAGAATATTATGAAATAATTGGATTTGTTGTTGAAAAACATAAGGAAATTTCCTTGAATCTTCATCTTTTTGACACCTTGAAAGAATCCAGACATATTTTTGAACTTTAAAGAACATATATGCAACCTTGACATAACAATGTGATTTCGAAAGCATTGTATTTTTAATCATTTTATATTTAAAACCAATTAGGAAATGGGCCGGCCGTGTTTCAAAGGAACTAGATAATAATCTGTCCTGACCTCAAGAAAAATAGAAAAGTATGAAAATACGCAGCTGTGTGTATCGTTTCCTTGTAAGGCGATCAGATTGTCTAACATTATTTTCCAGACTGATTTAAAACCAAAAAAAATTTGCTTCAAAATTAAGTTGTTGTAAGTCAATTGTTTAGTGTAGCTTTTACACCTGAGAGTTCAATAAATTCTTTTAACATGAAAAGTTAATCCAAATGACTTTTTCTACTTATAGGTGAGAAAAAAGATCACATATACCAATAATCAATTGAAATTGATATTGTTTATGAGGAGCAGCATAAATATCAAAACTATAATAGAATAAAAAGCTGATGAATTCAATTATATTATAAAACAAAAAAATTATTTTTATTCTATCATTTAAAAGAAATAATCATGGTTTAATAAAAGATAATATATCATATATAGAAGAAAGGAAGAGAATGACGAATAACTGGTATTTTTATTAGCCGCATTACCATGTCATCAATGTGTCACTTGCCGCTTTTATCACGTTCGATCTCGCGACGTGAAAAATTATTGATCGCGCCGCAAGTGCGCGAGCTGCTCTTAAAGGTATCTTTGTATCAGGATTTGACTGATGAAGACGAAGGTTTAGGTTGTTGACTTGTCGGGCGAGAAAATTGTTGTTTGCAAAGGTGAGCTAACACTTAATGGTCGTACCCAGCTGTGATGCTAAGGACAAGGTCGCGAGTCGCGCGCCGGTCGAGTGCAGATCTCGCGCGCCCTCAATTATGCGCAGCTACCTCGTCAGCAGTTCTTGCATGTTGATCTTATAATATTATAATCATTTATGGAAACGTGGCAGGAAAAGTAAACAGGGGCTGCGAGTTGATTAGATTCCAAGATTGACGTGCGAGATGGAGCGTGCAGAAATGCAGCTGCGTAATTCGCGCGTCTCACTTCGGTGTTAATTGCCACTCGTTGATTCTTTACCGCGACTCTCCCCTTATTAAATAATGTGCGTACTGCGGCAGTGCAACGGTCTGACGATAAAACTGCTTTATTTTTAATTTAATTAACTAAGTGAATTTATGACATTAGTATGGAATTTTTTAAACTAATTTTTACGATTTTTGCTTTTTATTTTAGACGCATTTTCTTTTTAAATATTGTTAGGTAATATTTGTTGCTACTGTTTTACTCACTTTTTTTGGAACATTATTAATTATTCCAACATATCACAAAGATGAGTAAATAAAATTAATGTTATGTCCATTAAATTTAACTTAATATATTATTATAATTTTTTTAATAAGAATTTAATGAAGTAATTTAATAACCACTTTCAAATAATTACCAAAATATAATTTAAGTGAAACCACTTATTTTATATCCTTTAAAAATTGCTTTTTTAATTTCAACACTTATTGTTAGTCTTAATTGCAAAATACGCGTTTGTTTTTAATGAGAGATATCTCAACACGCAAAGAAATTACATAAGTGAAAAAGCTCTATCCTCATTTGTTATAAACATTAAAATTGGATTCATCAATCATTACGAGGAGCTAATTAGGTAGCAGTATGTTGAATTGGGTTTGCCAACAAGTGGAGCGGGATTTGGGATCAACAACCTGTGCGCCGTCTTGAACTTGATCAAGAAACTTTTACTTTTTTGCACTGTCAGCGAGGTGGAGAGAGAAGGCCGCTGTTTTTCACAATAACATGTGACTCAACGCCCAATACAGAGATAATTGCGAAAGTCTATTTTATTTTTTAACGCATTCCTGAGAAAAGAGGAAAAAGCACATAGGTTTACCTGGAAAATACCTTGACAGAGGTAACAGGAAAATGCAAGATAAGGAAATCTGAATAAATGCAAGCCTTCAAACAAGCTCGATCCGCACGAATGGTTTTTGCACCCCGTATATGAAAAAGAGGTTTTAGATTCAAAAGGAAAAACTGCAAATCCGTGACAACAACTAGGTAAGAATGGAAAGCATAAGAAAACTGAAATATTATTTTTTCCTACGAAATGATAACTTAATAAACGCGGTTTTTCTTTCCGCACTTTTATGTGCAGCGTTGAGATTGAAATTTATAGAGCTGTTTACACCTTAGTAGCCTATTACACTTTTGCATGCTATTTATGAAGCATGAAAACGTATAAAACTGATTTATTTGTGTCTTTGCGCAGATATATTTTGCGCGGGGAAGTTTATTTTCTCGTTTATATGCGAGATGAAAATATAAATTACGTAGTTGTTTATCATTTGCGCAGGTAAATGATCTATTGTTTAATTTTTCCGTTTTCTATTTGTTAATGTTCAGGGCTTCCTCAATTGAGGAAAGTATAATTAAAATGTAATTTTCAAGCGTCTATCAAAAGCAAGCTGAAATGTTCCCACTTTATTGTTAAAGAACAGGTAAAGTTGATACGAGTGAGAATTATAGCAACAATATTATTCATTATAAAGTCAAATTTTTCCGCAAATAAAAAAAATGTAGGCCATACAAGGTTAGGGGAGAAAAAGATCTACACGAAAATTTCTTTTTATATTATCGCAAAGAATATAAAACTGTTAGCTACTCCATTGTAAATGACTTTGTTGCCTTTGATGTAATTATAAGTTCATTTGATTTACTGAGATTTGCATTATAATTTACAGCTTGCTACTTTTGAAATGATTTATGCATTTATAAAGACACGTTGAATACGTTCTGAAATTATTGCAATTTAGCATTGATTTTATTTTATTTGGGACTCTTCAGGAGACTAAAAATATTTTAAGCTAGCTATAATTTACCTTTCACAAAAACTCGCAGATAAAAAGTTTTTATTATAAATTTAATTTCATATTAAAATAGTGCATCACTTTCTTTTCCAAGATGTATCGATATTCATGGCAGTGTGTGCCGTTATAAATATTCTCTTTTGAGCTGCGCCCATAAAGCAACCTTATTTATTTATTTTTTTAAGCTATCCTTTTACAGTGCTTTTATTTTTGTCATAAAATGAAATATAGGTTTGCAGTAAAATTTGCAGAATCTACAAAAGGTGAGCAAAAATAAAAATAAAAATGGTGGCCTGTTATTGTGAAAATAGTTGTGGTACTTTTTAACAAAAAATATGTCGCCAGAGGTCAATATGTAACCTAACCAAAAATAAAGAAGCCTCCCCAGGCATGTTTTGGTTAGGAGCGTGAAATGCGCTTTCAGTGTTTTGACAGCGTGTATATGGAGTGTAAAGGAATTGTGTGAGGCAATTCCAATGTTATTTGTTCTACTCCCGCAGCTACAAAAATGCTTTCACGTGGAGAGCTCCGGCTGGCAACCAAACAAATCTGCGCGCATTTTTCGCTCCTTCTCTTTTTTCTGCAGACCCGCAGCAAAAAAAAAAATGCTCGCATTGAGGCTGTGGGTTTTAAAAAGCTGCAGGTAGCCCTTTGGGCTGTCAAGTATTAAGAGCAGCTTTTGTGTGCTTAGAGGTTTCTGCGAAGCTTCTGCATTGTAAAACGTCTAACAGTATACAAACAAGCGATGCTGCGGAGCGTCGATATGGCGAGGATTTGAATATTCCAAGTGAAATACATGATGTAAAATATATGAGAATAGATTATGTCTTGAACTATACAACCAAAGCAAAAGATGAAGAAGCAAAGAGAATAGAGAGAGAATTTTAGAAAGTGGAGCTCCTCCTGAGACTTCCTACTTATTTCTGATTGAATTAAACTTCAATTGCAAATGAGATATTTTATATTGTTTCAAAACAAATTAAATAAGTGTAATTAAAAAGTAAGTAAAATAACTAATGAAATATTAAAAACAGAAACGCTGAGAATGCTTATATATTTATCGTAAAAATAAATATAATGAAATTACAAGGTAATTGGTTTTTGGTAAAAATTGCCCTTCAATTCAAATCCCAAAAACAGTGCCCTTCTTAAGCTATAAAATATTTAATTTTAATTAATTAAATAAGTTTCATAGTTAGC